TTGGGAGGATGAATCGCTTCCAGAGCGGCTTTGCAGCGGCGTGATGTAGAGGTGAGACAAATCTGAGGACTCCCAGGAAAGGAGAACTCCCCTCTCCCTGGGAGCAGGCTCCCAAACGGTGCATTAAGGATTAAGCAAAGTGTAGGGGATGGCACCCCACAGACCCGTCGTGTCCCAGCTGCTGCACGCAGGCTGCTTTGCTGTACCCCCAGGGTCAGGGCAAGCACAACTTTCAACGCCAGGGCTGGAGATGAGGGGGGGGAAAGAGCTGAAACCTTTCTTCCAGTGTCATGTTCCGTACCCAGCAGGAAGAACTGCTTGCCCAAACCCAAGCCCAGACCAAATCTCCTTTGTACAGTCTACAGAGAGCCACGGCAGTGCTGATCTGCTGAGCACGCATGGGATGCTCTGGGTGTTGGTGGTATCCTGAGCACGCACTGGTGGGTTCCCCTGCTGGGCGGTGTTTTATTCCTACCCGTGGAAGTGGGAACCGGCCTCCTGGGTGGAAAACACAAGGTAAAACTCGGTTCCTCTATGAGAAATCCCTCTGAATTGGGATTTTGGAGCCAGACCTAGAGCTGGGAAAGGCTGTGTGATCACCGAGGAGCTGGGAGCCAAGGTTTTGGCTACGAGGGAGGCTTCGCCATCCAACCTGGCACTGTGTTTCTTCCTCCCCCCTGCCCCACTCCTCTCTGTCTGCACGTTGACTGAGACAGCAGTTTTTTTTCCCTAACCCCCCCCTTTCTTCCCTCCGCTCCACCCCCCAGCCTGGTTATCGATGAAAGGAGATCTGACACGCGATAGATCCCCAGATAAAAGCAACGTTACGAGAGAATGTGAGCGACAGCTCGGGACGGGGAGGGGGGGGGGGGGAAAAGCAAACCCCAAATAGCTGGCAAGGCACAGCCCGGGTATCTGGTGTCAGCTCCAGGTGCAGCTGGGAAGGGGCCTGCCCTCTGCAAAGGGTTAATGCCAGGCCCGCTGCCAGGCTTCGGAGGCCTTCTGCCAGGGGTTTTGAAATCTGATTTTTTCTTTCTGCAACCCGGCGAGGTTTTGATCAACTTCCTATCCGAGAGCAGAAGTCAGAGCCGGCGCAGGAAGGCTGCTGCAGGAGCGGTGTGGGCAGCCGGGGTGCTACGGGGGATGGAGGGCAGGGAGCAGCCCTACAAGCTCGGTGGGCACCCTGTTAGGTTCCTATATCAGAGCCCAGGCAGCCGTGTGCTGTATGTGGGCACCTCACCTACATGCCAACCCCGTTGCTCCATGCTTCTCGGTTCAAAGCTCCCCGCACGGAGCAGCAAAAAGCTTCGTGCCCCTCTGCCTGCCATGGGTGGAAGCCCAAGTGCTGAGACGTCCCCGGTGCCCCAAAGCTCCAAAATCAGCCAGCAGAAAGTCAGCTTCGTGGGCTTGGAGCCCACCACCCCTCATGGGAGGCGAGCTACACAGAGCTCTATCCTGCCCCCCCTCTTTGCAGCCACCGCAGGGTTGTCCCCGAGGGGTGTTTTGGCACAGCAGGTCCCCCCCCCCATGCAGATGTACCCAAATCCATTCGCTCTAACCCAGGAGTCATTTGCACAAAGCTGCTTCTCGGTGTCCCTTTGCATATGCAGCTGGGGCTTTTTCTTGCGAGGACTTTCCACTTGAGAAGGGTCGGGCCGAAGCTGAAGTTTTTGGGGATTTGCTGTCTTGGGAGGGCTCGGTTTCTCTATGTACGTGTCGTACGGAGGAGCTGGGCCTGGGCGAGCACAGATGGACTCCAGGCCTATGGAAAGTACCTTTCAAACCAGCCCTGTTTAAATTTCTAGGTTGAGCCAAAAGAGAAAGAAATAAAGATGGGAGGTCGTCTCTCTTTGCCTGATGTATTTAATTTCATCAACAGCCAGAGCCTGGGTCAGCCTCTCCATTGGAAATACCCCAAAAAGTCTCAGATTTTGCAGAGATTTCCCCAAATTCTTCAGCTGGGGGGCATGACGCTTCTCATCTTTAGCCAAAAACCATCTCAGCATTTTTCTGTCACCTTGCTCAGAGCCAGCCAGCGGGGGCCACCTCTCCTGGTAGGGTACGGGCACAGCCAGGTCGCTCGCTCTGCATTGCGTGGCTTGATCAGGACAGGGAAGGATGCAACCCTAATTTATGATTAAATAAAATAATGACTTGAGGGTTTATGGTGCCCCAAATCTCGAATGCCATCGGAGTGTGGAGCTCAGCAGAGGGGAGTCCCAGTTCTGCCCAGTGTCCCGGTGCTACCAGCACCCATACTGGTCTGTGGGACCAGTAAAGCCAGCAGCACAACTGGGAAGGTTTTAGGTGAAGGTTTTAGGTGCTCGGGGTTGTGACAGGGCAGGCGAGGAAATAGCTCAGATACTTTGTGGAGCGTAGGTGCTGCTGTTTGCCTTCAAAGCTCCTGTGCCACATTTGTTTTCTGCCTCCCTTGCATCTGTTTTTTTTTTGTGCATTTTTTTTTGGTTTGTTTGTTTGTGTTTTTTTTTTTTTTAACTGCGATGCAACTGTCAGAGCTCTTTGAAACTGTCAGCCTGCGCAGCTGAAGGGTTAAGGGCAGGCCACGCAGCGAGCCCGAGAGCACAGCAAGGCTGCTTTGATGGCTGAGGGCTGCCAGCACCACCTCTGCTGCCAAAGCGCTGCTTTCAGCGTGGCGCCTCCTGAGCGCCGCGTTGCAGGGGGAGCTCGGCGAAGCGTCCACGTGCACACCCAGCCTCATCTTCCCTCAGCGCCTCCTGGGCCTGCAGGGGTTTGGCCGAGGCAGATTTGCAGCTGCAAGAAGTGGCAGGAGACCCGCGGGGACTGGGAAGCGGCCGGCCCTCGGGGCACCGGGGCGGCTCTGAGCTGTGCATCCAAGCATCAACCTCTGCAGGTGAGCAGAGATCGTTGCTGAGCATCTATTTTCTCCTCGGCTCACGGCGTGCAGGAAGTAAATAAACACTCGGGCATGCTTTTAACGTATTTGTCAGCTAAATGGTGGTTTAAAAAAAATGACTTTGCATACCGTGGGGGCTGAATGGGCTCGGGTCTGCACGTGGGAGCCCGTTGAAATCGGTGGGGTCTCAAGGGTATAAAACTGATGGCAAGCATCAGCCCTGTCCGAGCCCTTTTGTATCTCATCATCTCAGCTGCTGGCACACACAGCGGTGCCCTGCAGCTCTTGTGGTGTTAGTCACGGGCTGACCTTTCTGCTCTTGGGCACATGGGGACTGGGCTTGCCCACATCAGCGAAGGAATCATCCAGGGTTTGATGGTTATAACTGCAAAGACAGGAGTCTGTGTTCGGCAGTGTCTCCGAAGCCCACAGCCCTGCCAGGTTCCCAAGTAGAAATGCAGAGTCCCTAGTTTATCATTTATTAGCTAATTAGGACCAACTGCAACCTCATATAGTACGTGCTTGAGAATGAAAGATCCCCAGCTTCCATGGGCATCGCGTCGGTGTCTGGAGCAGAGTAAGTCTCCGGAGCAAAGGAGGAGTTTCCAGGGCACGCAGTTGGTTTCTGGTGTCCCTGGTTGCTTGTTCGCAGTAACAGCTGACACTGAGATGAATGTGTCTCTCCTCTTTCAGATGCATCATAATCTCTGGCCTCAAACAGCTCATGCAGGCACTTGGCATCGCTGCGTGACAACCCGGTAGTGAGGGATGGTGAGGCAGAGGAGAGGAAAGCGTGGCTGGAGCTGAAGGGAGCTGCCCTGGCAGGAGGCTGAGGAGTCTCCGGAGAAAAAAAAAATCCCACAATTTTACCCCATGGAAACAAACCCCTGTGAATGTTAATATTGGAGTGTACTGCATGTGGCTTACTTGGTGCAGCAGCCACAGGCCCCACCAGCGTGGTTCTCCAAAGGACTGAACGTCCAGGTTATAAGGCAGAATGCATTTGCTGGGGGCATGTAGGGAGCCAAAGTGAAAAGCATCGCGTCCACTTCAAAGCAAAAAGAGTGAGGCAGAGATTTGTCAATTTACACAGGCTTTTGGGATGGAATGGGCTCTTCTGAGTCCCACCTTTGGCTTTGGCACCAGCCCTTTCCCTGGGGGCAGAAGGGGACTGGGTATCTTGGTTTCTGTAGGTGCTGTAGGTTTCTGTAGGTGATGTATCTACAGTGGCAGGGGTGCTCTGTGCAGGTAGGACGTTTTCCACCGGTGTTTTTCAGAGGCTGAAAAAAGTGCAGATTTCCTCCTCTTCACTGTGCGTTATTTTGGATAAGCGAGGTTTTTGGCCTGCTCAGCACCTCGAGTAAAAGCAGTGTCTGCGTTTCCTCCTAACCTGGCACCTTTCCTCCTTCGCCAAATTCGGCACAGCAGAAGGGCGAGGCGGCGTATTCAGCTCATGCTGCTGAGAAAATCGTAGCAAGGGCAGAAAGAGGAGGTTGTCTGAGAGCTCCCAGCCGTACCGCGCAGGAGATTTTGGATAGGAAGTGAGGAGCAACTTTTCCCATGGGAACTACAGGGGGAGGCAAGCCGAACTGAATGGGGGCCTCATAAATCAATGACACACACCTTCGACTTTGTGCTATAGCCTTGGGCGGCCGGAATTTATAAGCTCAATCAATAATTAAGGGAAAAAAAGCAACAAAACAAGAAAATGCATCAGTTATAAAAATGCTGGATTCCATGCAAGTCTCTTTCCATCAGCCTCAAACCAGCTCTGAAGGGGAAACTGAGGCACGGGGCGTGGGGTCTGTTGGCTGAGGGCATGCATGGAAGGTGTGCGTGTGTTTGCTCCATCCTGGAGCCCTGAACTCGAACCGATGCAGCTGCTCGTGGCCAGCCCCGCTCCTCACCTCCCCTCTGGGTGAGGGAGGAAGAGGTCAGGCAGTCCGACGGGCAGGGACACCCACGTTTTGTTCCACTTCTCAGCTAAATATATATTCCATGTGTGTTTTTTTTTTTTTTTGCCCAGAAGCGGCACAGTGCTTGTGCTGCCTGCTGGCCAAGTGTGCGTTGTCGGAGCACTTCTCAGGTGTTAACCAACTCAAACGGTGATGATGGGATTTTCCAGGGTTGTTATTCTCAGCCTAAGCTGCGGCAGCTGCGATGGAAATAAAGTCAAGTACGCTGTGAAGTGCACGGGCCCAGGGAGATGTGATTCAGGACGTATGATCGTACTTCTCCGTGTGCTGTCATCAAGGTACCTTTGAATTTGTGGCTGAGTAAGAGCAGGCTGCTTTCAGCCAGGACAGTAACCGGGTCACAGACTCCCTCCGGTGCTGTGACCCCAATAACTGCCCCTCCTAAGCTCGGGGATGATAATTGGTGATGGGTTTTTCTCCGTGCCTCAGCCTAGACACTAGCTGGGTGCTTGAGTCCCTCCTTGGGCAGAGCTTGAGGGTGCAGCCAGCTCTTCTGCCGCCTTGCTGCCCTCAGCTTTCTCTGTGGGTAGGAATTTCAACCCCCTAACACTTTAGGGCAACCTCTCCCTCTCACCTGGGCGTTAGCAGAGCGCGAGGGGCTCATGTGCAGTTGGATTTTGTTGTTCTTTTGAGGGCAGCGAGCTTCTAAGAAACCCAGAGAGGGAGCACAAAGGGACCTTTTGCTTATCTCTGACCTTTCTGGCAGGGATGTGCCTCCAGGGCCCAGATAACGCGAAAGCTGGGATGCGTGATTAGGGATTGAGGCCCTGAGATGCCATCTGCAAAGGTCTGGTAAAGACCTGTGGGGTGGCTGCAAAGGGGAAATATAAAAGTCCTGTCTGCAAAGAGGTGGTGAGAGGCCAGGGGTGGAGGGATGTGGGACTGGGGGGGCCGTGCCAAAGCAGGGGCTTTGCAAAAGGGCCAGGGGAGAGGTTGTGGCCTTTGAGTTTCTCGCTGATGAGGGTTTCAGTGAGCTGGATTTGGGGGAAGAGCCTCCCCCAGCCCATGCCCTGCTGTGCACAGAACCCCACGTGCCCTGCCTGTGGTTTGCACTGCCCAGTGGAAACATTTCCCCATGAAAAATCAGCATTTTCTTTTTACCTAGGTGTAAGTAGATGAGGGCAGGAGATGGGGTGACCCTGCTGGGGTCCGTAGCTTTGGGCACAGGTCAAGAACTGGGGCTTGGAGGAAGCAAATCCTGGATTTGGGCTTTGTGCTCCACGTCCCAGCTCACATCACGGTGCCTGAGAGCCCTCCAGACACCGTTCCTGTGAGCAGCAAAGGCAGAACTGGAGCTGCTGGTGTCTGAGAGCTGCTTTCCAACAGAACCGGAGCTTTTTCTGGAGTGCTTTTTCTTGCCAGAAGCATGTTTTGGGTCTCGTTTCTCCTGAGCTGCCTGCTTGTGTGGAGCTTGTGGGAACGTAGCCGTGTTGGTACCTTCACTGGGCCACCTCTGTCCGACTCGGCTGGATTAAGAATTTATGGGAAAGGAAGGACAGACGCGCACAGCGGGATTGCATACGGCCTGTTTCTTTAGAAAACAAGACCAGAAGCTCGGCGAGGGCTCGGGTTCATCCTGCTGCGGGACAGGAAGATTTTTGTGGGATGGGAAAAATGTTCCCTGCCCAGCTCCGGTCCGTGCCGCAGTGCAGGGAGACCCAGTGCGGTGAGCCTGGGCTGCCTGGACAGACAGACAGACAGGACCACAGGGGGTGTTTATGTCCAGCAACCTCAGGAAAAATTCCCCTTTCTGCCATCGCAGCCAAAGCCTGCCTCTTCCACCCCGCGAAGGACAGCACGAGGCGAGCAAGGAGGAAAAGGGAATAACCGGGCAGAAAGCGCAGAATCCACGCACGTATATATTTATTTTCAGGTAGGAAATCAACCCCCTTCCTAGCCTCGCTGCAGAACAACATCCTCTGAAGCCTCTTGTTTTGCTGAGGCCTCTCAGAGCCGTTCCCATCCCGCATCCCCACGGCCCCACCCTGCCGCGAGGAGTTGCGCTTTCAGTAGCCCCGTACCGGGGTGCCTGGGGCCAGCTGGGGTGTAGCCCGTGATACTTATCTTCCTGGGGCCTTGAGAATATTATTATTTTTTTTTTTTCCTCAGCTTGTTTTTTTTCTCTCCCCCCCCCCCCTTCTTGTGTGTTTAGGCTCCAGTGACCCAGCTCTGATTTCCTTTTTTAATTAATGGCAGCAGCCTTGGTTTCTGTGTTTGGCGCAGTAACGAGCGTTTCCTTTGTCGCTGCTGTCACTTCCACGGCTCTGCCTGCCGCTGGGGCTCAGAAGGTGCAGCCCTGCTCCCTGCTTCGTCATAAATAGGTCCCGAGACCTTTATCTGCCAGCACCCTTCGAGCAGCAGCAGCCCTTAAATGTGGTCACACCGACACGAGGGGCTTTACATCAGCACAGTTTTACCCGTAGGCGAATTTACATCGAGTTAAATGGTTTGGCCACCGTCATTTTCTTTGCATGGTGAAATGAGTGAAGCTTTTCTCTGGGTGGAGGGAAGGGGGAAGTCCTCCTGGCTCTGAGATGAAGCTGATAAAGTCCATCCCTGCGTGGCTTATCCCATTCACGTTCTCCTGCTCCCTTAGGGGGGGCACCGACGGCGAGGGCGCTCCACAGGCAGCCGGATCCTGTCCCTGATCTGTTGGAAATCTTCCCTGGGAGCAGGGATCCCGTCCCTGATCTGTCGGAAATCTGTCGGAAATCACCCGTGGGAGCAGAGCAGGCAGCACAACGGCTGGGCTCGAGGAAGGGATGCAGACTGGCAGCAGGAAGGGGAGCTCAGCTCCTTTGGGCAGCAGCCTGGGCTTCGGGGCTTCACCCAGGAAACCGGACCCCAAATTGTCCTCGCTCCCCGCTCCAGCAGCCAGTTTCTCGTGGGACTCCTTTCTCTGCCTTATCTCGCCGGATTGGCACCTCCTCAGTGTCTCCTTGAGCTCTCTGGGCGCAGAAAGGCTGGGGTCTGGGGGCAGGGGGGCTTTTGTACCATTGTAAGGCAAATCAGAGCTGCTGGTTCCCGAATCCGGGCGCTCGCAGCACTTGGAGCAGGCAGGCCACTTCAAAGGGCTTTCTGGGAGCTGTCACTACAAAAGCTAGCGCTCGGCAATTAAAGTCTCTAAATCCTGACTGAAGCTGATTAATTTACACCAAGTTAATTACTAGGTCCCTTTCCAAGAGCCTGATACGAGTCATCCCATCGCACGATGTCATTTTCAGGGAGAATTAAACCCTTTGCTTAAATGGTTCTGGAGCTGCTTTGAAGACGCAGTCCTGTGGCATCTTTAGCCTGGGAATTTTCTATTTTTTTTTTCCATCTCGAAGGCCTTTAGCGCCGTTAATGAATGAACATCATTAATGATTAATCACCTGAATATGAATGGAGTAGGCTTCGTGCCAGGTAAAAGCAGAATAAATGCGTTTGCCTGAGCTCTGCTTTGACACGTGTGCTTTTGGAGCAGCTGGCAGCAGCTCCTCTGAATCCAGTGGGCAGTGCTGGCCCTCCGCTGTCTCGTTTGGCCAAAGGGAAACTGAGGCACGAAGGAACTAAATGATCCGTCCACACTAACGAGCAAGGCAGGGAAGAGCTGGGAAAATAACCCCAAAGCCCTGATGCTTCCCAGCTTTTTCCAATATTTTTCTCCTTACCGTGAGCATTTATTATATTTCCATTTGAGATCGTATCGACTCAGTGAGAGGGATGATGTTCCCTGTTCTCTCTGGGAAAACTGAGATACTAGAAAATAGAAATGACTCAGAGCAAGACAGAAGATCCCCTATAAAAGGAGTAGGGACAATTTGCTAGAGCTGTTACTGGTGTGGACTCTGAAGCATGTGGCTCAGCATCTCCTGTCGTTCTTTTTATAATACAAGCTAGTCCTCATATCCAGGGAGTATCCGAGCCCTTTCTTGCTTGTAATCTCGCTCAGGAATCGCCAGGAGTTGGCACTGTGGGCTCCAAAGGAAGTGGCAGGAGCCAGGACTGGTTGTTAGCTGTCAAGCCCCAAAAGGTCACGCTTAGGTTGTGGCGCTGAGAGGAACGAGGTAGGAGTGCTGGTGCAAATGGAAAACATTTCCATGCGCTGCACTCTTGTCTCTAGGAAACCTTTCAAGCACTCCCAGACCCAGCAGCTCGCTGAGAAGACCCAGATCTCATTTCTTTCACTACACTTGCCAGCAAAAAGGGTGGTTTTTTTTTTTTTTTTTTTTTTTTTTTTTTTTTTTTCCTTCGAGTAGAATCTGCTCCTGGCTCCGCCGGAGCCGGTCACAGTTTTTGTTCCAAATTTAAGCCCTTCCGTATTCAGCTGGGCTTTCTGCACTGCCACACGGCCTGATCCCTGCGTGGGCAGGGGGAAGCTGACCACTGAACCCTGCCTGCCCTCCTGGGGGTCCCCCAATGTGCCTGGAGCCGGGTGGTGACCGCGGAAGTGTGCGTGGCCCTTCTGCCCCAGAGCGTGACCACGGGAAAGGGGCTCCGTCCCAAATTGTAGGCGATGCTCTGGGGCCCTTCAGTGGGCAAGCCAACGGATTTCGGGGGGAGCCTTCGGCCTCGGTGGCAGCAGGGGCTGGGGGGGCTCCTTGTGCCTCCCTGCTGCTTGGGTGCTTGCCGGGCCGATGAGATGTTTGCCCTTCCCTCGTGCCCCAAGGAGCAACCCCGGCTGCTCCCAGCATCAGGGAGGTGAATCCTCTCGGTTTTTTTGGAGCTGTTTTCTCCAAGGGACTCAAAGGACCTGGAGCCGCTCCAGTTCCCTTGGCCAAAGCCCTCGAATTACAGGGTATGCGAGAGATGTAAGTAGCAGTGAGGTCTCTCTGTCATCTCCCACCGCTTCCAACTGCTTTCATTGCTCCAGGGCCTCCTGTTCTTTCCTCCCCTGTAGCAATTAAGAGTTCATCCAGTTCCCTGGGCTCTTTTGGGAACTCTCAGAGGCAGCTGCAGGCTGACTGCGCTCCCGCTGGGGTCAGGATGGGAGCTGAACCCATCAGTCATCACCCAGGGATCGGCTGCTGAGCTGTGCCTGACTTTCTCCTGAATTTTCAGACCGCTGGTGGAAGGTCGGCTTGGCCGCGCCGTGTGTCTTTCTCCTTCCATTCTGCACCACGAGGGCTGTCAGCCGCCAAACTGGGCAACACCAGCACGAAACTGGACCACAGCAGCAGGTAACTGGACCACCACAACACGCAACCGGGAGGCTGGAGCCTGCAGAAAGTCTTGGCCAAATGATTTCAGAGCGCTCTGGGGCTGGCACGCATCCCCAGATGGCTGCTTTTAAGGGCGGCAGCGATTCTCTCCAAGCGTCTGCTCAGACAGCCGGCACTGCTCACTGCAGCAATGGCCACGGGATCACACCTTTAAATCAAACGGCTCTCGTCTCTGTGAAATCTTCAGCTCAGATGTGGGATGGGAGGGGGCAGGTTTCTAATAAAGCTCAGCTGTCTCCCAGAATAATCCAGACCCTGTTCTTCCACCACTGCCTTTGAGAACAAAAAGACTCGCTGGCTGCTGAGCGCCTTTGAAAACTCAGCCCTTGATCTAGCTTTTATTTTTCTCTCCTTGTCCTCCCTTTTCTTCCCCTTGCTGGCTCTCCTAGCGTGCATGCATCTTCCCAGCTCCTGTCTCTGCCGAGGAGTCCCCGTCTCGTGCCAGTTTGACGTTTGCCTGTTCTGAATGCCAGAAACCCCTGGAGCTCAGGTGGGAGGAGAAGCGAGTCGCTGCTTCCCACCCCGCTGCCACTCGGAACCCAGCCTGGGAAAGGAAAGCTCCTTGGCTGGGTCTGCTGGGGCCGTTTCCTCCTGTTCCCTTGCCAGCTGAGCCTCGCACGTTTGTCTCAGGAGAAGCAGAGCGATGCTGCTCATCTGCCTTGCTTCGCCCCCTTCTCCTCGTGCATCTCCCACCTGCTGCTCGCAGCTCGCGACCCACTCGCTTCCCTCCTGCCTGCGCTGCTGTGCCGGGTGGCAGCGAGGTGTCTCCCCTTTTCTTCTCCTTAGGGTCACGTTAACAAGTTCAGCTTGGCCGGGGGAGCAGGCTGCTCCAAACCGAGGCAGGAGAAGCCAGATGAGAGACTCCAGAGGTGGCCGTTCCGAAGTCACGCTTGCAGAACAAAGGCAGGGCCGTTCGGGGTCAGGGACCAGCAAAGCTCGCACGCCGCTGCACCCGCCGGGCTGTGACGACCTGCGTGTCCTCGTCCCCGTGTTCCTCATGTGTTTGTGCAGGCCGTGTGCTCCTCGGACTCTCTCCCAGGTTTTTAGCAGGTGGAGCATTGCTTCCCAGAGGGGTGCCATCCCCTGGTGCTTCTCCATCACCCCTGCAGCCCCATGACAGCCACTTACCCGGCCCTACAACACCTCCCGGCCCCAAACCAGCATCTCCAGCATCTTTCTGCTGCTTCCAGCGGGCTTTGGCTCAAGTACACGAGGAAGGAGACGTTTTTATGGTACTGACAGTTCCTGGTAGGCCTGGCGAGCCCCGCACTCCTTGCTGCCTGTCCCAAGCTGTGCAGATAACCCGGGGGTGGCTCTGAGGATGGGGCCGGGCAGCGCTTCTGCACTTATCGGTGCTCTGAGCCTGGAGCACGCCTGGCACAGCAGCCCTGGGGCAGGGAGTCTCGCCCACCAAAAGGTGAGGAGGAGCCAAGAGCAGCTGCGAGGTCCCCTCGTTTGCTGGGCTCTGGGAAATCACCCAGAGAGGAGTTTGTAGCCCTCCATCGCAGAGCAGGGGAAAATCCGTGCAAAGGAGTGCCACGGGGATCAGCGCCCAGGGGAACAGGGCTGTGTCCCCCACACCCAGCACCCAGGAAGGTGTCTGAGCAGAACAAGGGGCCGGTGGTGTGCTTGGAGCGATCTGGTGGCGCTGGGGAGAGCTCTGAGCTGTCATGCCCAGGCTGCCTCCAGCTCCTCTGCTCCTTGGGGAGCTCCAGCCCAGCACCCGGCAGCTCTCCGGCCAGGCGTTAGCGCTCGTTTTGGGGCCATGCTCTGCCAGCTCGCCTTCTAAATAACGCCGGAGGGCTACAGAAATAACCTCAGAAGCGCTCATGCCTGATTGCAGGAACCGATTTGTTTGTCAGTTTGCGGTGGGAAGGAAGTGCATCTTTTAATTGCTGCAGGCAGGATCCTGGTAGGAGCCTGGGGCCGGTGCTGCGCTGCGGTCCATCCGATTCCCTTCTGCCCCGGCTCTTGGACTGACCCGAGAGTGCCTCTAGTTCTGCTCACACGGGCTGTGAGGACATGGCTGCAAGCCGCTGACTTATTTTCAGCTAGTTAGGTGGCTGTAGGACTAGCTGAACAGGACACCATACCAATTTTTCCAGCACAGCCATGGGATCCACCACAGATTGCAGCCTAGGTAGCTCAGGAGGCAAAACCATCTTTTTTCCCTGCTAGGAGAGGGCAGGAGCTGCAGGAGCTGCAAGGCTCAGAGCAAAAATAGCAGGTTGGTGTTGGAAGAAATGGTTAATGTGTCGGGGCTGCTGCTGGAATCCCTCCACCAGGGATCTGCCCGAGTGCAGCGGGAATGCTGCTTGCTCGGTGATGTGCATGCACTCACAGAGCGTGTCTCATTAGCGTGTTGTTAATGTCAGTAATTATTGGTGCTGTGAGCGCGGGAGCATACGTAGATAAATGCACAGCTACCAGGAGCGCTGGGAGAAATGCACCCGCCTGTTATTAGGGGTATTAGGGTCTCGGTTTTAGAGCTGTCGCCCCGTGCAGGGGTACCTGGCTGTCACAAGAAGTTTGGTGACATCTGTGCCTCTGGGAGGGGTGTGCAGGGAGCACGGTGTGACCCCCAGAGAAGGAGCCTTGCCTACTTCACCGTGCCTTGTGAAGTCCTCAAAATTTTCCTCCTTTGACTGCAGCTGGACCTGGAAGGATGAGCGTGCGCCTTTCTGCCGGGGTGGGGAGCACAGGAACCCTTTGCACACCTTGGCTCAGCGTGGTGAGGCAGGTTGGCAGCAAAGCTGGGGGGCTTTGGGGCTTTTTTTTGGGGGGCAGGGGGCTGCCACGCACAGATGCAGCTGCGGTGCTGGGCAGGAGGGTGCACCCCGAGTGGGGGAAGTCAGGGGGCATCAATCCTTTCCTTTCTTCCCCCAAAACCACTTGTGGGCACATCCACACGGCATTGTCCTCCCTCCAGGGAACCGGCTCTAGCTCGGACCTGCTGATTTGATATCCCTGCCCCAATGCAGGCACATCCACGTCTCCAGTGCAGCAGCAGCAGTGGGGGACCCCCTGCGAGCCCACCTTCCCTGCGTGGGATCCTCTCTGCTCCTCTAACAGGGAACAGGGTACACCCTCCTGCCCCGCTCTTGTGCACCAGTCTCAGTTCTTGTTTTTCTCCCAGCCAAACCAAGGTTAAAACCCTGCCTGCCAGGCTGCTCAGTGCATTGCACTGCCCTGCCCCTGAGCTCTGCCTGCCTCCAGCCCTGCTGCCCTGCCTCTGCTGTGCCGGGGTCCTGCAAAACTCAGCGGGGTGCTACCACGCTGGGAATGGTTGGGATGCAGGCTCAGGGTGCTGCAAACACCCCACAGCAGCCCCAGCTCCCTGCAGCAGCCCCGAGCCCAGCTTTCGAGGACTTTTCCCTTCTCCTTGCTCTGCTCCAGCTGCACCAGTCCCCGCTCCTCATCCCTCCACCCTCCAGGACTGCCCCTTTTTCCAGCACAGCCCCCTCTCTTTGCTGGGGCAAATTCCCCTTCTGCCCGCAGCGCTAAGAAGCTTTGAGCTGCCTCTGCTTCTGCCTGGCAGTTTGCGTTGGCAAAGAGGCGCTAGGCACCGGGCTTGCCACATCAAATGAAAAATATCATGCAACCAAAAATTCTTAGAAAAACCCAAACGCATCTAATCTGCCGAATGGGGCACGCGAGGCACCGACAACAAGATCAGGGCAGGGCAGGAAAGGGCAGGAAGGATGGACAAAGGAAGGGTGTTGTAAAAAAGATCTATTTTATATGTAAAATTTCAGGGTAGTATTTTTTAACAATTTGCATAATTGGCTACCACAGATAATCCCCTGAAATGAACTAAATATATCACAACTGGGGGCTTTCCAAGCCCAGCTTGCTTTCTGAAATTGATTGGTTTCAGCTTTGCTTTTTTTTTTTTTTTTTTTTCTGCGCTCTTTCTTTCTATCTTTACCAGCTGAGTTTGGCTGGTTTCTGAAACGCCTGATTTGGGAGCAAAACTAAACATTCACCTGGGGATGGCTTACTATGGTACGAGTTTGAGTCAATGAAAATGCGACTTAATTTTAGATTTCGTTAGGAAAAGGGAACTAAGGCAGAAAACAGCTGCTGCAGTGACAGATGAAGACCAGCCCGTTCTGATGCTTTTCATAAAAAGTCAGGTGAAACGGCATTTAAAGCTCTGCTGGCCTAAATAGATAGCTGGGGCGAGCTGGCCCGGGTCCCCTGGAGTCAAATCTAGCCCAGCTGCTCACAAAGGGAGATGCTCCGAAGCCACTTCTGGAAATGCTCTCCTAAATGAGTTGCCAAAAGATGTAGTGCTTGGGTATAAACACGTCTCTTCATCTGTTTGCAACTCCTTCCAGTCGCTTTTTTGTCCTGTTCTGGAAGCCACTTAAGCAAAGGGGTTTGGGTCCAACTGCTTCTCACCTTGAATGGTCTTGGTTAAGAAAATAATGTCATGAAACTGAGACAGATCCCAGCAACAGGCAGGCGCAGGTATAGAAGCGATGGACATGGCATAAACCTAAACAATACCCACAAGCACAGTTTTATTTCTGTTTAAATAGAGATTTGGTCCAAGCTGTAGCAAAAGCCACTCTAAAAAGGAGGTTTAAATTGACAGAAAGATGTGTTTTGACCTTAGAAGCATCGGGCTTTCTTCAGAAGGCTGGTGTGCATCCTAACTGGATGATGCATCGAAGCGCCGCCGAGATTCAGTGTTCAGATGATATCACTCCGAGCTAATTAGCTGTACTCAAAAGCCTGACCAAGTCAGAGGAAAGGGAATGCTGTGGTTGCCAGTAATGGGAAAGATATTAGGAAACACGTCCCGCGGGCCAAATCCTGCAACGTTAAGCTCGTACTCCAGCACGCTTCCCTTCAATTCAGTGAAAGCATTGCTCTGAAGTTAAGAATGAATAAGATACGAGAAAGGAGAGGGAGCCAGCTACGGGGGGAAACGGTTGTCTTGTGTTTGAGCACGGGACCGAGACCAGGAAATCCTCCGCTGAGCCAGGGAAGGGCTGAAGGAGCTGGGAAGATGCCTCGGTCCCTGTGCCTGCGGGCTCCCAGCCGTGTGCACCAGGGCAGCAGCCGATGTGCCGCGTCCCTGCCGCGCTCTGACCCCGCTGCCGTGTCGCCAGGTGGAGCTGAGCACCCCACAGCCTGACCTGCTGGTCCCGGTCCATTTTATCAGCAGTTATCAAGCACAAATGATGGGCTGTAGGCTGGGCTGGCTCCTGCTGAAGGAGCAGGGACTGTGACGCCAAACCGTCCCGGCGCGATTTGCTAGCCCTCGTGTGCCAGAGCCCTCGTTCTTTTCCTGGGAATGCTTGCAATATCTCACAGCTTTAGGGAAATCTGGGTGGGAAATATCACAGATGAGGGTGTTTGAAGTGCTTTGAAAGCCACCAACCAGAAAAAGTGAAACGCTGTCTTCGCTCTTCCTCTTACGCGTACAAAATGGTACCTGCTTTTCATTTTATTCGGGGGATTTCCTATAGCAAAGGATATAGTTATTCGCTCATTGGATTTGGTTTTCAAGCCCTTCGGTATGTTAAGCAGTTTCATTTTGATGTCCCCCGAGGACACCGTAGTTGCGGTGTGCCCGAGGATGAAGGTGGCACAGCTCGTGGTAGCTCAAAATCAGAAGGAGGCAGCTGGGAAACGCGAGGCAGAAAGCAGTGGGGAAAAGAAATATCGTGTTCATGGACAGCCCGGGGGGGCCGGGCCCGCTGCTGATGCAGAGTCAGGTAACTGAAGGCTTTCTGCAGGGAAGAGCTTTCAGAAATGGCCGTTTGAATTTCCATCCCCCAAAAAAATTGCTTTAGCCTTGATCTGAGGCCACGTTGTGGCACCGGCTGCCCATTGGAATCGGGCTTCCATCCTCATCGCTCCTTTAACAGCCCCAGCTGCTGGTCAGCCTTCTTCGTTCATCACCAGCATACCAGAAAAATGAGGCTCCTTTATGATTCAGCAAAGAATAACATTGCTGGTTCGAGATCCTGGAAGTCTGGAGGCCATCAGTTTTTTAATTTTTACTCTGAAGGAATTTCCTTTGCTTCATATTGCTGGGCTCTCTTGCCAAAGCCAGGAAGCTGACTATCTATGGACAACAGTGACCAAAATTTGGTTTTCCTGGAATTTTCTCTTTTCCCTCCGCACACCCACACAATAGGCTTTTTAGGACGCCTGCAGCCTGTAATTTGCCTTTCTAGCCTGATAATGTGGCTCGCGGAGGCATCAGTTTTGCCAAGTCATCATCTGGAAGGAACACTTGGCTTATGCAACGGGCTTCATTCTCCCCCTCCGTGTCCGATGGCCACACGGTTGCCACCGAGCCCGGCTCCAGCCTTAGGGGCTGCGTCAGAACCGCCCCGCAGACGCTGGGAACCAGGAGAAAGACCATAAAGTCTGGGAAAGGGCCCGAAACTTTCAATTTCAAAAGGCACAGCCCAGAAACCAGAAGGACCAAGAACCCAATGCTGTGGTTTCCCTTTGCCTGACTAAAGACAATAGCTGCTGTCTATTTTTACTAAAAATGTGGGACGTGGGGCCCTTCTCTTCCCCTGCACAACTGGGGGATGCTGCTCACAATGCAAGAGGGGGGGAGTGGAGCAGGGGGGTCATCCCGGATTAAAACCAGCTGACTGGTCCACAGAAATCTCTCCCATAGATTCTTGAAATATTTCTTGCCCACACCGCTAGGAGATTTATTCGTAAGGTAAAAGAAATTTAGCTGGGAGAGGGATTCGGGAATCTCATCGCACCTACAAAAATTCCTCGTTCCCATTTTAAGGCAGGGATGGGATCGATCTGAGTCTCCCCGCTCTTCCTTTCTTCCCTCCAGTTCCATCTCGCCGTGCTATGTGGTATTCTGAGGGCTTGCGTCGCAACAAATCAACGCTGATAGCATCATTAAGGGCTTGCAATGTCTCGGATACCTTGCAGAAAATGAAAGCCATCTGTCCAAGTGCAGAAATGGGATTCCAGCGTGTGAAATGTATTGCGTGTGTTCTGTACGGGACCTCTGTGTTCACTGTCATGAGGAGCATTGGCAACCTCTAAACCTCTGATCAAAAAGATGTTTCTCATTTTCAACGTTAAAAAAAATAAAATAAAATCCTGAGCAGAGAGAGCAGAGTCTTGTTTTACTTACACTTATTAACTTTGTCTGTTTGTTCTTCATTAAGAGACTCTTTTTAGATGACTGAAAATACAAAAAAAAAAGTACTAAATGTGTCAAAATGGCACACAGAAGTGACTCGCTGGGGGGAGTAGCTATTGTGGCAGATCACTCTGCTGCTAAGCCCTTTAGTTCTTTGTTCCTTATCCTAAAAATGCATGCAAGTGTGTATGCTAAGGAATATCTCCAGCTGAACTGGCCAGAGATGTTCCAGCTGAGTTCTCTTTATATGACACCACAGCCCCAAATCCTTGATTTCTATGAATTCCATCGCTCTGTTCCCTCCTGAGCACAAGCAGCTATCCTCCCAGGATCACAGATAGAGATTACTGCTGTGGGTTGAATTTGGGCTTATTTCCCTCCTCTTCCATCTGTCATTCCGCAGTACAGCCAGAATGCCTTCAGCACAGCAGTGCTGCCCTGTAAAATTGAATTATACGGCCCTGAGGTGTGTTGCAGGAGTGCGTACCACCGAGGTGCTTCGTTCCAGAAGGAAAGGCAGTCAGCAATGGCAGGGAATAAAGCGGTCTAGCAGAGTGAGATACACTGGTGCTCAGGAATGTGCTTCCCACCTCCAACATTTGTGATTGTAATTAATCATTTGGTTGCAACTGTGGCAGCAATGACACATTGCAGCACCATCCCGGTCGTGAAAAGGGTTATACGAGCAGGCCATCCCCTTCGGGCACGTTCCCTTCACAGCCAGTATGGGAAAGTTTCATAGAAATGGACCTCCTGAGCTGAATTCTCTCAACTCAGTGAGGAGCTTTTAATTTTCAAGCTCAAAGGCAGTCCGTTCCCTTGGTATTCCAGCTACAGAATCTGTTGTACATTTTATAGGCAGTTTCCTGGCACTTCCAATTGGCAGCGGCAAAGTCGAGACATCTCAGTTTTTGTAGACAGTGACAAACATTAGGGAGCGATGTGGCCAAAATTGTATCCCGTTGCCTTCAGCTTCCCATGCCACAAAGCAATTACTGCTGGGTCAACTGCAAGCAGAGCGAGGTACCACTGCAGAGCAAACCCTAGGCTGCAGGAGGCAGGGTGCAAACTTGCTTGGAAGGCTTTTGTTTCCCTGAAAATTCCTGAACTGTTTGCTCGGGGTACAATTTGCAAAGGTATTTCCAAAGCATTGTGAATTGTTCTGAAAACAGAACAAAAAACCAGCAAAGCCTGACAAGCCCTTATCTCTGCAGACACTGGGGTTGCTATCTGCTATGGAGCTGCACCAGTGGTAATATGGGGATAACTTTTGGAAGACAGCATGCTGAGCACGGGCTGGCCCCGAGTATGCACACAGCTGATTATTTTATTTTTGCTTTGAAGGGCTCTGGCCACAAAAATGGAGGGAAAAAACAAAAAGGGAGGGAATAAACAAGAAGGGAGGGAATAAACAAAAAGGGAGGGAATAAGCAAAAAAGGAGGGAAAAAACGAAAAGAAAAAAAAAAAAAAGGAAGGGAAATAATGAACAGGGAGGGAAAGAGAAGGACTAGGACTGAATGCTCAAAGTGCGCTGTAGGAATTGCAAAGCCGGGGTTGAGGAGCATTCCGGGGGGGGGCTCCGGGACTGCTCCTTTGCAGCCTGCCCGGCCGCAGGGGCAGCTCGGCGTGGCCCCTGCATCCCCGCAGGACCCCGACCCCTCCAACAACCCCCCCCCACCTCCCACGGCTCCCAGCCCCCGACCACCCCGGGGGGCCGTGCACGACCGCTGCCGGCCTCCCCCCAACATGGCAGCGGCTCCCGCGGCCGCCCCACGTGCTGCCAGCCCGCCGGCGCGCCGCAAGCCCCGCCCCTTGGGGGCGTGTCCACCGGCGGGTTTCGGCGCGCCGCGGCGGCAGCGGCGCTTCCGATTGGCCGAGAGCCCTCCGGCCCCGCCCCCAGGCCCGCCGAGGCCCCGCCTCCCGGCGCGCCACCCGCGTCCCGCGGCCGCCGTAGCGGAGCCGGCGCTGCCCGCCCAGCGCCCATGGAGCTGCTGTGCGTGGAAGCCGTGCCCCGAGCCCCCCGAGCCGGGCGGGACCCGCAGTTGCTGGGGGACCGGCGGGTGCTGCAGAACCTGCTGAGCCAGGAGGAGCGCTACAGCCCCCGCGTCTCCTACTTCCAGTGCGTGCAGCAGGAGATCAAGCCGTACATGCGGAAAATGCTGGCGTTTTGGATGCTGGAGGTACGGCCGCAAATCCTCCCGCTCCTCTCCTCCTCCTCCAGCTCCTTGCCCGGACACCCCATTTTATTTTATTTTATTATTTTATTTTTTGCTTTTTCTCGCCCGCCCTCCGTGCATGCAAAGCGTGCGCGCCCCGGGAGGCAGCTGGCGGCAAACGGGGAAGGCAGCGGCCGCTCCCCGTGCACCCGCCCGGCTCCCTCCTGCTGCCTGCCGGGGGTAGCCCCCGGGGCACGGGGAAGGCTCCGGGGTCCGTGCGAGCCGCAGCTGCGGTCCCCGGCATGGAGGAGGCTGTGCCCGGAGGGAGGAAGGGGGAGGCGGGTGGGCAAGGCGGTTTGTGGTGGGGCAGAGCCTGGGCGAGTGGTGGCTGAGCTGGGAGAAGCGGTGGCCCCATGCAGCGGGAGCAGCCCCCCGAGATCCCAACGTGTGCCCCCAATTCCCCCCTGGTAGTATCCTGCCATGCTGCTCTTGGGCCCCATTCATTCCCTGCTCCCTAAAATCCTGGCCCCAAATCCTCCCCCTCTGCAGCCTGCAGCCCAGAGGCTTGCACACCCTGCACGGGGCTGAGAATGCCTCGTTGAAGGGAGAAAATAACATTGCAACCCTTTACTTCCCTAAATTAAAATGAACGAGGCTCTCTGCGGGATGCAGCTCAGTGGGGAGACCTCACGGGCCTCTTTATGGGATGGTCAGAGCGAGCGGTCTCAGCAGAGAAAGAAACAGCAAGACATAAATGACGTTGGGATCCAGGCTGCCCGCTCACCACCGCAGCCACCCTTGCAAGAAGCTGCCTGCTTCTGTCAAAAGAAACGAGAGAGCGCTTTGCTTTTAAAAAGCTTTTTTTTCTTCTTTTTTTTCTTTTTCCTGTTCGCATTGTTCTGTCGCTGCAAGCCTCTGTCTGAGGAGGCTCCTTAGATAAATGCAGCTCTGGAGCCTGTTGCTGTGGAGCTGTGAGGGCAGTCGAAAAGTGGGTGACACTTCGGGGTTGGCACGGGGATGCTGCAAGATTGCAGCGGAGGGCTCAAATTCGGAGCTCTGGGGTTCTGCTTGTGGCCGTGGCAGGGGGGGAGGGAGGAAGACTCCTGGAGCCAGGCACGGCTCTGCCATCGAGCCTGCCCCTGCCCCTGGGCTGCTGAGGGTGGAATCGCCAGGAGTGGCTGTGGATCCTGCACCAGTGGGGCTCCAGCTGGAGGCTGCTGGAATTGCTGCTTTTCCCTGAGGTCCTGAGTCCTCCCAGAGCAGAAAATGGGCAGCTTGGGCAGCCGGCTACGGGCATCCCTGAGAGCAGTGAAAAAGGCAGGGGGTGGAGGGGTTGCAACTAAAAGAATCGGGGTGTTAAAGTCTCTGTGGGCTCTTTGTAACTGCACTCAAGCTCTTCTGCTTTCCGCAGGAAGATGAATGGAGCCGTGCAGCATTTGTTGCTGGCGTAACCTCGCTGCAGCCGTAGGCTTCACACCTGTAGCTGACTTACTCCTTAGCCCCGTGGAGCTGTCAGAGCCCTGCAGATAACCCTGCAGCACCACCACCACCAGAAGCTTTGAAGCTGCGGCGGTGCAGGCAGGGTCTGGAGAGGCCGGTGCTGATTAAAACTTCCTTTTTTTTTTTTGTTTTTGTTTTGTTTTGCTTGATTGGGTTTTGTCAGGTGTGTGAGGAGCAGAAATGCGAAGAAGAGGTCTTCCCCTTGGCCATGAACTACGTGGATCGCTACCTGTCCTCGGTCCCCGTGCGGAAAAACCACTTGCAGCTCCTGGGGGCGGTCTGCATGCTGCTGGCTTCCAAGCTGCGAGAAACCATGCCCCTGACGGTGGAGAAGCTCTGCATTTACACAGACAACTCCATCACGCCTCAGCAGCTCCTGGTAATCACTCCCCCTATCTCAAAGAGCCCTCCAGCCCCTCCCCAGCCCTTATCTCCTGCACGCTGCTGCTTGGCACCATACCTGCCCCTGGGGCTCCTCCTCCTCTTGTTTTTTTCCCCCCTGTTTCTCCACCTTCCTCCTTGTTCCCCAACCAACCTCCTCACCCCCTTGCCAGGGTGGATTTGGGTCTGTTGGTGGAGCCCTTCCCATCGGGGCAGAGCTGTGCAGGGCAGGATTGTCACCTCCGCTGTCACCTCCACGCTCCAGAGAGCGTCCCCTGAGCCTGAAGTGCTCGCTGGCAGCACGGAGCTGCCACGCTGAGCCTGCTCCTGGGGCTGCTTTGCTTTCGAGTGGCAGCTCTGGGAGAAAAAAGGCATCTGAACAGTGCAGAGCAGGAGGAGGGGAAGCGTTAAGCGGGGAGCTTCCAGCAAAACGGGTGGACCTGGGCTGTGCTTCCAGGCTGACCATGCTGCCAGGTGAAGGGCTGATGGAAAAGCTGGGAGCGTGCTTCGAGTTAAAGCAGGGCTGCTCTGCCCGTCCCATCAGACACTTAGGTGGCAGCTGCGTGGGCTCTGAAGGCAGAGCTCTTTGTCTGATACGAGCTGCTCAAAGCAGAGATCCAAACCTCTGAGCTCAGCGTTGCCAGCGGGGGAAGGACGCTGGAGAACCCCTTTTCTCGGGGGCCTCCTGTGCTGTCGGTTCTGAGCTCTCGGGAGGAAACAGCCACCTCGGCTCGAGTGACAAACATCCCTGGAGACGGTTTGCCTATGAGAATTTCTCGGGGTTAGTCATCGCCTTATTAAATGTCTGTTTTGTTGTTTTTTTTTTTCTGGGCTGGGGGTGGGTGAGGCGCTCTGAGCGTGTCCCCAGGGTGGGGAGCGAGCCCACAAAACTTTCAGGTGTGAGATGAAGGCAGTTCTGGTAACGGGAGCTCGGCTCTCAGCGTGGTTTTTCCAAGTGCTGGTGAAAGTTGGGGAAAATCCCCTCACCTCCATGCCTCTCCCTGTAGGTTTTTGTGGGTGGCTGCTGCCATACGCAGCCCTCGTGGAAAAAGCACGTGTGAGTAACGGTGAGGGATGGGGACGCAGAGGAGATGCAGGTGCTGGTTGCTTCTCTAGATGCTGAGCTGTGGTCGGTGCCGTAGCACCTTGCTGCTGGGGCTGCCCCAAAAACTGTGAGCAAAGGTTTTGTCCAGCTGTCAGTGACATTTCATCCTCGGGAGCAGCTTCTCACCCATCAGTGTACCCAGGACTGGGTTCATCACGTGAAGCTGATCCCAGCCTGGAACAGAAAGGTTCCTCCTGGCCCTGGGGTAACGACTTGCTCGTGTGCTTCACCTCTGTCTTCCTCTCTGACCTTGAGGGCAGTCCTGCTGCCATCAGCCCTGCAGGTTTAGGGACATCAGCACAGAGCTTTTAGCCATTTCTGCAGCACGGATCGTGGGCCACAAGGAGCTGGACTTGGTGGGCACCTTGTGCACGGCTGCCACGGATCCCAGACGTGCCTTCCTCTTTGATTCCTTTTTGGTGAAGGTTTGCTTCTTTCAGTCAAATTTAAGCTTTGTTTGTAGCAGGCTCCCTCCGGAGAACAGGTGGGCAGAGGAGGTGCTGACACGCAGAAAGCACCAGCCTGCAGGTTTTCCTTCGCCCTGCTTGCAGCGCTGCCTCCCCCCTTGGAGCCTTTTCTCCTTCCCCCAGAGGTTTGTCAGCAGGAAGCTGTGGCTAAGCAGGGCCACAATATTCATCTTCCCTCCTCCAGCCGGTGTTGGGGTGGAGATGGAGGAGTAAAACCCTGCTGCTCCCTTCTGATTGTGCAGGGCTCTGCACCGCAGTTCTTTTTTTGTGCTTTCCCCCATTAAAATACTGGGACGCTCGGCACAGCTGAACACCCAGCCTGGATCTCTCCGCAGGGTGCTCCAGCATCAAAATGCACTTGGGATGGGCAAAAGGGGCTTCACCAGGCTTGCTTTTGCCTAGATGAGCAGAACCTGCTCGGGTTTCCCTTTGCTCTCTGTAAAGACGGAGCTGAAGCAAGGGCTGCGGCTCCGTGAGAGGTTTGGCGTCGCCCCGAGACCTGCCAAGAGTTAATGCCCTGATTACAAAACCAGGGTGAGCTGCTCTTTTCCTCCTCTGTGCTAATCGTGGCGATGTCGCCTCTCTTTCACAACCTTGGGGTGGAAGAGGGTGGGGAGGGGAAGGGGAGCTTCTTCATCAGGGTCCGGACAATGGCGCATCCTGGCCTCCTCTCGTGGAGCCGTGCCATTTCGGCTTCCCTCCCGTCCTCCCAGGGCCCTCGGAGGAAGCTGGCTCCCTTTCCCACTAGGTTTGCTTCCTTCTCTTGCAGGGATGCTTGGCACCAGCTCAGCGGTTTAGCAAGGACACATCTGAAGCAGAAATCTTGATGAAGTTATTCTAGGGAGAAGGAAATGATGCAACAAGGGACTTGTCCATTTGGAGGAAGTTGGATTTCCGTCGAGGGCGTTATCTAACCTACCTTGCTTGGCTTTTTTTTATTTCTTAAAGACTTTTCTGGCCTGTGCAAGCCAGCGCTCAGCTGCTTCAGGGTCGGGGAGAGCACTTGTGGGTCACCTTCATCCTTGGCTTGAGGGCATCTGCCTGGTTTGCCCCTGCTCTGTTGATTTCCCCCTGAAATCTTTGATCTGAGGTCAATTCTTCCAATTTCAGGTGTTTCCTAGCAAAGACCCCAGGCAGGGCCAAGCCAGCGGGCAGACAATGAAGGAAGCAGCAGTGACAGCAGATGATGAGGAGTGAAAACAGGAGAAAGGGGTCACAGCTGAGTAGGAAGGGTTGCTCACTCGTGATAAGCATCGACCTTCCAGGGCGCAGGCTCGTGGTTTGCCTCCTCCTTGTCGCACGGGTGGGGTGGATGCGACAGCTCCTGCACCTGAATTTGGCACCTTCACCTTCAACATCCAGCCCTGAGGTGTGCTCCGGGGGATGGAAACAAACGTTGGCCCCGCGTTTCCTATCTGCAGCTGGACTTTCGTGGCTTCTCATTTCTGTAGCTGTCGGGGAGGGTGGGTGGCCAACAGCGACAGCTCTTTCCACCCTCCTTTTGAGTCAGCCCGCGAGCACATCAGAGCGCAGCCTGCTCCTGCTCTGCTGGCAGCTCCTCGAGGCAGTGATAATGAGAAATGGCAGCTTCGCAACTCGAGTGGCAAAATCAGCTTCTTTTCTCCTGCAGGCAGGGCTGCTGCACAGAAGGAGCTGGGCTCTGCTCTTGTCAGAGCAGGGGAGGTGATGGGCGATGCTGGCTGCTTTCCTTCCTTCTCTCTCTTTTTTTTTTTTTTTTTTCTTTTGGGGGATGCAGCCAGGAGAGATAAAGGGTGCAAAGCCTGCAGTGGCACTTCCCAGCCCCACAGGCAGCTGGCTGAGCCTGGGGAGCTCTTGCAGGAAGGCGCTGGGCGCAGTCCCGGTGATGGGATGCTCGGTGGGCAGCGTTGGCAGCCTGCAGCCCTTCCACGGGGAGGTTGGAGCGGAGAAACAAAGGAACTTTTTCCACTTTCTTCCTCTCTTTCATTAGCCAGGCAGAGGCTGATTCAATTAGGTGCAAAACAAAATGCCAGGAAAAGGATGTTTGCTGTGCGGAGCGACGCTGCTGTCGCAAAGCTGCTTGCCTATCTCTTGCAGCCTTTTGTTTTGCCTCTTCCACAGATGAAGTGATTCAGAGATTCTGCTCCGAGAGTGGGAAATCCCAAGGGCTAGCAGGAGAGGAGTGAGGAGCAGGGGGTTTTGGCTGGAGAGTGGCTTCCTTTACCTAAATCCCATGAGCCGGTGACAATCCTCGGCGCCTGTCGTCTTTGGCCAGCATCTTGAGTGCCAGCTGAGCCTCGGGATCAGGCCCCTTGTACCAACGAGGTTTTCAAGAAGCTGGAAAACCTTTTTATTAGCTGTTAGAGAGCTGCTTTGTGCAGATGGTGTGCTGGAGCAGCCCCAGTGCGGCAGGAGCCAGCGCGGTGCCCCAGGTGAGCTCTCGCTGCTGATCTGCGCCCTGAATCTGCTCCTGGACATGAAATGTGTCCCAGCAGGGCTGTGCCTTCTGCCACACCAGCGTGAATGCCACGTGCCCCTGCCAGGAGCTGGCATACGGCTCTGGGAGGAGAAGGAACAAGGGTCTGGGGGGTGCTGGGCTCCCCTCATCCACTGGGGGCTGGCTCCGTGCGCCGCGATCTCCGGCTCCTTTTGGTGACCTCAGCCCTGGGTCTGCACGGGGGCCGTGCTCCCCCCTGGTGCAGAGGTCGGGATGGGGCTGCTCAGCTCTCGCCCTCGTGGCAGGATCCCCTGGAGGTGCTGCTGGTGTCCTGGCTCCCCAGGAGGATGATGCTCAGGGAAGCAGTTGGCTTTTCTAGCAAAGCTGCTGGCCCTTGGTGGCTTCCAGCTGAGTGACAGCAGGGACAATGCGATGCTCCATCTCTCACAGCTCTGTTCTGGTGTCACCTGGCTGTGTGGCTGTGGTTTAACCCATGGCCAGCAGCTCTCTTTTCTTCTTCCATTAAGCCTGGTCTCTCTCCCGCTCTACTTCCATCCTCTCATTGAACCAGGCACCCTCAAAGCCTTGTGCTGCAGTCCTGAGGCTCTGGAGCTTATCGCTAGGTTCCTTCTTGCTTTTGTGCTGCGGATTTGGCTTAAAAATGCAGCAAGCCTGGCAGGCTGGCCATCCATATGGGGGACCAGTGAGTGTGTTCCAGCGAGGCACCGCTTTCTGCTTGGAGAAGCACGGGCTGCGAAGCGGCAAACGGCGCATTTGGGCTAGCGGGGGGACTCGGAGCAGGTTGAGCAACGCTGCTCATTTAAGCAACCCAGAACTGGTATTGTTGTGTAAGGGGAAGAGTGGGTTTTAAAAAAAAAAAAAAAAAAAAAAAAAAAAAAGAAAGCGGAGATCGGCCTTTATGAAAAAAAAAAAATCTCACTTCTTCAAATCCATCTGTTCTGGTGCTCCTGTGGGCAGCGCTGACCTCGTAATCTTAGAGCGCTTGGGAAAGAAAAGAGGCTGTGTGGGGTGGGACTCACCCTGAAACGGAGACACCTGATCCCAATCCCAGCTCAGCTCTGGCCTTCCAAACCCAGAGCCTTGCTTGGCTCCTGCGGCGTTTCCTTCCCCTGCAGGCTTGTAGGGCTGTCCTTCCCCACTGCGATCGGGGAGGAGGGACACGGGAGCATCTTCTGCACCGTTTCTGGAGCCTTTTGGCCAGACCCAGGGCTGCTGCTGAGCCAGAGGATGAGGGCAGAGAGAAGTGGGAGGCCGAGTGCATTGGATGCAGAGGCTTCCATCACGTCTCGTGGGGGAGTTGGGGCTGTCGGAGAGGCTCAGGGTGGGTGGGTGCGGGCTGCCAGAGATATTCCTGCACGGGTGGGAAGGGAAATGATTCTGTGACCCGCTGGGTGCTGACTGCCACGCGCTCACCCTGGGCTGCTCCGTGCGTCCTTGTTGGTGCTGGGACGGGCACCCAGAGCTGCGGGAGGCTCAGTGGGTGCAGGGAGCGCTGTGCCTCCTGCCCCTTGCTCTTTTTATTGCGTGTGCTGCTGCAGCAGCCTTGCAGAGCACGGGAGCGCCTGGAGGAGTGCCCGCAGAGCAGGAGGCTGATCCGGCTGCACCTGGGGAAGAAGAAGAAAGCAAGACTTGGCGCTTCCTCTTCTGATCTTTGCTCCAGGCTCTGCAACAGCTCAGGGCTGGAATTGTGCCATGGTGGCAGAGCAGGGCTGTTCCCTCTTCCCTTCCCTGTCCGATGTGTTGTGCTTTTTAACTGCCCTTCCCCAAGCTCTGACTTTATCCACCCGTGGTTCAGATGGGAGCTTCTCCACACCCCGCTGAGTGCCGTGCTCTCTGTCTCTCCGCAGGACTGGGAGGTTCTAGTCCTGGAGAAGCTAAAGTGGGACCTGGTCTCGGTGATAGCGAACGATTTCCTGGCTCACATCCTCCACCACCTCCCGCTTCCTAAGGACAAGATGGAGCTGGTGAAGAAACACGCGCAGACCTTCATTGCCCTGTGTGCCACAGGTGGGTGCCTGCTCCTGCTGGGGCCATCCGCTGGGGGGGTGGGCAGTGGTCCCAGGGGGTGCCCTGGGGTGCTGGATGCCCACCTGCACTGGGATCGGAGCACTTTGCTGCTCGGTGATGTGTTTTCTGTCCCTGAGGAAGCAGGGTAATGGTCCTGGGGGCTGTTAGCACTGTGCCCGGGGTGAAGGCAGGGTTCAGCACGAGCCTTCATCAGCCCTTAGAAGTCCTTAGATCAGTGTCATCTTCAGGACCTCTTTTGGTGAGACAGGCCCAGAGAAATAGCTTCAGGAATCCCGCTGCTGCGATGCTCCACCTGTTTGCCATTGCTCCGATCCTATTTCTCCCCGCTCACCTGGAGACACCCCCCTGCCTGGCCCCCGCTGGTTTTGCAGGGAAATCACCCTCCCAGGAACCTGCAGCTCGCACACAACCTTGCTAACAGCTCCTTTTTGTCCCCGTCCTGCCTCCAGACTACACTTTCGTCATGTACCCGCCCTCCATGATCGCCACGGGCAGCATCGGCGCGGCCGTGCATGGGCTGACGCTCTCGGTCAACGACTTCAGCGGCGAGGCCGTCACCGAGCTGCTGGCCAGCATCACCGGCACGGAGGTGGTGAGTGTTCGCCGGGCTGGGAACCCTTCCTATTTCTGCAGCTCCCTCCTGGAGGGGGAAATAAGCTGGCCGTAGCGCTGCTGACCGCGGTTCGAAGAGCACCGAGAGGCTGGGGAGCATCTCCCAACGCCGTGCCCTTGGTCAGGGCCACGGTTGTGGTCGGCTCCTGGCCCCCAACGCCATCTGTGCGGAGCTGGGGAGCCTTTGATGAGCAGCACAAAGGGCAGCGTCTGTTCCCCGTGCGGACAGGTGTCGGCAGGATCGGGTTGACGGGGTGGGATGGGGCAGGGGGAGAAGCCGGGCTCGGCATCTGCTCACCTCCACGGTGTCTGGTTGCAGGTGCCCAGCCCGGGGTGAGAAAAGGGGGCTGGGGGCACGGAGCCTTTTGGGATGCTGCGCTGGGGGTGCTGGGGGGCACCCGCCTGCCCCTCTGCTGGGATTTGGATGAGGAAGGGGGGACCCTTTGGGCTCCCCGTGTCCAGGTTGCTCCTGCTGCAGCGAAGCAATCGGGAGCCTTTATTCTGCCAGGGCCCCTTTTGATCCTTTTCTTCGGCCGGGCCGGGTTGGTTTCAGTCCCCTGACGGCAGCGCCGCGGCTTGGGAGAGGGCGGGAGGCTGCAGCCGGGCTTTGTGTGGGCACAAGGGATGGGGCAGGAGGACGTCTTGCTTTCTTGGTGTGGTTTTGTTTTGTTTTATTATTTTTTTTTAATTTTTTTGTTTGCGGGAGCCTGTTTTGAAGGCTCAATCAGTGCAGCCAGCTGCTCGCAAGCTGCTGCGGTGAATGGGGCAGGAGCTGAAACCCGCTCCGGGGCAGGGCTGCTGCAGGGAACAGGTGGGAAGCAGGGAGAGCACCACGGAGCGAGGGGAGCCGAAAGGGCCGGGGATGGCTCTGCTGCCCTGCAGCCAGGGGCTGGGTGCTGCAGCCCCTGCCTGGCTCCCCGGGGATGCTCCCGGCCTTGCAGCATCCCTGGGCTGTGACTCGGTTTCCCCGTCAGCTTTGGAGCTTCGCTTGTGCCTCGGAGCTGCCCGTGCAGAGCAGGATGAGGCCCCGTTGGCTTCCCAATGTGCCCCCGAGCTGGAGCAGCCCCACAATTTGGCTGCCCTACGGGGTCGGGCTGAGCCCAGCCACCTCCTGGGCTTCGCTCGCAGGTGAAGGAGCCGGGCTGCACGCAGCTGAGCCACACAACTCTGCCAAAATTACCTACAGAGAGCCCAGCTGCGGCTCCTGAGACGCTCCTCAGCCTCTGTCCCTACCCAGAAAGTGGGGGCAGCTCCCGTGAAACCCCCCAGGGACCCCTGAACCCCCCCTGCCCCACACAGCGTGATGGGGGCCGGCCGGGCTGCGGGCGGGCCGGAGGCCGCGCTTACTGGAAGCAGCAGTGGGGAAGGGGAGGTGGGCGTTGCTATTTTTTGCTCGCCACATCCTCTGTCAGTTTCTAAGAACCGGCGGTGGATTCCTGGTAAGAGATTTCGATGTGTGACAATATCCCGCCAGCCTGCGCGGCCCCGCGGCGGGCAGCTCGGCGCCGGCCTGGAGGTGCGAAATGTCACCTCGTGCCCCGGGAGCTGGGGGGGGTGCCTCGGGGTGTCACAGCGCTCCGGTTTCGAGGGAGAGGGGTTTCCTCGGCTGGTCACAGCTTCTGGAGGAGAAGAAAGGGGTTTGCCCTTGCTGTAAGCAGTGAAACGCCGCTGCTCGCCGTCCCCTGCGCCTTCCTGCTCGTGGGGCTGGTGGGTCCCCGGCACCGGGCTCCCTGGGGAGGCTCCCGAGGGAGAAACGGGATGGGGAGAGCCCTGGGAGAAGCTGCGTGGCCTCAGCATCGCTCCTGTAACATAGCATCGATGTCAGGTCTGGCTGCACGGGGATCTGAGTGTGGGGCTGCGTCAGGAGGCTCCCAGCGGGAGCTCCAAGAGACCCCACGTGCAGGGCCTGGGGGGGGCAGGAGGGTCTCCGAGGTCTCCGTGCGCACCTTTTCCTGTGTATGGACCTGGGAATTGGGTCATCAGGTGGGTCCCGGCCAGCCCAGCAATGTCAGGCTCTGCTCCTCCAGGGGGAGAGCCGAAATCGTGTGCTGGAGCTCTGCTGGAGCTCTGCGGGACCCTCGTGGGTAGCGGGGTCTCCTCCATGAGAACGTGGTCGAGGGGGGAGAAGGCAACAGAGCGTGGGGCTTCTCCTGGGCAGGGCATAAAGCGTAGCCAAGCTGGAGATAGCTGGAGGAAAAAAACTGCTGCTGTGTGCTTGGATGCTCCAGGGGGCAGGGAGATGGCCCAGCAGCTGCTCGGAGCTATCCTAAGGGCCCTCACCTGTGAAGAGCAGAGAACTGAGGCCTCTCTTCCCATTCCCTCTCCCGCAGGACTGCCTGAAAGCCTGTCAGGAGCAGATCGAGGCAGCCTTAGCCGAGAGCCTGAAGCAAGCTTCCCAAAGCCAGCAGGAGTACAGCACCGCCAAGACTGCTGCCTACCCGGCCAGCCAGCCCACCAGCACGCCCACAGACGTCACGGACATCAACCTGTGACCAGCCTCCCCTTCCCAAGAGCCGCCCAGCCCCGTGACAACAGGACCTGGCCCCGGACACCCAAATGTGGCTGCATCCCTCCTCCCCACCCAGAGCACGCCCAGGATCTGCTCCGCTTGCTGGCTCCGCGCTCGCCCATCTCCCCTCCTCGAGCGCCGGAGGGGGGCAGGAGGAAGGCGTTTGGGGGGCTCCGACGATGGCCACGGGGGCTGGCGGGGCTCACCGCTGCTTGGACTCCGCTCGCTGGCTTCTGCGGGAGGCAGGGGCGAAGCGACCCTCCTCGTGGTGGTGGGGTAGCAGGAGTAGCCGGGGAGGGGAGCAGGATCCAGGATGAAGCTATAAAACGTTCCCTAGCTCCTGTTCCTCCCAGCCCGGGTGCCGCTGCCTGCTCCCTCCTCGGGTACGTTGACCCTGATGACTTCCAGCCCCCGCGTGGGCCATCGATGGTGCACAGCCAGCCTCGTACCCGGGCCTACGTGACCAAAATGTTGGTAGCCCCCCACCTCCTTCCCCAGGCCGGGGCAGTGCCAGCCCGCTGGGCTCGCGAGGAACAAGCATCCAGGAGGAGAGGAGGGTGCTCGTGGATCCCTGGGTCCTGATCGCTTCGTGCTGGGTTCGTTGTGGCTCCTGGGGGGCTGGCGTGGCTGCTTCTGCTTGGAGATGTGCGTGTGGCTTTGATTCTTGTTGCCATTAGATTTGGGATTTGCGGGTTTGGGGCTTGCTTTGGGGAAGCGCTGCTTTTCCGCGTGGACACCACAAGTCCTCGTCCCCGGGGAGCGACCCCTCGGGTGAGGTTTGGGCGCGACGTGCGGAGCGGGGACGGCGCTGCCCAAACGCAGACCTTGGCAAATCACCTTGGCTTTCTGCTGCCCCACCGAGGCTGCTTAATTTATTGTTAACTGCTCAAAAAAAAAAAAAGAAAAGGGGGAGGGAATAAGACCTGCTGTCCCTTGCTGTGGGGCCTGGGTGCTGGTCTCCTCTCCTTCTTAAAGTGCCTTTATCCCTTCGTCCCCTTCCTTCGCTCCCTGAGCACTGGGAGACTCTCTCACTTTGGAAGCTGGGTGGTTTTTAGGAAGCTCAGACGTCAGACTAGATTTTACGAAATCCATATGAATGTGCTGCTATAGTCTGAAATGCATCTTCACTCCTCCAAGGCAGGGATCTCGGGGGCCGTTCAGGGGGGGCCGTTTTCAACAGATACATTCACGGGGGTCCGCGTTGTGTCCTCACAGGGTGGAACATTCGCTGCGCACTTGATTTGAGAAGTGATTGCATTTTTGTCTCGTTGTTGTTGTTGATCCTGTCTGTTAGTTTTTATATATATATAAAAAAAAAAAAAAGTGTTTTAAAAAAGAAAAAAATAATGCTGCTTTTCTAAGAGAACTATTACAGTGTAGAATTGTATTAACTAGGAGAAGCCAGAGAGACTCTGCAGGGATGGGAGGCAGGACGCTGCTGCTCGGTGACCGCCGGCCACGTGGATCTGTGGCTGCTGTCCTCCTGGGGGGGGATGTGGGGAAGGATGTGGAAATCTTCCGTTTATGGTGCCGCTAGAAACAAAAGTCTTATCAGGTGGAAAAAGATGGGGCTGCTGCTCTTCCCCCCCCCCCCCCCCAGCCCGAATTGGCGCGAGGAGCCATCTGCCACTGACTCCTGCTAGCAGGACGGGCGGGGGGCGCGCAGAGCCTGTCTGTACGAGAAGAAATTTTTTTTATATATAAATGAGGTTTTAATTTAAGAGTAAACTGGTTTGGTGTTCGCACGCGAGAGTCCCGCTGCTGGGAAAATCAGAGGATCCTATGATGTTCCAATAAAGTATTTTAAACCAGAGTGACCGTGTCTAGGGTTTTCCCTTTGCCACCTGCCCCCCTGCTGAGCTGTGCCTCTGCCCCAAATTGGGCTTGGGGGGGGATCCCCCAGCCCAGGGGCTGCCCCTGAAAGCCTCCAGCCCTGCGTTTCCTGAGCAGGATGAAAGGGAAAGGGGCAGGTAGGGCACCGTCAGCGCCAACCCTGCAGGGAGGTGGAGGCGAGCGAGCCTGGGGTGATGCCACAGTGCCTGCTCCATGCTTTGCACTGCCGAGGGATGCGGAGCAGCACCCTAGGGTGGCTCAGGGCTGGATGAACGTGGCCAAGATGCTGTGGGAGAGCGCCACAGCCTTCCTGCAGGCACGATGCCCGTGCACCGAGCAGTTTTGCAGCAGCTGGAGGGGAGGCAGCGACTTCACAGCCTTGGAGGGCACCTTGGAAGCCTCCCCTCTTGCAGGTCGGTGCTGCAGCAGCTCGGGCTGCGCTGCAGCGAGCAGGGAGGGTGCGTGGGGTGAGCCCGGGTATCGCCCTCCCTCATCAGCTTCTGGCTTCTTTAAAGGAGATAAAAATCAGGAAGCCAAGGAAAACGTGCTGCGGTGTGCAGCTGGCCTGGGTGTTGCGTGCTGCTCCTCTTCGCGTGGCTTCTGCTGCTGCCACCGCTGCGTCACCGGGGCCGGTGCCAGCTCTGGGCGAAGCCAAGGTGGCAGGGGGCTGAGCTGGGCACAGCAGGAGGGGTTTTTCTTCCCCGGGCTGTGCCAGATTTGGTGCTGCTTTCAGGGATAAGGCTGAGGTACACACCTTGTAGGGCTCTTACTGGAGGTTTTCCCCTCTGCTCCGGGCTCTGCTGGGCTGCTCTGGCCCTGCACAGGGTCCCTGGGGTAGCTGGGTGCTGTCCCCTGCCTCTGCCTGGTGACAGCCGAGCTCAGGAAGCTCTCAAGCACCACCAGGAGCGCTTTTTTTTTTCTTTTTCTTCTTCCTTAGAGCACTTTTAGGCTCTGGGAACAGTCTGGGGGTGCTCAGCCCTGTGCCCCCACCCTTCCCGCTGCAGGAGGGAGCCGCTCACACCCCAGCCTTTACCCAGCGGTGCAGGCACTGCTCAGCAGCCCCACGCTCCTGCAGTGCAGGCTCAGATCTGCAGCTCTGCGAGGAGCCTGAGGCTGGTGGCTTTGCTCTGCCACCTGCTGGGGACAAGGCACGGCCGGGAGGGGACAGGGCAGGAGGATGGAGCCAGGAGAGGTGCAACTGGTGGGGAGCAGAACCACCCTGGGACTGAAGGACCTGGCTTCGGCTTTATTTTCTGCTACAAGGAGAGGAGAAACCCAACTGCCCTCCCGGCTGCTGGTGGCACGGGGCTGCCCTGCCCCGCGGTGAGCAGCGTGGGGAGCACCCAGGCTGCGTTTGGAGCAGCAGGATCCCGGGGAAGGAGGGTCCTGCGCTCCTCCTGGGGGGCTTCCATCTCAGAGGGCTCCCAGCAGGTCAGGCTGCGGCCGTTCCCTGCTTTTTTTTTTCCCCCAGCTCACTCCATGGCTGCGGGCGGCTGCCCCTCCACGTCCCGCGTCTTGGAGTTCACCAGCTCCCTGCGGATCTCGGGCGAGATCTGCGGGTGGCTGTGGAACTTGAGCAGCTCCAGCAACGCCTCCTTCTGCTCCGAGGCCAGGTCCTCCTTGTAGCGCTGGGCGAAGGCCAGGAAGCACTGGTGCCACAGCACGGGCAGGACCCGCTGGTCGGTGCGGAAGGCCAAGAAGTGGAAGACGAGGGCGTCCACCACGCGGAAGGGCAGCGCGTATTTCTTGTCGATGAGCAGCCGGAGGAAGATGCTGTTGGCGCCGCTGTACTGCATCTCGGCGAGCTTCAGCATCGCTGCGCTGCGGGGGCAGAAGCACAGGGGTGAGGATGGGCACAGCACGAGCCAGACACTAAAGGGACAGACCCGGCGCTGCAGCCCTTGAATCTCAACCCTGGATAAAGCTGAGGAAAGCCCCCCAAGGCTGAGGTGCTGAGGGATGGAGCCGTGGTGCCGCGGTGCTGTCCCCAAAGGGGAAGCGTTCCCCACCCCAGCAGCCCGGCCCCGCTGCGTTACCTGGAGTGCAGGACGGGGATGGAGCACTTGGTGAGGATGCTGCCGATGATGATGGCCTCGCGCAGCGTGCAGGTCCCCGACTCGCACAGGGGGATGAGGATGCCTGCGGAGGGGGAAGAGTGAGGCACTGCCGGCCCTAACCACAGCAAGGGGAGCTGCTGGACACGAGGTTCAGCCCCTTGTCTCACAGCACACCTGACCCTACAGAATAACAGCTCCTCCACCAGCTGTTACAGGGGCTGTGGCATCTCTCTGCCATGCACCCAGCTCCAAACACCCGCAGGTTGCTGGACAAGGCAGAGATCAGGCCTGAGATGGGCTCACAGCCTCACAGATCCCATGTATCTGGCAGGATCTGTGTAACCCTACAGTGCCCCGGGGGGGTTTGGAAGCTACCTTGCCCACCAAGGGGGCTCCCTGCATCTCCCTGATGTCTTCTCCACCCTCTGCCTTCCCACTGAGCCCCTACAGGAGCAATCTGTAAAGGCAGTGGTGTGCAACACGGGGCCCTGCTGAGCTTCCCAGCTGCTGCAGACACCAAAAGGCTCCCTCATACGAAGTGCAACCCTGCAGGGAGTCCCTACCTTTGAACCAGGCTCCCGGCTTGAACAGAGCCTTCTTCAAAGCCATGTAGAGGTGAAAGTTGAGGCGCTTGTACTCGGCGATGTCATCCCTGACCCGTGGCAACAGCACCAGGTTGTAGAACCTCTGGGCCATCCTCTCTTTTAGGTTGGATGAAAATATCCTGGGAAACGCAAAGCACAAAGCGAGGGGTGAGCTGAGGCTCGGGAACCAGGTCCTGGGAGCAGGTGACTGCAGGAAAGTCTTATAGGACATCTGAGATGGGACACTGGGATCCCCTGTGACTCCCTGCCCTCCACAGGAGGAGGGAGGCAAGAGCAGGACACAGGTTGGTATTTTGTATGTCTTGTTCCACTTACAAAGCAAAAAACCAAGGTCAGCAGCTCCCGGAGACGATCTTACCTGGTGGCTTGGTACATGGCAGCTGCTGTCCACGTCTCTGGATCTGTAATGTAGAGGATCTGCTCCCAGTTGGACAAGGCAGGAATGATTTTAAATGCCTTGGGGAGTTTCCCACTCCTGTACTTGGACAGCACCTTTAAAAAAAAGAAATGGATGCAGCCTTGGCAGCGACATACAGGCACTGACAGCACGGCATGGGACTTGGTAGAATTTGTCTTATGAGCATAAGAAAGCCACCCCTTCCCTCCATGTCTCCACTAGGAAAGGACTGTCCTGGGTCCCTGCTCAATGCTGCCTGCTGGTGTGGCAGCCACGGGGCAGAGCTTTTTGGCCTTTACCTCTCTGACGCCCTTGTAGACCTCCAGGACGCGGGGGTCGAGCTGGGGCATGGGGCAGCCCGATATCTCCGAGAGCGCCGTCTCCACCTCCGTCTGCTTCTCCGTGATCTTCTCCATGATGATGTCGGCCAGCGTGCGCCTGGGGCGAGAGCAGGGGGGGAATGGGCAGGGGGCACGGTGCTGGGGAACAGCGGGCACTGCCTGGAGCCCCGTGAGCCCTCCATCCCCATCCTTGCCATCCCCATCCCCTTGGCCCCTCCATCCCCAGCTCCTTGATCCCCGTCCCCTTGGTCCCTCCATCCCTGTCCCCTTTGGCTCCCCAGTCCTTGTCCCCTTGGCCCCTCCATCCCCAGTTTCTTGATCCCTGTCCCCTTTGGCTCTCCATCCCCATCCCCTCCATTCCCTTGGCTCCCTCCATCCCTGTCCCCTTGGCCTCCCCCAGCTCCTCCATCCCCATTCCCTTGGCCCCTCCATCCCCAGTTTCTTGATCCCTGTCCCCTTTGGCTCCTCCATCCCCATCCCCTCCATTCCCCATCCCACCTCAGCTGGCGGGTTCTTGTTCATGAACATCTCGATGGCCTTCTCATCCTCGGGGTCCACCACCACCTCCCCGCCCCGCGCCGCCGCCTGCTGCAGCGAGGGCCACTCTTCATCCTCCTCCTCCTCCTCTTCCTCCTCGGACCCAGAGCCGCTCAGCGCCGGACCTGCGGGGACCAAACCCTTTGCTGTGAGCCCAGATCCCCGAGCTCGGATCCCGGGGGGTACAGAAAGGGGGGAACGGAGGTGGGGGGGGGGTCTCACCCAGCGCCCTGCTCCTGTGCCGGGGGGCTGCGGGCGCCCCGGGGCCGTGCTCTGCCTCCAGCTCCTCCTGCTGCCTCCGTCGCTTGCTGCAGGATGCGCCGGGAGAGCCGGGCATCCACGTATCCTCGGCAGCCTTCATCCTCCTCCTCCTCCTCGGCCCGGCCGCGCCGTGCCCGTACCCGGGGGGCCGCGTCCTGCAGGAGCTGCTCGGGCAGCGGCACCGCGCGATCGGCTCCGGCCGCCGAACCCCGGGACCGCCGCACTTTGGGCATGGTGGGGGAAGCTCCGGGGGGCTTCGGTGTTGCCGCTGAGATCGGTCCCGGACCCCTCAGCCCCGCGTGCTCCACGCGAGACGGCCCCACGCGAGGTCCCCCCCCCGCCCTCTCCAAGCGGCTCCGCGCCCGGCCCCTTCCGCCGCGCCCGGCCCCTTCCGCCGCCGCCGCTTCCTCCTGCGCCGTGGAGGACCGGGAGGGATGGGGGTCACCTGGTGAGGGGAGGGGGTCCTGGGGGGTCCCCAGCCTCCCCCCTGCTCCTTCCCGACCCCGTGGGGCCGTCACGCGGGGGAGGTGTCGGGGGGGGGGTCGTGGAGAGGGGTGCGGGGGGGCTTCTGAGCTGGGGGTGCGCTGCGCATCCAGCACAGCCTGTGGGAGCCCCCCCGTGTGTGTGTTCCCCGGGAGCCCACGCGTGTCACCCCCTTGAACCCACCCGATTTCCCCCCTTGAGCCCGTGCATGACCCCCTTGAGCCCACCCATGTCCCCCCTTGAGCCCACCCGCGTCCCCCCCGCCCCCATTCTCGTCCCCTCTTTGACCCACGCGTGTCCCCTCCGTGAGCCCACGGGCGTCCTCTCCTTGCTCCCACCCGTGTCCCCCCCCTATTAGCCCACCCGTGTCCCCCCCACCCAGATCCTGCGAGGGTCTCTAAGCCTTTTTTTTATCCCCCCCCACGCACCCAGCGTGACGCAGGTGCCCGTGGCCGAGGGCAAGAGCGTGCAGCAGACGGTGGAGATGCTGACGCGGAAGCTGGAGCTGCTGGGGGCCGAGAAGCAGGGCACCTTCTGCGTCGACTGCGAGACCTACCACACCGCCGCCTCCACCATGAGCAACCAAGGTGCACGGGGGGGCACCGGGAGGGGCTGGGAGCCCCCAGCTGGGTCACCCCAAAAGGGCAGGGGGCTTTTCTGGGCATCCAGCGGCACCCCGGAGGCTTCGCTTCTCCCCGCAGCGCTCCGTGGTCTTCCCTTGAAGCTCGCACGCGGTGTGCTGCTGAAATCCTGGCTGCATCTGGAGCTCTGCTGCAGGTTTTGGATGCAGCGGCAGCTTTTTCTGCCAGCCACGATTGTTTTACTCGTTACGCTGAGTTCTCGTGGGGAAGGAGCAGCTGGCTCGCTCGCTGCCTGCAAGAGATTTTCTCTACCATGGAAAATGCGTGCTGCGGTTCCGTGCGCCCTCGCAGACAGTCTCCCCGGGGAGCTGGGACATCCCTGCAGGTCGTGCGGGTGCCGTGTGCCAGTTTGAAGGTGCTGCTCTGCCCTCTCACCTCTGCTCTGTCCCTTTCACGTCACCTCCATTCCCAGGGGTGGCTGCGCTGCGTGGTGAGCCCTGTCCTCAGGCTCCCCGCTCGAACGTTTGCACCCCAGCCAGGTCTCGTTGCTGTCAGTGCGGTTTTTCCTCGAAGCTCCTTAAGGTGCTGCTTCCAGCTGCGTAGTTCTGCTGGCTGCCTTTTGTGCTGCGGAGGATGAGGATGCTGGCAGCATCTGCCCATGGCTGTGCCCTTCTTCTTCGAGCTGCAGGATGTGGGGCAGAGCTCCCAGGGCAGTGGGGAGCAGCTGTAGGGGAACAGGAGGCGTGATGTGACCCGCTTGTGTCCAGGGCTGTGCTGAGAAGACCCCATGTTCCCTCTTGACATGGCAGGCCCTGAAATGGCAGCTCCAAGGAAAGCTTGGCCTGCTCGCCTCGGGACCGTTGTGCCCCCTCTGTCCCTGCTGCACGCTTGGGTTTTCACCCGAGTTTTAAAAACGCTTCGGGAGCGTCTCTCCGGTGGCTGTGCGGCTGCAGAGGTCAGCACTGAGCCCCAGCAGCCTCTCGCAGCGTGCCTGCACCCAGATCCATTTGCAGCCACGAGAGCGGCTTTTTGCTGCTTTCCCTGCAGCCTGAGCTTGCACAGCCACGTCTGGAAAGGTTTCTTTAACCCGGGTAGATAAACGAGAATCAGTTCCCACTTTTACAGCACAGTACGAGCCAGGCATGTCCTTTTTTTCCCCACATTCCAGAGTGAGCCAGGGCCCAGCCCTCGGTTACTGTGGGGCTGAGTTCTGGGTGCCCAGCCCTCTGCTCGGGATCAGGGGGTGCTCTTTGCTGAACCCCCATCCTCTGGGGATCCAGGTCACCCGCTGGTCTTTGAGTTGTGCTGTGCTCCCCTTGGCCAAGGGGTGGCTGCAGAAGGTTGTTTTTTTCCCACTTGAATCTTAAAAAGTCAACACAATCTTTTCATTGAGCCGCTGGATGATGTAAAGTGTGTGTGAAGACACATTTGGAATTAAGGCAGCAAGGAGGACAAAGGGAAACCAGATGTTTCTTGCTTTAAACCCCAGACAAGCACGGGGCTGCTGGTTTCACAGCCCAAACACCGTCGCTCTTATTTCAGGGCAGACAGGCAAGCTGATGTACGTGATGCACAACTCCGAATACCCCCTCAGCTGCTTCGCCCTCTTTGAAAACGGCCCCTGCCTCATCGCGGATACCTACTTCGACACCCTGATGGTGAAGCTGAAAGGTTTTTTCCAAAATGCCAAGGCGAACAAGATAGAGAGCCGGGGCACCCGCTACCAGTACTGTGACTTCTTGGTGAAGGTGGGCACGGTTACGATGGGTCCCAGCGCCCGTGGGATATCCGTGGAGGTAAGAAATCCTCTCTGAAGGGTACAAAATACAGCTCCTGGGTAGGGAAATCTCATGCTGGAGGCTTGGCTAGAAATTCTGAGTCCCCCTTGCTTGTGTGCATCAGTTGTGCTCCTAGTTTGTAGTCAATGTGTTCATGTGTGTGGCAGGCAGAGCATTTATCTCCTCTTCACAACAAGGTTTAATTCAGGCAGGTACTTTAGGGCTCAGCTGTGCCTACGGAAAAGCCTGTCATTGAGGTGTCGATAAACACAACCCTGAAGGGATGCCATCAAACTAAAACGCTGCTTAAAGAACTGACGCGCAATGCGGGCAGAGCACTTCAGGTTGATAAACACACCGGGGCGGGGAAAGCAGCCTCTTCAGCTGCTCATTTCATGCTGATTTGGGTTTGGCTTCCTTTCCCGATCCCAAACAGCCAGTGGCTGGGCCGAGCAGCCCTGGGGGCGAGCAGGGCTCTCGGTTCTGCTCCCTACTCAGCATCGAGCTCGGCATTGAAACAGTCCTGCCCCGTGGGGTGCTGACCTGGATTGCTGCACCGCGGGGTGCTACGAGGGCTCAGAGGCTGTCATCAAACGGCTTCCGCTCCCTCCGTGCAGCGCTGGGGCTGCTGATGAGGCTCGAGAGCATCCGAGCAGCGTGCCAGCTGCCGGCGGGTGGGAGCTGGGCTGCAGCGAGCCTGGAAATCGAAAGGGAGCTGCTGCAGGTCGCGGGAGGATCTAGGAAGGCATTCGAGGAGGTGTTTGGCTGAGTGGAGGTGTGAGTCAAAGGCTCACAGGCTGTGGACAAGCCTCAGCTGGGCTTTAAAACATCTCAGGCAGGGGAAGGGCAAAGCAGAGGAGGTCAGAGCCCAGACATCTGCGTACGTTGGTGCCTGGCAGTCTTTGAGATGGCTGAGAATGAGATGTGTAAAGGTCTTTAAAGAATCCGAGCTGCTGTTTTTCTAAACACACAAGTGCTGTTATCTGCCATATAATTAATAATCACGGCTGCATCTACCCAGGCAGGTGTTCCTAGCCAGCAGGGATGGGATTGAGAAATGGCTCGGTTCTTCTCCGCTGGAATAAACACAGATGTTGCAGTGGCACCAGCACTGCTGTTGACCTGGGGTTAACCAGAAGCTTGTTCTACCCGAAACTTGAGTTCAGGACCAGATTTGCCAGCTGGCCTGGTTGCTTCTGTTTTGGTTTAGCAGTTTCTTCTCAGGGTTTGCATTAGGACATACCCCTGATCTGGGACTGCAAGCCCTTAAATCCCAGTGCTTTGGCAGTGCACACCTGAGAGATGTCACAGCCAAACGGGCTGTCAGCTTAGCAGCTTGTGGGAAGGAAGTTTGCTTTTGGATGGGGTGAAGTTAATGCAACATGTGAACCAACGTCCCAAGATTTCCACCACTGGGGATTTAGTAAGAGCCATGAACTTGCAGGGTGTATTTTTCCTTTCCTTTTCTTCCCTTTTGAAGGGATTGTTTGCGTGTTCCTGGCGTATCCTGTTCGTTTATGTTTGTCCATCCTGCTTGGATTTGCAAAATGTTCTCTTCTCAGAGGAAAAGAAATTGGTGTGTATCCCTCTGCAACCACAGCACTGAGAAGCTGGTCTCTGACTTCAAACCCTTGACTAAATATGTCTCAAAACTCACTGTAGGGAGGCAGAGAGGAATTTGTGCTGTCTCCTGCATGGTTTTTGCCCCTGCTGTGCGCTTCAGGGCTGCGGTTTGTGTTGGCAGGTGGAGTACTGCCCCTGCGTGATAGCCAACGACTGCTGGAACCTGCTGATGGAGTTCATGCAGAGCTTCATGGGGAACCACACTCCTGGCGTCCCGTCTGTCTTTGGCACCAAGCACGACAGCATCTACAGCCCGGCGGACACCGTGGTGCAGTACATGGAGCTGTTCAACAAGATCCGCAAGCAGCAGCAGGTGCCTGTAGCAGGAATCAGATGAAAGGACATGAAAGGACTCCCTGGGGCTCCGTGCAGAGCGACCGCATCCTCTTTCCTGCCTGCCATGTGGATCAGGAGGCCCTCCAAAAAGCGGCACTGGAGCCAACCCAAGGTTTTTTGTTTGTTTTTTTTTTTTCCTTCTAAATCTCTTTGCCCCGTTTCATGGCAAAGGTTTTGAATGCTGTGCGTATTTCTTGTTGGCCTTTCTATTTTTGGGGGGGAGTGTTTGTGCTCAGGCCTGTGGCTGCGATGGTTCTCAGCACCGTGTTTCATGCAGGGGATTACAGATTGTCCGCAGAGGGAGGGAAAGGAGAAATTCCAGCCAAATGCATGCAAGGGCAGAATTTCCTTGAATGCAAGCGGCTACATGAGAGAGAGGATGTTTTCTTTATTACTATTTTCTTAAGATATCCACATGAAAGTGTCATGCTTTTTTCACCAAAATAAAAAGCTGTATTTTTGCGAGGAGATGGAGTCTGTCTGCCCAGCAAGCGCTGTGCTGCTTTGTATTGTTTATTTACAGCTTTTGAAATTTTCCGTTGCGTGGAGACTATTCTTTAGCAGAGTTTTATCTTTGATTTGGTTCGAGAGCTTTATACCCCTGAAGCAAACTAATTTCCCTGTGGCAAAATCTACAGGAATTCTTGCCTTCCTATTACGGGTATGTTCTTAGCTCGCCTTCATCTTTTATATCTGATGGGAGTATTAAAATCTTCCACCTCTCCGATGCTACCAATGAAGCCCGGTGCTAAATAAATAAATAAGTCTGGCAGGAAGCCTCTCACGCACTGAAGAAGAATACCAACTGCTTTATCTCATTGTTTGAAAGCTCTGTAATGAATGTCCCGTCCCTGCACACCATTTCTCACTTGAGAAATCCTGGTGACTTCAGCAGATTTACTGGAGTAAGGAAGGATTTGGGGAATAAGAGCCAAAAATTTATTGTGAGGCTTAACTACGCGATATCACTTGAATATTTTTCAGTGGTGATTTATTTTTACAGCAGGAAAACCAGAGAAATTAGATCCCTTTTGAGCTATCTGTCCCCCTGGTTTTACATATTCAGCATCTGTCTGGCTTGTAGTGGTAATTTTTCCTTCTCTCCCCCCTGCTCAGTCCCAGAATCAGCAGAAACACCCTCATTCAGCAACCAACCTTTGTGCTGAACTTCGTGGTTCCTGGGTAAGGCTGTGCTTAGCGGGGTTCCAACTCTGCAGCCCACGTCCTGGGTAGGAAGAGAAGGTGTAGGGAAGGTACAAGGGGGTGTTAGAAGGGGGACAGGAGGTTCCTGGTGAAGAAGCAGCGGGCATCTTTCGCTCAAAAAAATATTTGTTGGTTTCTTGCCAATACGTGGGCCTGAAGAGCAAGTAAAACGGAAACAGATTTGTCCTAAATAGATTTTTCCCTTCTGAAGCAGTAGGCAATAAAGAAGCTGTTTTGTTACTTGATTTGCTGGCTGGTGGAGAACTAATTATTTAGAAATGGCTTCTTTTTGATTATCGCTTATACCTGTAAACCTAATTAACTCTTAGAGTGCTGTAGGCGTTTAATAAATTTAATCAGCCCTGGGTTCAGAAAGATCTGGCTGATAAGCCGGAATAAATGGCACAAAGCACCATCAGCACCTGAGAAATTCCAAGGTGCTGAATGTTCTGAGTGTTTGCTCAGGTTCCTGACTTGTGCGCCAACTTCAGCGGGACTGTTAATTTATTAATTTTCAAGGGATGGTTACAGAACCTGCCCTGCCCTACATCGTTCCATGTAGCTAAGTGTGGCTGGGAAAACAAAATGGTATTATTTATTTTATTTATTTTTTTTTTACTGATAGTTATTTCAGTCCTCTGTCCCTTTTTAAATCTTAAGGTTAAAAAAAAAAATTCCTTTTAATGACTGGATTAGTCACGCTGAACGTTGCTAATGCTTTCCTAATTCCCAAAAGATGGTCTTAAAAATATAAAACGTGTGCTGGAATCTCTGGGGACTTCTGCTCTTATTAATACATTGTACTGTTCCTAGGGTAATAAAACCGGACCCCTTGAGCTACATTCTGCCTTCAATTACACCATTACAGCCATTGACGTCAGCAGGTTTCCACGCGTGTGAGGACGGCGAGGATTTAGCCCGTTATGGCTTAGCAAAAACACCCATTGCTGGAGCTGCATGCTGTAAACAAGGGGATCAGCTGCCCCACACGAGGGGCTGCCTTTACTCTGGGGCTTTTTACTTTCTCGACGGACAAAATAACTGTGTTTTTCCCCCCCCCAATCTTATTAGCTGCAGTAATCCTCCTCGTTCTGCCCCCCCTGCATCAATATGGCAGGTTAACGTGGCTTCGAACACGCTAGTCTGCATCTTAACAAGTCTTCAGGGGGCTTTCAATTGTGTTACATTAATGGATTGAGCCAGTGTAATTGAAAACCACCCTAATTTTGCCTGTCAAGGCATGGTCTGGAAGGTTGTTTTCCTGCTGCTCCCCAGTGTTTTCTCAGTGAATGTAAAATCTGGAGGGAGAGGCTGCCAAGCTCTATTCCCGTAGCCTCGTGGATCCTTTTTTTTTTTTTTTCCTGCTTCTGCACCTCTCGAAATCACGGCCAGTGCTGTTGCTTTGAGTCAACTGAAGCCTGACCTGGAGGGGATCGGGGGTCCTGGGGATGTGGGTCTCACCCTTGCGTCCACACAGCCTCTGCTTTGCCAGGAGGGGGAAAGCTCAGTGATGTTCCCGGGGTCACTGACGCTCCAGCGGTAGAGGCAGAGCCCAAGCCGCAGTGCTGCACTGGGGGTCTGTAGGGTTTTGCTTTGTTTCATGCTGTGGCATTTTTTACTGAGGAAGAACTTCCATAGCAGCTGCACCCCGCTAGGCTTTACAAAGGGAGCGAGGACATAAAGGCCTCATTAATCTTCAGTTTTAATTCTTAGCAGGCATTACAGAATAAGGGCTCGTTCCAGCGGAGAGCCGTTGCTCAGAAGTGCGTGACTGTGGATTTCTTCGCAGGTACGGCTCAAAGCAGAGCGGGCACTGCTCAGAAAGGGAAGGTGTTGAGGAAGGATGACAAAAGCTCTGAGGAAGTGGAACTTGTGGGAAGGCTGCCTGGTGAAGGAGCTCACGAGGAGGCCGTGGAGCGTCCTTGTACCACGGCAGAAGCCAGCAGGCTCCCACCTGTCGCCGTAAATTGCAGTGCTTTGCCTCAACACCGACTGGGATTGGACTGGGTTTGGGGAGAATGCTTTGTGCAAAGGAATTAATTGCGTTTCATTTTTTTCTGGACTGTCATCCTGATCTTAGCACACAAGAAGGAGCAGCGTCCTCCTGTTGCCATGCCTTGGCAGGGGTTAGGTGTTCTTGCAGCCAAAAGCCTGTTGCAGCAGCTGCTGCACGCGTTTCTTGTGACGTGCCTCAGGCGTTCCCTGGGACAATGGTGGCACTGTGACACCACTGACCTGCGGGTTCCTACCCTCAGGGCCACCTCCACGCCCCCTCGCCTGCAGCCTTGTCCCAGCTCGGTGCTGCCCTCAGACCCTAGGGGTGACCTGCAGGCTCCAAAAAAAAGTGAGTTGTGCCTGTGGGTGACACCGAAGTGTGGCCATCTCCTGCTGGGGACAGTTTGTGCTCCTGGCTTCAGTGCTGGTGTCCCTGATAAACCAGGTCACCATTCCTTTGGGGACAGAGTGTGCGTTTTGGGGGCCTCTGGGTGACCTCAGGGTAGGGCCAGCGTGGCTTGTTGGGACAACATGTGGGACAACGGGGTCTGTGGGACAAGTGTGTGGGACAACAGTGCTTTAGTGCGACAACAGTGCTTTCTGGGTGACAATAGTGCTTTCTGGGGTCCTTCTGTGCTGCCTCACCCCCCGGCCCTGAGGGGAAGACCCCCCAGAGCCCCCCCATCACCTCAGGACCCTGTCAGCCCCTGGACCCCACTGGGGGGCACCCTCTTGTGCCCCCCCCAGTCACCTCAGGAGCCTATGGCAACCCCTGGAGCTCGTCAGGGGACACCTCCTTGTCCCCCCCCAATCACCTCAGGGTTATTACCCCAATCACCCTCCCCCACACACACACCGCGCTGCCCCTTTAAGAGCCCCTTTGTCTGCGGCACATCCTTATTTACCCTCGCGCGCCTCAACCAAACTGCAGCCCGCGATTCACAAAGCCCGCTACGTCACCGCCCGGGGCCGGGCCTAGGCGCTCCCCGCCCCTTAACGCTGCCCTCCCGCTACGCCGCCGTAAGCCATTGAAGGGCTCTCCCTAGCGGCTACGCAAACCGCGTAAGCCCCGCCACAACACCCCGCGGGCTACGCAAACAGCGTCCGGCCTCGCCGTTAGCCCTCCCCACGGCGCTAAGGCTCTTACGGAAGCGGCGTACGCGGCGGCTGGTGAATAGGGAAGGGAAGGAGGGAGGGGAGAGAGAGGGGCAGAGCGCGGTGTGTGGCGTGCCCGCCGACCAATGGCGACGCGGGGCGGGGCGGGGCGGGCGGGGCGGGCGGCCAATGGGCGGGGAGGGGGCGTGGCCGGCGGCGGTCGGGGTGTCTCGCGCTGGGTGACAGCTCGCGCGTGCTGATGATGGCGGTAAATAAAGGGGGGGGGGGGGGCGAGATCCCCCCCTGAGGGGGGGGGGGGAAGGGGGAAAGGTCCCCCCCTGGGGGGCTTGGTTCGGGTCCGGGGAGGGGTGGGGGGGGAGTGAGGGGGTCCTGAGCCCCCCCCCTTTGTAATGGGGGGGTCTTGAAAGGGGGGTGGGGGGGTTGGGGGGGATTTTTGGGGGTTTTCGGGGGGGATTTTGGGGTGGGGGGGGAGCTGTGAGGGGAAGGGGGTGAGGGGAGCTCGTGGCCCCCCCCCTTCTTATGAGGGGGGTATTGGAGGGGAGGGGGTGTATGGAGGGTTTTTTTTGGTGGGGGGGGGCTTTTTTGGGGGGGTCTTTTTAGGGGGGGCAGCTGTGAGGAGCTCCTGCTCCCCCCCCTCTTCCAGTGGGGGGGGGGTCCTGAAATGGAGGGGGCTACGTGGGGGGGTCCTGGGGGTGTTGTGAGGGGAGCTGGGGGGGAAATGTGTGGAGAAGGGGGTGAGGGGGTGCCTGTGCCCCCCCCCCCCCCCCCGCATGGGGACACCCTGAATATTTTGGGGGGGGGTCCCCCAACCTGCTGGGGGGGGGGCTGAGGGGGGCAGCGCCGCCGTCTTTGTCTGCGAGGGGGAGCCCCCCCGGAGGGGAGAAAAAAGGGGCTGGGGGGGGCTTGAAGAGTCCCTTGGGAAGCCAGGAGTCGGGGGGGGAACAGGGGAAAATGGGCAAGAATGGGTGTTTGGCTGAAAAACTGCGATTTTCTGTGCGCCCCCCCCCCCCCCCATTCAGACCCTGCTCGTGCCCCCCCACAGGGAGAAAGAGCAGAGGTAAGAGCGACCCCCCCGCTGTGACCCCACAGCTCCCAAAGCCCCATTTTATCATGGTTTGGGGCTATTTCACGCGATTTGGGGCCATTTCATGCGATTTGGGGCCGGGGAGGGCAGCCGCAGAGCCCCCCCCGAAATAGAGGAGCTGTGGGGTGCCCGGGATGAGCCCACCCGAGGTTGAACATCCCCGGCTGCACCTCGGGTGGGGGGAGAGACGCCAGGAGGGCACCCCATTATTTTGGGACGAGCCGAAAAATTCCTTCGGAGCTCGGATTTGTAAGGAGCGCTCCTTCGAGCTCTTTTTTTTGGTGTCAAATCTTGCGGGATTTGCTTCTTTTTTACGGAGGAGACGCTCGTGGAGCCCTGACTGCACCCCAGGTAGTGGCAGCCGCTCCTGGGCCGAGCCGAAAAAATAGGGATGGGATTAAAAAAAGGGGTGACGGGATTAAAAAAAAGGGGTGACGGGATTAAAAGGGGGAAGGCTGGACCCTAAAAGGGGGTGTGTTGAGGGGGAAAGGGGGCTGCGAGCCCCGAGGGGCTCCTGGAGGAACGGAGGCAAAGCGACCACAGGGGGCTAGAGGGGGGTGAGCACGGGTTGGGGATGGCTGGGGGAAACAAAAGCATTTGGTGGTGGCTTTTAATTGCTCTGAGAACAGGAGAGGTGCAAATATTTGGAAGTTGTGAGCGGGGTTTGATATTCCTGAGCCAGGCGCGCTTTCGTACACCACGCGGTGAGCTGCAAACGCGGGTTTGTTCTGCCCCTCATCGCTTTTCCGATTAATAGGAGCGAGTTCGAAGTGAGAAGGGTGGTTGGAAATTGGCAGCTTCTCAGCTCTGGAACAGTCCTCGGGCCTTGCGCAAGTCGGATTTGTCACGAAGAATTTTGTTTTGTGTTTTCTTCAGGAACAATGCTTAGCAATAGGCGCACACACGCGACGGTTTGCAGGGAGGAATTACCACCAGCGAGTTAAAATCGGGGCTTGATTTTAGCTGCCGTGTGTCCGGAGGCTGCTGCTGAAGGAGGTTTGGGTTGTGCAGCTGACGAGACGTGCTGGAGGCCCCTGAGGATGGAGGAGCGGTGAATGAGCCTCGTGTGCTGTGGCTTGCGAAGCCAAACGCCGCCTGGGCTGCTGGCTGTGTGGCCCGGTGAGCTCCGAGGAGCAGCCAGGGGGGTCCTCGAGGCTCCTCAGAGCTTTCGTTTGCTTGTTTGTGTCTCCTCTGCTCCACCTCAGACCTTCCAGTTTGTTTTCCTCAGTGCTGACTGCGCTTACTGGTTCCTAGTTTCCTTCAAATAATTGGTTCTCAGCACCTAAGAGTGAGCCACAAGAAGTACTTTGCCCAGCGCTGAAAGTAGCGTAAGGACTACAAATTTTAAGACCTTATTTTAACTTTTTTTCCTCCCTCTTGTTAGCTATCGCTCTCCTGAAATTTCTTAGGACTTGTGCTAGGACTCACAAAGCGAAACTTAGCTCAGTCCTCGGCCAGTAGAAGATGTTAGCTGCTAGATTTACACTAGGAAGTGGAAATGCTTCAAAATCCAGCTGCTCTCTTACAAGGTACTGTGTGAATTCTTTCACACCCGTTTTTGATTTGCAGAAGTGTAAAAAGGTTTCTGAAGCTGACCTCAGCTCTGAGTCAAAGCAAAACTGAGGTTTTTCTCCTAAAGTTGTTAGAAACAGAGAGGTACGAAGCTCGTTTGCTTGAAAACTTTGCCTGTAACTTCATACAGTAATTCAAATCAAGTGGGAGAAAAGGAAGATTTATTAGCTCTGCAGCAACGGCTCGCTTTGAGCTGTGTTCTCTGACGTGCTGGGAAAGACTGTCCACCTGATGCTTCAACGCCGAGAGCAAATTCAGGTGCAAGAATCCTCTCTAGTGGTTGAGACACAAAGTGCAAAACTTTTACTGCAACAACCTTTGTGGTTTTCGTCTTGAATATTTCATCAAGGCTTTTGGTTGTTGTTTTAATTTATTTTTTTTTCCCCTGTGGGGAATGAAACCTTCAGAGACGTTCTCGTCTCAGCAGCCTGGAGTTAATTGCTCTGTGGAGAAACACTTCACCTTCCCCAAACCCTTAACCGCAGCGAACAGGCTGCTTGCTTTCGGCATGCTGGACAGAAAGAAGTCCCCGCTGTGCTCACCAGTGTCAGGGACTGGACGACGATCCTCACCGGTGTGAAACCCTGAACTGAATTACTGCTCAGGACAGCGTGAGCTGCAATAAGCCAATTCAACAGATTTCTTTACCAGAAGCCAATAGATTTGTAAAATCTAATTTCTAGATGAGAACATCTTGGTTGCTTGCTCATATTTTTAAGTGTGCCAAGGCTAATGCTCTTCACTTTTCTTTTTATTAGAGTTGAGATCAAAGGGGGCTCGGGCGAGGCCGTTGAGTCGTACGTAGCTTGCAAAGGGTGGAATTACAGCCCCAGCACGCAGGCTTCATCCTGCCGTGGGCTTCAGATCTCCAGGGCAGCTCTAGCACGGCGCTGGAACAAAACACCTTGACGAGGGAGTGAGGGGAGAGAGAGCACATAAAAACAGGTGTGGTGACACCATCCTTTGCCAGCATCATAGGGAGGTAATTCCTAGATGGTCTACAGCTAGTCAGGATATCTGCAATAATTTATATCGCAGAATATCGAGCAAAATGCAAATCTGAATGCTCTCTGTTACCCTACTTCGGGCTGTTTTTGCAGGATATCCCCCCGACTTCTTGCTCCAGTGTTGAGAAGTGATTTATTACTTTGAGCGGCCTTCAGATAGGTAGAAACAAAGTAAACTTGGCTGCTTTGTGCTAAGTGTTAATTAGCTTTCTGTTGCATGATGGTAATGAGCTTACGTTAACTATTGCGCCTCCAACACGGTACAAAGATCGGGATGAAATCTCCGAGAAAATGGCAAACTCGTTGGGGCACAGCTGGAGTGTAAAAGAGATTTTAAAGGAGGCTCGCTAGCTAGCTTCCCCTAATTGGGTAGTTATCGTGTAATTCACTGAGAATTCTGTCTTTTAAGAACTTCACTGAGAAAGCAGAAGAAAACGTAGGCAGGGATTCGAAAGACAGCAGCTCTTTCCTCCCCCCGCTGCATATGAACGTTTGGCTGGGTAATTCAGCCGCCTTTTCAAATGAGGAAGAAAATTGAAATATGTGGATCTGACAGCCCAGAGGTACTGGGAGTGCATTTGAAACGTATCTTTTGTAACGTGTCATTCGTGAGAAATGTACTCTTAAAAAAAAATCTGACTAAGGAGATTTTTTGTCTCCTGTTTTGTACCTTTCCTAACTGAAGGGTGCTTTAGCCAAAAAAAAAAACAACACATCTTCAGACACAGGAATCCCTGCAGAAGACTGGAGTTACTAAATACCATGCTCCATCTCGGCTGTTAAAAGCAAGTTTGATCTATTAGGGTACACCTCAGTGTGCAGTGTATATATATCACAAAAAACTTTTACGCTCAACCCCTCACCAAGTGTACTGAAAAATAAACTTTGTCTTTTTTCCCTCCGGGTGAACCCAGCGGCGGTTTTGAAAGACCCAATTTAATGGAGAAAAGCTTTAGTGCATTTATGTCCTTTTCAGCCCTTTCAGTCAAACCATGGAAGATCAAGTCAAGAGTTATGGGCCACAGCTGTGTTCCTCCATTGAGACCTTCTATAGGACATCAGCTGAGCTGATTAAGAAATGGTGACCACAGCTACGTTCCCTTATTCGCTTTGAAAGGCAAATCCGTCCACTTGATTGAGAAGCATTGCCTTGCAACCATATTTTCCCATTCGCTTTCAGTGGGCGGCTTAGATTTGATTAAGAAATACTGTCCTATAATTACATTCGGTCTCTCTCTCATGCTATGAAAAGCCTCTGAAGACAATTCAAGGTTTTGAACTTTCAATAAAAATGGTACGGAAGAGGGATCTTTGCAGCCTGTCTAGGTGGATATGCAGATGAAGCGATAAGTAGCTTTTAGCTAGAAATACTAAAAGAGTATCTTAAGGAGGGCAGTCGGTGCTGGCTTCTGTTTCTGTGCTGCTCCTGCTTTGTTCCCCAGTTTCCTGCAAGGGATCAGTGGCTCTGAGCTTGATTCCGTTCCAATAAGTTGATGACAAATGTGCTTTCCTCTTATTCAAATAGCAAAACCGTATTTTAGATTAAACCCTTCCATTCTTTTGGTGTGATGGGACCAGGCTTGTCTCCTGCCTGGTGCCGAATCCAACTTTACCAACTCGTTTTAGGTAGTTTAGAATTTCACGTTACGTCGTATGTTAAATGTGTTCCAGCTGAATAACGAGTGCCTCGTGTATTAAGAAAATTGCATAGATTTGTGGCTGACTTCTAGCTCGAGCATTATCTGCATAAATATTGAACTGTAGTCTATCAGAACAGATAATTTTTTCATACATTGCACTTCAGCAAAAGCAATTTGTCATGAACGCCTTTTCCCCCTCTGCGTGCGGATCCGTATAACTCAGTCAAATGAGGAGCTAATGGCTTTTTTGACTAATTAGGATTTGCGTTTCTCTTCGCTGTGTTTTTTTATAGTTGGCAATAGTTGGTGGGTGGAGGGAGAGGGCTAAGAATTGTTTGAAGCAGACTGCAGGGCTGTGTTTTTGTGTCTATAGATATGTCGCTAGAGCAGGGTGGCACTCTCTGCCTTTGGGTGCTTAGGGTTGTGTTTTTGGGTTGTTTTGTGTTTTTTGTTTTTTTGCTCTACTCAGTAATGAACAGTGACAAATGAGACGTCCTAACTCCGAGATCGTGGCTGCTTTAGCGTGAGCCAGACGGGTGCTTCATGATGAATTAACCAACAGACAAGCCAAGTTTCGGTTCGACAAAAAGAAAACCCCGTCAGCTGTCGGGTTGTAGATCAGCGCTTGGCTGTTGGGGCAGGGAGCCCAAGGTGATCTGGTGTCTGTAGCTCATTGGGGTGCAACGAGACCATATAATTATGGCACAGGGTTGATTTCTTCTTGGTTCTTCGGGGAAACTTTTTCTCTCCTCCCTGTCCCATCCAAATCTCCTAACCTGGAAGTGTAGAAGGCAAAAGCGATGAGTTCAGGCAGCTCGTTGAACCAAGCTGGCTCCCGTTCTAATTAAACCAAGGGACTGATGGCTAAATACCTCCACCCTCTGCCAGGAAACAAAAGTTACGGGGAGGCTGCTCCTCGCCTTCCTTACAGATGTTGCTGGAGGGAACAGTCAGGAGGACGAGGAAGCTGAAAGCAAAACCCTGTTTAGATGTTGGCTCAGTTGTTTCTTCTGCCCTGTGTTGTTGGTGTGTAGTGAAACCGTTTGCTGGTGGCATGGAAATCTGAGTTGTCGCATTTGGAGTATTTCACATGAAAATAAGCCCTGCTTCACTACGTGCTTGATTCCTTCGGTAGAGAGGAGTCATTAGCTTGTTGCTGTATGCGAGTGCCTCGCTCCCGGTCTCCGTAGAATTGGCCGTGGCTCCTGCAGCTAGAGGAGTAAACGTGGAGGGAACAAAAGCATCGTGCTGAGTACAAAGGAGCAGGTTGGTCTGGATAGCTCTTTCCCTAAGGAGAACAAAGTTGTGTTGTTTTTTTTTCTGAGCTCAAAAAACGCACAAACAGGGAAAATCTGTTTTAATTTTTGGGACGAGTATTCTAGACTTACAATAGTATTAATTATTCTGGGGGAAAAAAACAAAAAACAAAAAACAAAACATGTAGAGCTCTGCTGTTCTTTTAAAAGAAAAAGCACAAAAGAAATAGTCGAATCAGCTAACTGTTTATTCGCTGGAGTTGTGAGAAAGAGCCCTTAGCTCGGGTTTAATGATGTTTAATCATTCTTTCCAAAATACAAAGGAGGTACTAAAAGCTGTTCAGCTAAGCTTTAAAGAACTAATAGCTATAACTCAGATCCAAAAGTGATTTAGTTCCAGAGGTAAGTCCGTAATCCTACCAGCCACGAGTTAATCTGTCATCAGACTAAGACTGGAAGCAAATCTATTTAACTAAGAATAGTTAATTCACCTGAATGGGAGCGGCGATGAGGATCCTTCTCACAATCGTGACTTTATTTTGGGAGAAAGGAATAGTCGTGGCAGAGGTGACATGAACTAGTGGTTTGCGAAGATGGGCTGAAAAATTCTGCTTGAATTTTGCTCCGCGCTTTCTCTCAACTTTTCAGGGGGGTTTGGTAGCGTGGCTCCCAGACCTGTCATTTTGGATGCTAGAAATGAATGAATCCTTGAATAAGAAAAATCATTTCCTGCTTGTTATAAAACGGGAAGGTTTTAAGAACAGCTTTTTGGGACGTAGGACTGTGACATCAGAACCTAGCTCACCTCTCCCGCTTTCCTTTTCCTCTTGTCCTTTTGTTGTTTCATCTCAAGACAAATTGATGTGACGAACGCTGACCTTTCAGTACGATAATTTATTAAAATAACAGATGCTGTCGAATTGGGCCTTGGCGGATCTTCAGTTCTCAGAGAAGATTAACAGTCTGATATTTCCCAAAGCAGGTTCCCGCTTCCTACCCTGTTCTGCTCGCTCGGCGTGCTGCGGGGAGGACAATGGCATCACCCCTCACACGCTGCCTGCGACTTCCAGGAGAGGATTGCAGCCAGAACAAGCTTCATAACATGGCAAATCAGGAATAATTCCTTGAGGAGGGGGGAAAAAAGTGAAACGTTTCCGTATCTACCAGGAAAGAGAGGCTCAGAACTTGTGTGCCTGCTGGCGGGCTGGATGTGCGGAAAAATGAGAGAAAAACCATTTATTTCTTCATTTTGTTGGTTCCTCTCCGTCTCCTTTTGCACTCCTAGGAAGGGGCACGCTGCCTGGATAGATTTTTCCAGGCTCGTCGGCTGAGGCCGTGCAAATCTCCCCGATTCTTTGTTGACACGAAAACGGAGGAGACCTTGGGTCGAGGCTGGGTCAGGTCGGCAGCTTCTGGAGGCGAGGGGCAGCAGCACCTCCCCTGCCCTGCACCCTGCACATGGGTGCTGGTGCTTAGTGAGCATCCCGGCCCTAATTTGTTTCTTAGGCAAATGAAAAACGAGCACAAGTCGTTGCCTTTGGATCAATCGGTCGCTAAGATTTACTCCGCTTCTCAGTGAACAGCATTCCTTAAAATCCATAGCCAATTTTCGAGCTGCTGCTCCCTTTCGCTCGCTGGGTTTTCCAAGACTTAATAGTAGTTGATTGGCGAGTGGAGGCAGAGGAAATGATGGAGAGAGGTGTGGGAACCCTTCGTTATTTTTGTCTTGTTTTAACCTCCGCTCTTCAGCCGCATCGAGGACACCTTTTGGGCTTAAAACACAGCGAAACGCGCCCGTGGGCTGCAGTACTGATATTTAATACTATTTGCCTATTCATTATGGCTGGGGAGATAATAAGCCCCAGCCTGCTGGGGTTGTCTTGTGCTTTATTGCTTCAGTAGATGGCACTGACATGTTCGTTTGACTGATTGCTTTATGTGTTGTATCAGCTGCGATGTTGTTTTAGATTAGTTAATAGTCTGCCGAAGATTTTGCCAAGATGAATATGAATTGAAATGGGGGAGGAAGAGCAGCGGAGGACTACCCATAACTTACCAAGTATTCACTCCCTGCTATAATCCGTCTTTGTGTCTATCACAAAGAGATTCTCGAAGAGACTGTTAGCCTGCTTCTGAATACGAGGGCTGTTAAATTGATCTCTGCTGCAGCCATCGGTTTTGTGTGCGAGCGGTGCCAGGAGAATTCTCTTGACGTGCTGGAGCTATAAAACTTCGCCTCGTACCTGTGAGATGGAAGGGGTTGGCTTGGGTTTGGGTTGTTAAAATCGCGTGCGTTTTGCTGCAACGGCAGGAAGCAATTAGCAGTTTTTGCAAAAGATCGGGGGGACGGAGCAAGGCGCTCCAGGTCAAAACGTAAGCTCTGACCTTGCTAAAGGAGCTCTTTGCAGGCGGTGGGGAATTGCATTTAATTTTGGTGGTGGTGTTGTGAAGGTGGCTGGGAATTGGGTGGAATTCTCGCTCGAAAAGGTCGAGGGTGGTTGTGAAGTGTTTTTAATATCTGATGCCTGAACTATTGCTGTCAGCCTCAACTCTGAATGCTTTGTTTATGTGGGAATTGGTGATGAATACGGTGTATACTGAATATGAAAAACAGTGTTTAAAGATTATGGTCAAAAGAAGTAAATGCTGTCTGCATTCTGATGAAAAATCAGCTTTTTGGCTGCATCACAGCAGGCCGTGATTAGAAGGAATGATAAGGTAGGGTAAGTGGGGACGCGAGAGAATGGCTCTTTATCTCCTCTCTTCCTGCTTTGTTAGGCCACGCTGAAATCTAACATGGCTCGTTTTGTTTAACTTGTGCCTTGTTAATTATTCTTAATCTGCCTTGTTCACTTGTGCACAGGTCCTGACCCGGGAATACGTCAGCACGTACTCCATCCATCCCAGCCGCCTCGCTAAACTTGAATACTTGCCGAATTGGTCAGTGGTAAGTGAGAAAGGAAACAAAAAGGCATCGCTTTGGGTACGAATCCTGCCACTTTGGGGCCGGTGGGGAGTACAAACTGTCGCCTGGATTTCCAAATAGTGAAAATGGGTGTAGCTCTGTTCGCTTGGCTTCAGCACCGCTGACTTTACGCCCATTACAGCTCTGGTATTGTCTGCTCTGGCTGAGAGAGAGGGCTTTTTTCATGAGTGATGTTCAGGGGCAAACACGTACCAAACTTTAAAACCCCGTGGCATGCCACTCTGCTGTTGTCACAATTATGGAAATAGAATTCATTGTGAATTCATGGATTCTATAAAGCTGCTTGCTTGACTCATAAAGTGAAATTATTATTTTATATTGGGCAGTTAGCATCTCCTTGCAGACTGTTCTAATGCAAAACATTTTTTTCATGTTTTATTCTGATAATTCAAATTGTATGTATTTGCTGTAATTGCTTCAGGCTTATACAGATGTAACTACCAGTGGAAGGGCTGCACTGACTCTTTCCCTTTTTGACTGTTTCACTAGGACTAAAGGAAACATCGTGAATTGTTTTAATGCAGAGTGCCTCTTTTATACAGTGTATCTGTATCGTGTTTCCCAGCTTATTAACACTTCAAAAAGCCAAACCAAAAATAAAACCTCAGGAGCCTATGGAAAGAAAAGGGAGGGGGGGTTTAATGTGTTGCAATAAATGAAGAAACATTAACTTCCAGAACACCATGAACTAAGAAGTATACAGCATTTTAATAATGCTTTTTAACATCCGCAGCCATTCTGTAGCAAGTTCCCATAGTTTCAGAGAGCTGTAGGACCTGGATCCTTTTTTTCCTGTTCGTTTTAAGGTGACCCCAAAGAATAAATTACGATCTTAAATCTAGGTTCAAAAGGTGATCATTCTTTTTATTCATCTCTTGTACTTGGACAAGAAACGGCGTGGGTTTGGCTTAATAAGAATATTCATTTTTCATCTTTTTAATATTTCCACTTAAATATTCATCCTTAAAATATTTTAATTTTTAAAAACTTCCAAGCTTCAACTCGTATGGCTGGGGAATTTGAATAGCTGTGCAAATTGGCGAGTTTCTGAGGAGGGCTGTATTAAAACGCTTTGCGAGCTGAAGAAACTCGCCTTGCCTTCGCCCTTTTGTGATTATTTTCAAACCATAAACTGCCAGATATATCCCTAGTGGATGCTGAGCTGTCTCCAGTTTAAGAGAATCTTCATCAGGAAGGAATGTAGATAGAAGACACATGCACATTTGAAACTATTTGTTGGCCTGTGTAAAATGGGAGCGATTGCTCTTCGAGGACACAGGCAGCGTGCGTTCTTCTGGTTTAGCTGCAAATTTCTTCTAGCCCCAGAAAAGCAATTTGGTGTTTTTCTAACTTTCTGGTTCGAGCCTTTCTGGTAAAGGAAGTTTCTATCTGCAGAAGCGGTGGTTGGGCTGGGATGTCCAAAGCAGCTCAGCAAGCACAGCAAGCAAAAAAGGCAGGGGGAGGTTCCTGTAGACTCCAGGCATTGCCTTGCTTTAGGAGCAGGGGCTGGGGGGCTTTGTACTTTCTGTTCAGGCTTCATCAGCATGTTTGCAAAAAATTTCAGTTTATATGAGGCCGTAGATTTTAGAATGGCAGTCATGTTTAAAACAGCCTGTGGGACATTAAAACTTTTCCTGGAGTACTCAAAATTCCAGCGTTTTAGGGGAAAAAGAGAATGTTTTCCCATCGCTGCTCCTTTCCCAGGGAAGCTCTGAGCACTGGATTGAACGCAGCTTTAACAATTTCTGTGATGCTTGGTGGTTAGATAGAACCTGTGAATGTTACGTTTTCTGCAGGTGTGGTCTGTTGGGGAGCTGAATTTGGGGTAAATGTGTCCAGAATGGATGGGTTCTGCTGCTGCCTGGTGTGGGATGGGTTTAATATCCAGTGTGCTGTGGGACTGGGACCTTAATGCCTCTGGTTTGGAAGTTTTGGGACGCTCACATCCACCAGCTGATGGAAATGCGAGCCAAGAGGTGTCATCCTGGTCAGGTATCCCCCTAAAACTACAGGAACTTCCTAGGGAGGATGGCTGAGCTTCCCCAAGGCGATGAATCCCCAGATTCTGGATTTGAGCCCGCAGCAACGCGTGCACTCGCAGCAGCAGTTTAACATTGACATAGTTATAATTAACTTAAAGGACTAAGCAGAACTTTCCATGGAATTTGGCAGTGAAGTCCTGTTTTAGTCGAGCTCCCTTGTGGTTGCAGCTTCGAACTGGAGCAGGGCTGCATGCGTGGTGCCGTGTGCTGGGCACGCGGTGTCTTTTGCACAAAATCCTCCGGGCTCATGGCAGCACGTGTGGGACGCTGGCCACCTCCCAGACGGGGATGTGAGAGCTTCCAGAACTCCATAAACTTGGGATTTGGACGGAGGAGTTCTCTTTCAGGGCTCTGGGAGGTTGCTGAGCTGCTGCCCTTGCAGCTGATGCTCCAGAGAAATAAAATCCGTGGGGTTTGCAGCTCGGGGCGAGCGCCCATCCTGCTCGTGGTGATCGCAGCCAGGACAGGAGGGAGGTGAGAGCAGCGACTGCTTTTGCTGTCACAGCTGAAGGCTCCTGTCACAGCTAGTCAGAGCCCTTATTTGTCTGCGTGTCTCTTAAGTTGTGGTTTATTCATGTATTCACAGTAGCTATTTAATTCACTGCTTTGCTTGCCTTTTCAAAGAAACCCCGTACACCTAATCATCTGTAAATTTTCCGAGCGTTACTTCTTTTTTTTTTTTTTTTTTTTTTTTTTTTTTTTTTTTGTCAGTTGGGTTAATTTGCCTGTAACTAACTCGATAGTGTGTCATCTTGGATAGAGAGAAGCCAGCCACTGTAGGATATAAAGCTGACAATTTTTAATAAAACATGCTTTCAGTATAATTGAAAAAAAAAAATCTCTAGGGCTGCCGTTAATCTTCGGAGGCGCAATCTGAAAGCCTGAAACCAGCAGGGCTTGGACTGGAGGAGTAAAGGGAGAAACCCAAACCCATTCTCATTCTGCCAAGCGGATGGCTCTTGGGAGAAGAAGTGGAGGGAGAGCTTGTGGAGTGTTTTCTGCTGTGCTGCCCGAGCTGGTAGCTGTGGACCGTGCCCAACTTCAGAAGGACAGACAAGACCTGCCCAGGTGATGGGGCCACGGAGCTCTTCCTTTTCTCTAAAGAAATACCAATTGCACGATGTTTCGGTGTGCAAGGTGCCATTTCTTGGCTCCCACAGGCTTTGGGAACTGAGCATGGGGTAGGAGTTTTGCTGTGAGCACGTGGAGGGCTTTTGCTGGTGGAGGAACGTGGCTGCCTTCAGCAGGGAGTTTTTTTTCCCCAAATCCCGAGCAGCTCAGATGACATGTTTTCATTAGACATCTGGTTGAATAATTGGTTCCTCACAAATGGGTAGGTTAAAATAATCAGAGGAATAAAGTTTTTGAGTAATTGTATGCAATTTTTAGCTATATGTTCTCTCTGATAACTCCTTAATTTGCATTTTCGAGTATTTGCAGCAGGCTAGAAGTTCCTCTCTGAAGTTGTTTGGAGAAAATTGTTTGGGGGCAGGGGGCCTGGAAGGTTCTTGATTTTTGCACCGAAGATATTTAAACTTCAGGGGTGAAATGCCGTGTATTTGTGTAGGATACCTAGTTCTGATGGAACCCCAGAATATCTCAGGATGTTTTTCCTGCGGTGTTTTTAAACAAAACGAGAATCGCAAGAAAGGCAGGCGTGTTTTATTTAATGCGATAGCAATTCCCCGCGGACCGCTGAAATGCTGCAGTGTTTCACTCTTGCCACTCCCGGGAGAGGGATAAATGAATGAAAGAATCATTCAGTCTGAGCTTCCCACCTGTCTTTTAGAGATGACTTCCAGATTGCAGCTGAAGGATTTTTGTGCCGGTATTCCGGGCTCTTATTTGTTCTGGAGCCAACCCTTGAACAAATGGGAAGCGCACCGAGTTTCCAAGGCTAAGCATCCAGCGCCTTTCCTGATCCATAAACTTTTTTTCTTTAACTTCACAGACATTTAGTTAGAAAAAGAAAGTAGCAAATGTCAACAGATCTGCGCAGATGGCTTTAATCAGTTTCCAAACGTGTAACAATGGTACAAAGGAATATAACAAAGTCATGTGTTTTATTTTAACACTCTCTTAGTGTTAAGATTTTCTGCTGCGTTTGGTTCTTGAAGTCGTTGCAGGATCTTGCAATAAGCTTTCCCAGGCTTACGAGCCATACAGGTAAAGAAAGCAGGGTCTGAGCTTGTGTTTAAATGTGTTTAAGTTATTTGCAAGGTGAGAATTTTTCAGATTGTCTCTGGAACGTTCCTGGTAGTCCAAGAGGAGCTGGCTAGTTGTAATGCAGCTCCACGCTCTTCGGGTACCACTGCTCCGTGGAAATCAATGAAATTGTTCCTCCTGCCCCCACCTCTTACCTGGAAAAGGTCCAGGCAGGCAGGAAGGGACGGCTCTAGCCATATAGCTATCTCTTCAAATGAGATCCACCTTGATGGAAGAAATCGTAAAACCAAGAAAAAAAAATACATTTTATTACTATGATGTTATATTGTGATTGCCAAGAGAGGAGTTCTCGTAGTTTCTTTCCAAGACCTTAAAATGCAAGATGTTAATTCACCATTATTACGCTGCCTGCTCATGGCTTATCCTAGACTGTCACATCAACCACAGAAACTTGGGATCGGTTGTTGCTTTATCTTAAATGGCTCCAACTCTGTAATCTTGGCAGGGTTCCCCCCTCCCTGCCTTGTGCGACTGTGTACAGGTTCTGACTCATCTCTGTGTTTCCCTTTAATCAGGGCTTTTTAATTTCTCCTGCTAGCGCGATGTTTTTTTTCCTTTCTAGGAGGTTGTGGCAAGCTGTTTGTTTACCTACATAAAACAGAGGAACAAATTTTGGGCTTAATTGTGTGCATGTGTCTTCCCCTGACTTATTTAGTAATCAGGTTGCGTGTGGGGTGGCAAGGCTGAACCTGCAGACGCTCCAGCTGCCATCAGTACGTGTTGCACAATGCCGGAGAGCCTCTTTTCATTATTTTTTTCATGGAAGGAGTCAAAAAACGTGAGTCTAATGTGCATCCGTAACGTGAAGGAGAAAATCTTAAATGTGGAGCATGGCAGAGGCTCAGTGAGCAGCGCGGTGCTCGGGCAGGCTGCTCTCCCTGCACAGCTCGGGCATTAAAACCACAGCGAGGAGAAGCAGGGGATCTTATCTGACAACAGCCTTGGGAGGGGAAGTGGGAAAGATGCATAATTTGAGTCGTTTGGGTTAAACGAGCAGCGTTTATGTCTAACTCACAGAGCAGCCCAGCGTATGTGGGATTTTTTTTTAATAGGGTTTAGATTTGCGAGGGAAGTGTTTGTAGGTACCTAAAGAGAAACAGGTGGGGAACATCGCAGGCAGCATCAAAGATGCTTTTGTCCTGAGAATAACTGAGCGAAGGTGTAACAAAGCTGCCTTGTTAACCGACCAAAGTTGGTAAAATATCTGTCCTCTTTTCAAACAGGAAATCTTGCTGGCCCACACAGGAAAAGCAAAAGCAGTTGACAAAAGGCTTGTAATTTATATACTGACAGCCCAGTTCATTGTTAAACATGATTCTTTAATGCGCTGTATCTGGTGTGTGATTGATTTCCTTGTAGCCTGTTACCCAGCTGAAACTAGCAACATATCAGCCTTATTTCTTATTTCTTTTTTTTTTTTTTTTTCTTGGAAATTGAGGATAAATCCAGCGCCCTTTGGAAAATATTGTGTCCCGAGACCTTGCAGAGCTGGTGAGTGACTGCGCTGGGCAGCTGCTTCATCCATCTCTAGGAAATAACGTCCAGAAGGCCCATTTTTTGTTAGATGGAACAAATATCGGATATGCCTGCGAGACTCAAGGGTTAAATTCCCAACACTGTCGCATATGGCAGTGAGCAGAATCACAGATGTTGATGATACAACATAATTAGTATTCTTTTATGTAAATGAAGGCTGTCAATGTTACCATAGTGTCTATACTCTTTCAAGCTGGAATCTCTGCCACTTGGTCTCACCAAGGCTAGACGGGATTATTCCACGAATTTCTAGCAAGGCTTGAGCAGGAAAATGAAGAAGAAGGGGGAAAAGAGGTCTGGGAGGAAGGCGAGAGAAAGGTGAGCAGGGACGCTTCCAACTTGGAAGGAGGAGACCGGACCCGTCCTTTGTTTACTGTCGCATTTCCAAAAGTCTCTCCAGGTCCTGGGATTTCTGAGTGAATGAACACCGTCCAAGTGCGAGGTGTAGCGATTTTAACTATTGCAGATAACTGAAAGGGCTATTTAGACACTGGAGAAAAAATCACCGTGTTGAGATGAATTCTGAAGTGGCCACTTGAGCTTCAATCTGAAGACGAGGAGAGTTAAAGAACAGAAAAGCTTTGATTTTATATATATTATTTTATATATATATATATTTTTTTTTTTCTTTGACAGATTTCATCTTTAGCAGCGATATCAGTGGAAAGAGTTAGCAATTGAGGTAAATTTGCATCATTTTAGGACCATTAAAAATAAGTTTTCTTAGCCTGGTCAGAAAGGTTTTCTGTATGCCATTCAGAGGCAGTTGTTCCATATCTATCCTAAAGCTTTTAGAAGGTGTGCTATTGCCTTTGTTATGCTAAACTCTGTCCCTTGTAAAGTGATTTTTTAACTAATTATTTTAAATACTTGATCTGACACTGTCTGTGACGTCTGTAACCACTTTGTGCATGTCATCACTGTCCCCTGTATCACTTTGTATTCTGTTGAAGTACTGTAGCCAGATATATATGAGCAAATGAATTAATTCTTTCTTGGATTGTTATACCAGATACATTTTTTTTTAGTCTTTTTTGCCTTTGGCAAAATGCAGGTTTTTCCTATTTTTTCTTTCCTCTATTTAGTTGCAGTTTACACTTGACAACTATTCTTTTCTTCTTTTTTGTTGTTTGCAAAAAATCATTTAGAAATGAAATTTAATTCAGGACAGATTTTTTTTAATCTCCTCCCCCCTTTCACCAAGTTATCGAAGCAGCCAAAATTGAAGTGATCCCAGGAGGTGCACGTTTTTACTCGTTTCTTTTTTTTGCTCGGATTTTTTCCCTGCCATATGTTGGGTCAACCACTACAAAAGACTTAGGATGAAGAGGCTACGTGTGATCAGCAGACTTATAGATTATCAGAAATGAAAGCAGGAAAATGAAATTCCAAGTGCATCTTCCCTGTGATTTTTTTTTTTTTAAACGTCTAAGTATTTGGGTTCCTAAATGCATTCGTGCTTTGACTTTGAGGTAATTCTGTTCCCTAGAATAAATGTGTTTTCCGCAGTAGCTCTTGCACTGAGGGGACTAATTGCGTTCAAAAGCAACCTTGTTTGCTTTCTTAGTTTATGTGCATCACAAGAATATTTTCTCTCTAGGGTTTTGAAGCTGCGCTGCCTTACAATGAAGACTTAAGTAGTAATTAAATTCTCAAAGAACCACCAAGGCTCCTTTGGATGAAATGAGGATGTTCCAGGCTCTGGACGTCGTGTCGTGAAGGAAAGAATGTTTAGACATGACTCAGTGAGTAATGCGTGCGTGTGGGTGGGCCTGGGTGCTGTTTCAGTGCCCTGATGGCTTTCACTTGTATCAGGACTGCACAAAAGACACCACTGCTGGCACGAGGAGTGGCACTTCAGTTGTTCTCCTTGTACAACTGAATATCTCTTATAAAACACATGGACTCGTGTTCATGCAAACAAGTACGCATGCAGACGTTTCATTAGGTTTACTCTAACAAGATGTTACGCATTTCATTTTTTTCCCCCTGATGATTTTTAAACGTTAAAACTATTTGGGAGGGTGAGGGAGATCGGAGAATTTGAGGGTAGAACATAAAGCCTGCAGACTTGAGATCGCATATAGACCACGTCTGGTTATGGCCATTACCTGATATTTTTGTGGCTTCTCTGAAAAGTTGCTAACCTCCATCTAGTTCCTGATGACACGCATTCCAATTCCAAATTCATTTTGTATGTATCAATTTCAAGAGGGCAGCTAAAGATCAAACGTGTGGACTGAATTAATGTTTTTCTCTCTGGAAGCGAGCCATTCGGGTTGGGTAGGGCACACTGGCAGATGTCTGGGCCATCCTTAGTAGACGGATAGACAGTTTTGTTCTGCAGAGCTTGTCAATCCAATCTCTGTTGCTGATACTAAAAACTGCTCTTAAAAATATTGTGCACAGAAATAATGTAGTCGGTTGAAGGAAAACTGCAATTGGAATCGATGTGACACGACATCTGTATTTTTATAGGTCTTTTTAGGTATTTTTTAGGTCTTTACATCTGGTACAAAAAGAGAGCATTTTAAATATGGAAGTGGGTCTAAGATTTTTTTTTTTCTTTTTGCCTTCCAAGGTCAAAGCAGCGAAGACTTCTGTAAGAGATGGATAGATGCAAACATGTTGGGCGGCTACGACTCGCCCAGGACCATTCTATCCTGAACCCGCAGAAGTGGCACTGCATGGACTGCCAGACAACTGAATCTATCTGGGCTTGTCTGAAATGCTCCCATGTAGCCTGTGGGAGGTACATCGAGGAGCATGCACTTAAACACTTTGAAGAAACCCGACATCCATTGGCAATGGAAGTTAATGACCTGTACGTGTTTTGTTACCTTTGTGAAGATTACGTCTTGAATGATAACCCCGAGGGTGATCTGAAACTGCTAAGAAGTTCTCTGTCAGCGATTAAAAGTCAAAAACATGATCCGTCGACGAGAAGTGGCAGGACTTTGCGATCCATGGCTTTGGGAGAGGACATGTGCAACCATCAAAGGACCCTTCAGGGACAGTCTCAGATGCTTACAGCTCTCTGGCACAGGCGCCAGTCCTTGCTTACAAAGGCGCTGCGGACCTGGTTTGATAAGAGCTCCAGAGGCCAGCAAAAATTACAACAGAAGAAACAAATGGAGGAGCTGGAGAGGAAGAAGGAGGCAGCGAGGCAGCGGCGGCAGGAGATGAAGAGGCAGCTTCTGGAGGAGCTGGCAAACACTCCTCCAAGGAAGAGTGCGAGGCTGTTGTCCCACGTGCACAGAGAGAACTTGATTCCAAGGAAATTCAGGGAGGTGGCGACCGCTTCCCCTACCTCAAGGCAGATGCAGAGCAGCAGATTCAATCAGTTTTATTCCATCCGGCGTAAGCCTCTGATGACTCCCGGGGTGACGGGTCTAAGGAACCTGGGAAACACGTGTTACATGAATTCCATTCTGCAAGTGCTAAGTCACCTCCAGAAATTTCGAGAATGTTTTTTGACGCTTGATCTCTGTGAAACAGAAGAACTCTTAGCCAAAACTGTGAATGGGAAGTCTAGGATGCCTGGCAAATTGGCAAATGGATCCGCTGCTAATGAGTCAGGGAAGACTGACAAAGTGGGATCATATGGCACGCAGAGCTTGCCAGCTGGCTTAAATGGTGGCTCCTCGATAAGCAGGAGTTTAGAACTGATACAACCCAAGGAACCAAGTTCAAAGCACATCTCCCTCTGTCACGAATTGCACACCCTCTTCAGAGTGATGTGGTCTGGCAAGTGGGCGCTCGTGTCCCCGTTTGCCATGCTGCACTCTGTGTGGAGTCTGATCCCAGCGTTTCGGGGCTACGATCAGCAGGACGCTCAGGAATTTCTATGCGAGTTGTTGGATAAAGTTCAGCAGGAGCTGGAGTCGGAAGGAACGAAGCGCAGGATCCTCATCCCTTTCTCTCAGAGGAAGCTCACCAAGCAGGTCCTGAAGGTGGTGAACACCATTTTTCACGGGCAGTTGCTAAGTCAGGTATGCAGCTGGTTTTGCACAGAAATCAGTGGGAGCTGTTAACAGCGAGAAACAATGGCTTTGTTTCTTGAGGAACCACCAGATACCGAGGAGTAATTGCTTAGGAGTGCCTCCTGAGAATGCAAACTGATTGCTGCTCAGGTTGTCAGTGGTTTCGATGCTTTTCATGTCTATTGTAAATTTAGTGGACGTTTGCCACTTGAGAATGACATCTGCACTAGCACAGAGGTTCTGAGCCCCTACTTTTAAGTTTTTATTGTGTTTTTAAAGCGTCTTTGTAGTTCTCATCCCTTTATGGCTTTGTTTCTGTGACTAGAAAGAATACGATGAAGGACAGAGAGGGCAGTCAGCCTGCGCTATAAAGAATAAGCTGTCTGTGACACTTCTTATTTGCAGGCCTTTGAAAGTCATCTTGAGATGCTGAGCATGCTTAACATATGTTTCTGTAGGAGCTGAACGTGCCTGCCCTGTCACGCTGCTTGGTCTTTTATTCCTGTGCTGTTCCCTTGTCTGAAACGCATTACTCCCCACAAGGCTGACCCTGAAAGCACAGCGTGTTTGAAAGTCCTCCGCTGCCTTTGCTGTCCAGGAGAAATGAATGCTCACATAACTTGACACTTCAGGGCTTCCACGATCAGCCCCCGAGGCGTATGATGTGTGTGCATCCCCGGCAGTCTCTACGTGGTCTGTCTCAGTGCCAGCCTTGCTGTGCCTACCACTCCTAAGGATTCCCATGCGTGTTAAATACCAAAAGGTGTATTTTTGGAGCTAAAGCTCTGGATTTCCAGGGAAGGAATGCTTGAAGTCCTGGTTTGTTTGAATTGTCCCTGCATTGCATGAACTCCTCTGCTGAACTGAATGCTCTTTGTCCAGTTGTCTCTTGGCTCTGAAGGTGGTGCTTATGGCTAAGGTCAGTGTGCTAGGTAGGCCTGTTAGCAGCAGGAAGATGTTCACAAATCAGCCTGAGCTATCTGTTGTTACAATATATTATAAATAACTTGTCAAGGTATTTATTCTCCCTGTGTACCTTGTGTTGAATTTTAAACCTCTCCAAGCACAGAAGACCTCCTTCCCCATCCGCTAGCTACACTGAGTACATCGTGAAGTTACTGGTGCCGTCAGAGGATGGAGGTGGATGGCTGGAAAGCCAGTGCAAAGCTGGGAGCTGGTTTTCTGCTGGAGAGTTTTCACAAGGATGTAAAATCTGGATCTGCTTTCTGGTTTTGTTACCTCCTCATCTTCTTGCTTGCTGCCTCTGAGATTAGTGGAAAACTTTTCTGCTGTTCATATTTATAATACTCCAGAAAGACAGCAGAAGTGCACTTTAAATTTGTCCTTTCGTGCTCCATTCATGAATAATTTTTATAGAGTTAGCAGATGAAACAGAGGAATTACACACAGCACTTTAGAATGTGCAAGGAAAATAGAGAAACGAGGGAAGGAAGATTGTGTGATAATTGCTAACCCATGCTGCCTGTAGTAGAAAAGAGTGCTCGTTACCCAGCCGTGGAGTGGTCTTACACCTGCAATATCTTCTGGGGAAGTGAATCCCATCAAGGTGAATGTTGTCTCTGTTTCTGGAGAATTGAGAAAGCAGGCTAAATTATTTGCTGCAGACATTTCTAATTTGAAAACTATATGTAAGAAGGTTTCTCTTGACCTGCTGGCCATTTTTCTGGCTGTGAGGCTGTGCTCCTTGGGCGTAAGCTTGCCATTTAGGTGTGAATGTAAAAATCTGTCTGCAGGTGAACGTGTACCTAACTTCATTTTTGTACCAACATTTCATCCCCAGGTCACCTGCATAACGTGCAACTACAAATCCAACACCGTTGAGCCCTTTTGGGATCTTTCCCTGGAATTTCCTGAGCGCTATCACTCCATTGAGAAGGGGATCATCCCCGTTAACCAGACGGAGTGCATGCTGACAGAAATGTTGGCCAAGTTCACAGAGACTGAAGCTCTGGAAGGGAGGATATATGCATGCGACCAATGCAACAGTAAGTCTGCTGCTGTCTCTGCTGATTAGAAGCCCTGGATTTTTTTTCTGAGAGGTTCCTGATGTATGTTTTGTGCCTGAAAACCTGTTGTGACCGATGCATACCCCTCCCTTGCATTGGAGGGGAAGGGGAAGGAAACTTAGAGCTTGGGGGGGATTGGATTGAGAGTCAAGAGGAGAAAACAATAAGGAATAATGGTCCTTACCTGCTGCATGGCAGGAAAGCTTTTGTAACAAGCTGTCTATCTGCTCTCTGCTCTTGATTGAATCATTTAACCAGAAGTCACAACTGCAGAGTTCTCGTGGTCTGCCACTAGGTTAGAGTTTCTCTCTCTTTGTAGGCGTTTTTGTCAAAATGCAGTGAAGTGACATTATTCTGAGAGTCTCAGGTTAATGTATTACCTGCTATATGAATGCGTGTGTTTTGCTGTGCTCAGCTAGAAGATGACTTCTGTAGCAGGTCTGAGTGTAAGGTCATTATATTTCTGAATGTAATTTTAGCCTCGTGTATAATCATGCAGCTCAGCTACTCTGATAAGCTGTGTTTGGATTATTTTTTTTCATGTAGGTATTTATGGCAAATGTTTATTCCCTTGGGAGGAAAATGGCAATAATTTGACTTGCATTGCAACGAGGCAGCTGAAATAACAAGTATTTGTAGAGACCTCTTCGCTATCAACTTGTGAATCAGTTACCAAGCATCTTCCCAAAATGTTGGGAAATAACCATTGACTGAGATGTCCTTGAAACAAAGCCAAATATAATTTGGACAGATTCTGATTCACAAATAATGTTCACAAAGCGTCGTTGTGATTGAGCACAGCTTTTATCTTAACTCAGTCTTCTGTGATTTTTTTTTTTTTTGTGGAAGCCCAAATTTTAACAGTTGCTTCAGAGTTAAACAGTTAAAGAAACATTTAGCCAGCTGAAAAAAATCGGGGAAAGGCAAATAAATAGCTTGCATCTAGGTGCCAAAAACTATTGGGGGCAGTGCTTGTCAGACGCGATAGAGGAGGAGCAACCCATCTGTTCTGAGCTGGTGCAGCGAGGTGCAGAAATCTAATTAACAGGTACATTTCTTAGTGGAAACTGAAAGCCACCTGTCTTCCTGGTACGGTGCTGTGTCTGGTGTTCTGGAAAGAGTAATCACTGGGAAGAGGAATGTTTTTTCCCCTCTTCTCCAGTTTCTGTTCAGCCATCCCTTTTGCTTTGTGAGCAGGCAGCACTCCTGGAGGTGGAACCTTGCTGGAAGCATTTTCCTCTAACTTGTATTAATATCCTGGAGCTAAGTTTGCTGGTGTAAGCTTTGTTGTAGTGCTCTAATAAATGGATTGAAGTTTTTTTTTTAAAAGAACAGAGTGTCAAGTAGTGTTATTTGTATGTTGGCAGCTCACCTGCTGAAACTGCTGCAACCCTAGATGTCAAAAAATACCTGAAGTGATTTTAAGCATGGTTTTTGATCTTAGGAAGTTGTCTGTGAAGGAATGCATAAGAAGTGTTTACTCATGTTTCTGTCCTATGGATGCATGTGAGATGGACTAGTGCTGCTGGAAGAAAAAGAGAGTTCATAATGGGTTCTCTTTCATTCTCAATATAATTACACCATGATAATTACACCTTGCCTTGATATTTTATTTTTCTTTGGTAGGCAAACGGCGAAAGTCTTCTCCTAAACCTCTTGTTCTGAGTGAAGCTAAAAAGCAGTTAATGATCTACAGACTACCTCAGGTCCTCCGACTGCACCTTAAACGATTCAGGTGAGCGGGGCACGCTGCGGGGTGTCAGGCAGGTGCCTTCTGGCTTTTGGGAGAGAAGTGCTAAGTGGGGTCCAGCAACTTCTCTCCCTTTCTGGGAAATGCATGTCTATAATTGTTTTACCCAGAGCAGGTGTGTAATGCTTGCTTCTAACTCTAAAACCAGTAGCCTGTTTGTAGTGTGTTTTCTGTTACGTGCAGTGTAATGTGTTGTGAATTGTACTTAATGATATTTGTCTGATTTTGGAGACAGCTTGAAGCAGTGACTGTGAGATGGCTGAACTGATCTGTTGAGTGAAAGATTTGCTGAAGCTGGAACCCCTGTGATAGCCAAATATATGCATTATGTTAAATAAAACGTAGCAGGCAGAGTTCAAAACACGAAGTTTCTAAAATGCTTAACGTAGGCAATTATGAGATGTGAGGTTTTTATATCTATATAGCTGAGCATTTTAGATGGCGTTTGGTTGTCACAGTAGATGTTCTGTTTTCTTTGTTTGGCTGTTACAAATCTCAACAATGCTGGAACTACAGCCAATGGACATCAGTGACGATTCAGTTTTATGCAAAAGATGACTGCAGTAGATTTTAAAGTGAAAACAGAAGGAGAAAATTGTGATGTCCTCTTGAAGGAAAGCTCTTTGAGCTGTTCCGCAGTGGCTGTCGAGTGCATCTTCATTCCCACAGCCCTCTGCTGCTGCCCAGAAAGGTCCTGAGCCTTTGATTGTGCCCTTGTATTTGCAGGTGGTCTGAACGCAATCACCGTGAGAAGATTGGGGTCCATGTCCTCTTTGACCAGGTACTAAACATGGAACCTTACTGCTGCAGGGACTCTCTCTCCTCTCTTGACAAAGAGACCTTTGTCTATGACCTCTCCGCTGTGGTGATGCATCATGGTAAAGGGTTTGGCTCAGGACACTACACAGCATATTGCTACAACACGGAGGGAGGTGCGTGTGCCTTATTTCGGGGGAAACAAATTCAAGAATCTCGGTTTTTATTCCATAGACATAGTGCATAGTAAAGCTTCATGATCGAGGTTGTTTGGAATCAGGTTTCCTGCCATTCGGTAGTTTGTTTCCCAGAATGTATTGCTAGTAGCATGCTTTTTTTTTCTTTTTTTTTCTTTTTTTTTTTTTTGTGTAAAGACCACAGATTGCTGCTCTTGGCTTTGTGGCACTTCGGGATGCCTTTTATTGCTCACTGTTAACAGCATGAATGCTTCATTTTCTCACGGGATGTAACTCTGTGGAGCTGCTCCAGCTGGGTGTCTTTTCTCGGTATCCTTGGGATGGTGAGATAAACAGAAAGTGTTTTGAAACCGGACAGGGACTATTCATGAATAACATCCGCAGGGTTTTTGTGAATTTCCAGCAGTCTTTCTGCAGCTGAATCAGCATTGATTCTGCCTTTTAACTGATACAGAAAGAGGTACAAATTGTCTGTCTCCAGAGAACTCTTATTTTCCTAATTGAGTTTTTGGGCTATAATATGCAGTTGGTTAAATTATGATTCCATATTTCTAAACTGTGTTAACAGCACAGAAATGGTAAAAACGTTTCCCATTTTAGAAACTCCTTTCTAAGGTATCTGTAGGGCAAAAGGTAGAGATGCCTTTTGTCCTACATGGTCCTTTTTCTCTGTGGATGTCTCCTATGAACAGTTCCAAAATGCAGTCAGAAGAAGTGATGCCTCCCCTACTGATGTCCTCTTTCTCACTTTGATTCCTAGGTTTTTGGGTCCACTGCAATGACTCCAAACTGAATGTATGTAGCGTGGAGGAGGTGTGCAAAACCCAGGCCTACATTCTCTTTTACACTCAAAGAACAGTGCAGGACAAAGCAAGAATCTCAGAAAAACAACTCCAAGCTCAGGTGCTGTCCAAAAATAGTGATAAAGACAGAAGACTGACATTCCCATGATGGGAAGCTCTATAACTCAATCAACGGTCTCAGTTGTTTTTTGTTTCGTTTTGTTTTTTTAAACCATTGGTGTTCACATCTTTCCTCTTTGTATGAAAAAAGGCTCACTGCAGGAAGGGGATCAGATCGTGGTGCTTGCCGCCCAGGGTCTGGAGAAGTGTATCAAGCTGTGCAATTCTGATGCGTAAGATTGTAGTCAGAATCTTGGTTTTTAATGAATATTATTGTTAAATTATGCTCGTAAAACGAAAAGGGAGAGTTTGATGCTTTGTATCATTAGTTTCATATCAAAATAGATTTGAGTAACACATGTAACATGGCACAACCAGGAAACAAAAGCATTCAACTGGCTTCCAAACACCTTCAGTACCTAGTAATGCTGACAAACCTCTAGAAGGAGCAGGTATCGTACCATCCCCTTTAATTGTCGTTCAGATTTCCAGGGTTTGAATCACACCCAGGTATTTATTTTTATGATTGTCGGATAAATGGTGTTGGCTGCCCTAAAAGCCATTCTTGCTGAAGAAATGTTTGACACTCTTCTACAAGAGAAAATATTCCCCAGACCTCAGCTATTTCTGCGATACTAATTTATTTGCTATCATTTAAGGGCAAACCTTATGCATAAAAATGGCTTAAATGGCTGGCTATTTTTTTTTTTCAGTGTTATGGGGGCTGTGTGCACACTTGATGGTTTGTTCTCTAGGCTGAACTGAATAGGCAGCTAAATTCACTAGGAATGTGATTCTTGAAACAGTTCTGCTCTGGAGAATTTGTGTTTTGTCTTGTTTTAAACCAAACAAAGAAAACAACAAAATCACCCTGTAATAAGACGGGAATGTACCTGTGTGTGATCAGTCACATCTGTTTACAGTGGAAGCAAAAACGAAGCCTATACTACAAGTTTCTGCTGGCATAACTGTGCTGATCAGGTTATAAAGAATTCAAAGCCTTGACTTGCAGAGCTGTGACAGCAGAAGCAGTTAGAATGGAGGCAACTTACACTGGAAAACTGGCACTTTTTTTTTTTTTCTTGTAACAAGTGTGGCTTGTTTTCCTCAGGGGAACAGGATGAAGGTAATACCACAACGGTAGGAGACGGAGCTAGGTTCTGCTTCTGCTCCTGTAGTGGGAATATTCATGAACTCTGGTGGTTACACAAGGTCCAGAATAACTGAAGGCAGTGGGGTTGCACAGATGTCGTGCTGTCATGAGCAGAATTTAACCTGTGAAGTCTTTATTCCTGCTGGGGCATAAGGGGAAGGAATGTAGTTAACTGTCAAATTACATGTTGAGCTTGAAAGGCTACCATAATGTCTGTATCTTGTAATCATCTTGATTTTAGAATGTAGGGCCCTAGTTGACTTTTTATAGTCACTTCTCAGCCTACGGTTGGACCTCAGGTATTTTTATAATTTGGGGTTTGACTGCTCACGCTTCATGTTTTAAACAAAGCTGAATATGTAACTGCAAAGATACAGGACATCTTTCAGTCTTGATGGTTGCTTTATTTTTTTTTTATTTTTTTTTGGAAACGGTTATAGGTTGCTGTCATCTAAAATATGAGGCTCTTCAAAAAAATATATATTTTATTTTCAGGAAGAGAAGTTCTGAAAGCAGGTTTCTCTTCTTCCCTCTTCTACTTTTATCCTTGCCATCGTATGCCCATCAGACATAAATTAATGTACGTTATTCTTAGAGGGGGAGAATAGGAAAATTTCCCAAATACCATTCCTCTTTTTCCACTGCCACTACTGCAATTTCTAATTTCCTGTCCTATGGGCAAATCGGTCCATTTTACTTTGGCTGATGTGTCACTTTAGCCATGCAGAGATGAGCACAGCAAACATGAAACTCCTCTTTTGTTAGAGCTCAGTGCCGCATTAGGTCTCCTCTGTCCTTAAAAATTCCCATTTCCTGACCATCTGAGGAACACGTGGCTTTCTGAGCCTACAAAAACTGTTTTTTGCCAATTATTCTTAATTGGGAGTTCACATGCTCATGTGTATTTTTGGAGACGAGTCAGTGTGAAACAGTCCTGTGGGAACTAACGGAAAACTTAAACTTCTGTTTCTCTAAATGTAGCGTGGTCTGGAAGGATTTCCTATGAATGTCTGTATATCCTTGTATTTACTAGGTAGCATTATTTTTTGTGCTCCTAGTAAATAAAATTAATGCAAATGCAATAGGCCAGGCCGAGATAGAATAAAAGTAAGCGTGACCCTGCTGGATGTGCAGGAAGTTGCTTTGGCTTCAGCACAGGTGGAAGTTGGCATTCCTGAAGGAATGGAAATCACATGCTCGTGATATTTTCAGATATGGGATATTTTCAGATATGTGATGGATTCTTTTCTGGAGCAAAACGTGCTGTGTGAAGACTACACGTCTTAGAAGGAAAATGAAAGGAAAAGGCGTTTGCCGTTGCCTTCTTAATCTCAGCGGTGGAAGGGAAAGCTGGAGGCTCACAGTTTTACTGTGACTACCAAATGCTGTGCTCACCGTCCGAATCCCTTAGCCGTGCTGGCCCTGTTCATACACAGCCTGATTGGTACTGCAGTGAGCCGAGACTCTTCGCTGTAAATGCTCATCTTTTGACTGAGTGTTTTGCGTTACTATTTGAATTCAGGTAGGAATTGATACAGCTGTCAGCGAATAAGTTGCAGAGGGGGGCTGGGAGCGTACCTTTGGGCATTGGTGCACCTGATTGCCCGAGCAGATTTTGTAGCATGTGCTGTTGACATCTTTTGACGTTAGTGGCCTCTCCGTGTGAGCCTCGTCGTGCTGAGACATGGAGATCCTGCGGTCAGAAAAATGATTGCCCTGATAGGGAAGGAATGAATTATACTTCAAAGTAAACTTTGCTTTTTCCAACACTGTGAGGTTTCTGTAATATTTAGCTTTTATTTGGAAGCGATAGCGTATAGCATTTTTTATGCTGTTTGGTTTATATTTGTCTACTGCAGGCATCTTTGTATAAGCATAGCCCAACGCCCCCATCGTGGTGGACACTGTTTTATAGTGTCCTGCTTGCCAGAAATAATAATTGGCAGCTACTTCTTTACATTAGTAAGACAAACATACAACTTGCAATTACAACGAAGCTCACTTAAGTGAATGCCTGACAAAGTGCAGCCTGTGATGCAAACTTTGTCCCTCCTTTAAAGGTTTGGCTTCGAATCCTGCTAGTACAGTGGTACACGTTTAGAAAAATTCCAAATGCAGGCTCTACCTCTGCAAACACCTAAGCAAATGATGCAACTTAGCTCAGGTGTGGAGTTCAGCATCCAAAGTTTTGAGTCACAAGCTGAGTGTCTGCAGGATTAGAATCTTTCTTGTGGTCCCGCTGGAAGTGGAATTGGTTTGTGTACGTACAGCGATTCCTGTACCAGGGCTCAGTCCTGTAACAAGGAGCCAGTTGCCTTGAGAGCTGCTGAGAGCAAGTGCGGGGTTTGTGGCACCCTGCAGGTTATTTTTGGAGGGCGAAGGAAGCCACTGTCGGGCTTGTGAGCATGCAGCCTTTGGGGCAGGACTGTTCCCAGCATGTCCTTCTTCTGTTCAACTTGTAAGTAAATCGGTGTTTCTTAATTTTATGCTTTCAAGAATGAAGAATCTTAATGTATTCATGGCCAGGTGTGATACAACATCTGCTGTAGTCATTAGAAAACACTTTATTTTAGCTAACTTCATTCCACTAGCGAGTTAATTGCGCAGATTTGCCTTTATGTTACCCCTTTGCTGCCTGCATGCCCAAGTTAAACTATGCATACCACAAAAACGGTTTCTCTGCAAAGCAGTGAAAAAAAAACAATATTTTCCCCATTAGTTCTGACCAGAACAATTCTACAATCTGGCTTTGGAGTTGTCAATGGGAGGCAGCAAATGGAAGAATGTGTATTAAATGCTTGACATCAAACTTTTCTGGGTGGCAGCACCACTCCCATGTACTTAAGGACTTCCAGAAGGTTTTCTGAGCATAGGAATCAAATTGGAAGCAGTAAAAGCAGTAAGTGTGTCCTATGGACTCACTATCAGAAGTTATTTTGGTTTGTAAAAGCAAGGCTTCTAGCAAAAATATTGTCTTGGTGGCAATTTAGACACGCTTATGTTGACTGTGATGGCCCCAGGCCTGAGTATGCTTAATTGCACCTCAATGAGAGAGACTAATGAACCTTCTGGCTGTTGCCCGATACCCCAGGATAAGCTACAGTGGAAATCAACAGTGCTGCAGAATGAGAGGTACTTAAGGAAGAGACAGTAAGTAGAGGGAGATTAGTTTTACCTGCCAATACAATTTTGTGAACTAATTTTGTATGATTCCTTAGATTTGGTGCCTTGTATCCGATAACGTTTTGCGTGGGACCGAAATGTTGGGAAATCGGTCATTAATTCCTGACTGAAGCAGCAGATTTGTGTGTTTTTTGTAAGTACTCTCAATATCGCTGACGTTTTTACATTTCATATCGGTATGGGAGTGGAAAAGTTTACCAGCAAGCTCAGAAGCTAGCGTTTTACTGTTACGTGCTTGAGATCTCTGCTTTTGGAATAATTCAAGGAGCAACTTGTTCAAAGGCAGATTAGATTTGGCCTCTTAGATTTTTCTCATGCCATCTGGGCCCCTTGCAGCCAGGTCAGTGAGATGACATCCACCACATCATGTAACGTGGTGCAGGGAACACACACTCCAGTGGTTTTTTTTGGGTAGAGTGGCTGTAGCTTTGGAAAGGACCTTCTGTTACAAGTAATGGTAATGGCTGGTTTAGAAAAGAAAGAATATACATGTAGTTACCCTTGCCATGGTCATGTTTGCACAGATTTCTTCTTAGCAGCCTAGCAAACATCTCTGCACCTGAGCAGACCTGTCGTGGTAATGCCTGGGTGAGTGAGTTATGCAAGATATCCCTTGTGTAAGGTGGCCAAGTGGCCCTTCTTCAGAGTAAGTGGTAAAACCCAAGCAGCAGCTCTGAATTCTGCCTTTTTGTGTGTTTAATCCCTTCAGCTGGTTTGAGATCAGATAGGATGGACTCAGGCAGAGAATTTATTGCCCGTGGGAAGATAAAACCTCAATTAAGTGTTGTTTTTTTAATGTCTATTACATTAACATTGATACCTGCTTATTGTGGGTAGATAGATGGGAATGTGAAGCATTCTAACAAGCTTTTAAATTTGTAAAATCTACAGCACAAATGAATGATCTTAAGCTATGTGTGTCGGTTACCTGTACCGACCTGTGATTGTTTGTATTAGTTCATTTAAGAGGTGTGCCTTGGGGCCACTCCTTCCATCGTGCGTATTTTATTTTCTGTGTGTGAGAGAGAGAATGGGTTCCACTTGTTTAAAGGATAACTGCATGATGGGCCAAAACACCTCCAAAAGAGTTCTTAGGTCTTAAAAATGCTGTTTGCAATGTACGTTTCCAAAAGGGGGAAGGAAAAAAAAAAATAAGACCGGGCCAGTGGGTCCGAAGACTGACTTTAACTTTAACCACTGTTCATTATTTATTGTTTTGAAGCGTGTGCACAACACGGAGTGCAGTTACAGCAAAGTGCTCTCCCCTTTGGGTTCTTCTTGAACTGCCGGACTACTGATTTTGTGCAGGTTGGGGCGAGGCAAGGGGACGGGAGGAATGGAACAACCAGCAACGATAAAGCCAAGCTGAGTGCAGCAGTGAGCTGTGGTCTGCGTTCAGCAGAGACAGGAAGCATCTGATACACAGATCTCATGTGTCAGACGATTGCATATTTTGCAGGTGTAAGCATTAAAATCCAAATGCAGTCTCATTAGCAGCAAGCTCCCAGTTTGGGGGGCAAAAATTTCTCCTCTCAGTAATCTCACACTGGCAAACGAATGGTGCTTTTCCATTAAAAATTGCAGTTCCTAAGGAACAGTACCCCAAATCCTCAAGTTTTTTTTTTTTTTGTTTGTTTGTTTTTAAAAAAAAGCTACCTGCTTAAAGCCCACAATGTCACTGTAAATGCTTCCATAACTGGAAGTGAGAAAGGAGGTGATGCAGTTGGTGACTGAACACAATTTGGTTTGTGCTTTTTAGTCTTGATGCCATACTTTGAGTAGAGATGGCAGGTAGCGAATTTCCCTTTTTTTTCCCCCCCTGCTAAACCTCCTGTTCTGGGCCCTGACTTGTCAAAGTACAACTAGAAAAGGCCTGCTTCAGTTCCTGCTATACAGACACTTTCCGTGGGAGCGTGAGGCTTTTGAATGTTCCTCCTGCTGAAGAGGCACCGGCAGCGTTAAATGTTGCTTAGCCTTATTTCCTTAGATAACCACATCCATGCTGTGGGGATAACTTGTACTGCTACAGCTCCATCAGTAGGGTCAAATCAACGCCCCGTTTGCGGATAAACGAGGTTAAAGAATGTATTATAATGTGGGCACGCCAGAGCCCTGCAGGTGAGCGATGCCACCACAGGCTTGTGGTGCGCTGCTGAATAGGATCTGTAGGTAAGAAGTTGGGATAAGCACCCCTGGGGCTCCTTCTCCTTTCTGCATAGCTCTGTACCTCGGATTTGGGAGTATCTCGTAGCACGTGTCATCTTTGCTCTCCTTACATTTATTAAATGGAGGCACTAGGCCTGGCCCTGGTGGCTGTTTCCTACTGCTACGAGATGAGCTCCGCGTATCCATGTGCAGATCAGGTTTTCCCCTTGTTTATCAGACATGCAACAGAAACCTAGAGCCTGTAAAAGAGGTCCTAGTTTTTCCCTGCTTAATTTCAGCTTTGGTTAAGCAGTCACACCCTGAGCCACAGCCTCCTCGACATCCACTTAAATAAGCAGTTTGCAGCAAAGGAACAAGTGGCTAAGTTTGTTTCCAGTCCAACTCTTTGACAAATCTGTTTTTCCACAGAACAAACCTGTTTGCGATGTTCAGGATGGTTCCAGCAGCTGCTCAGAGCAGTGCTGAGCTCCTTCAGGTGTGGCAGGCGCGGGTGGGATGCTGCCGGGGAGCCCCTGCTTCCACTAATACCCCGGAAGCTCTGCTGTTGACTTGAGCAAGGGCAGAATTAATCTTCAGGCCTTTTAAAGTTAATCCTGCTCTAAGTTAAGATCCCTGGAAGGGTGCTGTTGGCAAAGGCTGGGCAGAGCACGAGCGTTTTTCTTTCAGGACAAAATCCTCTTGCAGCCCCTGTGAAAACAAGAGTAAAAAGCTGCCCTGCTTTCTTGGCTAAGGATCAAAGCTGGAGCTTGGGTGGGTTTCCTGATTTCTCAGTGACTTCTGGGGGGGGCTTTAGGTCAGAACAGCCTCAAGTTTCTGCTTCGAGTTTCTGCTGCTTATGTTGCTAATGACTTAAGCCGGTGTATGCCGTGCTGTGCTCATGAATGAGACCGCCTTTGCTTCAAGGACACTCCCAGGCAGCAGCAAGGGACAAGAGAATCCAATTAATGACCGAATGTTTCTGGCGCTCTGTCCAGCTGCCTCACTGCTCAGCGCGAACGCTCGAGGCACTGCTCCTAATCACGGGGTCAGCAGCTTTTATTTTAGTCAAGGTTTAAGACAACATCAAGTAAAAGCCTAATGTACTTAGCTGCGTGAGCTCCCCCCTGCCTGAACCCCGGCCTCAGGAGGCGATTAGTGTGTTCTAAATCAAAACTCTGATTAACTAGAAAATGACCTAATGTTCTAATTAATCCCCTTTTCCTTCAGAAACTGTTCCTGCAGAACTCGGATTATCCAGACTTCACAAGTTTGTTTCTTTACAGGATGTAAGAAGTCCTGCTTTGAACGCAGCATTTTGGAACATCTGTGTCAGTAGTGGAAATAATTTCGGGCAGGTTAAAGGGGCAGTTCTCAGCCACAAAGCGTGGGGGCAGTGCTACTTGAAAGGAATGTCTTAAATTAAAAACCCGTGTACAACTGTCCAAAGAATGCGAAGCCATGGTGCAGTCACACTGCTGTAACGCTCAGGGCTGGGAAGTTATTTTGCTCCACGAGCAGCTTCTTGGAGCTGCAGTGTCCCCTGCCTGCTGAAATCACACCTGCAGCTCCCGGCAGCCTCACCTGGGGCTTTCACTGCCCCTCCAACAGCTTCGCCACCCCCAGCTGGACTCCCAGGCAGGAAAGGCAAGCCGTAGTTTCAGGCAATGGAATTAAAATGCTATGCAACACCAAATGGCTTTTTTTTCCCCCTCAAAAAAAAAATCCTAATTCTTTTAAACATCCCAGCTTTATCTCAGCCAGACATTACCCATGAAACCTTCCGGTGGTTAGAGTTTACCTAGGGCTTTTTACAGTTTTGTTTTTCCTTTGAATAAGTAGCTGATGGGTCCTGCTTACAACCCAGGACTGGACTTGTTCCTTTGTCTTTTGGGTGTGAAATATAAATCATGTTTTTATGATTTTTTTGTAAATCTTTACTCTTTTTACACCTTGTTTTTGTAAGCTGAAGTTTCTTATTAAAAAAATGAAATTCCACTGGGTCGTGTCGTTATTCTACATACTTTAATATTAAATTAGGCATCTAGATGGTGATACAGAAGAAAATTCTGCGTGAGAGGGCTTCACATCTTTGAGGAGACTGTTCTCAATTCCTTGCGGAATGAATTGCTCAGGAATTCTCTCTTCCATACTTGAGTTTTTCCCCCTGTTGTCATTGCTTTGAGCAGGACACGTTGGACGTAGGAGTAGGAGCTCTGCAGAGAAGAACGGGAGCCGCTCCCGTGAGCGCATCAGAACTTGTAACTGCTACACACAGCGCCTGCGGTCCTGGTGAACGGGGAGGGCAAACTCCTTGGCTGGGCAGGTCTGATCCTTCCCTAGATGGGTAATTAAGCACAATCAGGGCTGGGTCAGGGTGCTTCACATGAGTGGGGCTGGCTCAGGGTCTGCTCCTTGCAACTAAGTGCTGACACAAAGACCTCCTGGCCCCACTGACTCCCCTTGGATCCCCTTTCCAGCTCCTGGCCCCCTGATCCTCAGTGATCTTCTCCTACCACCCTTCAGCCCCCCTCCTGACCACCTGCAGCTCCCACCTCACCCCCCTGCTGGCCCCGGACCCCTTGCAGCCCCCTCCCAGCCCCCTGACTCCCATGCAGCTCCCTGCAGCCTCCTCCCAACCCCTTCATCAGCCCCCCTCAGGGCCACCTGTAGCTCCCTCCCGATCCCTTTCAACCCCCAACCCCCTTGCAGCCCCCTCCCGCTCCCCTCCCAACCCCCCTCAGCCGACCCCCGACCCCCCCCAGCTCCCTATAGCCCCCTCCCAGCCCCTCACCGCCGCTACGCCGCGGGCTGCGGGGCCATGAGGTCGATGTCCGTCAGGTTGCGGGCCACCCAGACGCCGGCGGCGAACAGCCCCAGGTTGAGCAGCAGGTTCCTGTGAGGGACAGCGCACGGGCAGCCCGCGGGGCCTCCTCACGGGGGCCTCCTCACGGGGGCTCTCTCCCCCTACCCCTCCCCTTCAAAGACCCCCCCACGGCCGACACCAACCTTCGGAAGTCGTTCCTGTCGGCGGCGAAGCGCAGCAGCCCCCTCAGCCACCCGCCCAGGCCCTGCCGAGGGGCCGCCGGGCCGCCCGCCGCCACCGCGCCGCTCGCCGCCATCTTGTCACCGCCACAGCCCCCTCCCTCTGGCGGCGCTTCCGGTGCGCGGGAAGGGCGGGCGGGAGGGCAGGGAGGGGGGTGGAGCATGCGCAATGGCGGCCGCGTGCTGGGGCTTCGAGCAGGTTCTGGGGGGGGGGGGGGAAGAGCGGGAATGTCTGCGCCTCAGGGCGCTCCTCAGGGGATGTGCCTCGAAGGGCTGCTCCTGCAGCTCCTGCTCAGGCTCCTCAAGGGGTTTTTTCCTCAGGGGGACTGAGTGTCATGAGGTGCCTCCTCAGGGGGCTGCTCCTCAAGGGGCTTCTCCTCAGGGGATGTACCGCAAATGTGAGGGGATGTACCTCAAATGCAGGCTGCTCCTGCACCTCACAGGACTGTGCCTCAAGGGGCTGCACATCAAAGGGTTGCACCTCAAGGGGGCTTCTCCTCATGAGACATCCCTCAAGGGGCTGCACCTCACAGGGCTTCTCCTCAGGGGATGTGCTTCAGGGGGCTGCACCTCAGTGGGACTGAGTTTCAGGGGATGTGTCTCAAAGGGCTGCTTCTCCTCAGGGGGCTGCTCCTCAAGGGGCTTCTCCTCAGGGGATGTGCCTCAAAGGGCTGCTCCTGCGCCTCAAGGGGCTGCGCCTCACAGGGCTTTTTATATTTTGGTAATTCTGGGATTACGCAGCACATCCTGGTATGTTCTGTGACTGCGCGCACTGGTGCTAGGGGGTCGTCTCTGTCCCTCTGGTGGTTGTGAAGATGAAGGCCGTGGTCTTCCTCGGTGTTGTGGTTCAACTTCTTTTCTTTTTTTTTTGGTCATGTTGGCCCAGCGTGAGACAGGGAGGCAGGACGTTGATACACTAGTTTAGGGATTTATCAGGAGGTGGTTACATGAGCTTTGCAACAGTGTCTTTGAACAAAAGAGGGAACTGAGATGCAGAGAGAGGGAAGGGGAGGGGGTTCTCGTTTTGTTACATTAAGCAAAAGAATTTCATAATGTCTAGCCAAGCATTACACAGCTCCTTATTTCAGCAGGGAGCTTTCGCAGCTCCCGCTGCTCAAACAGAACCCCCTTCCCGTTCCCCTGTATCACAAGAACAAGGAGTTCTGCTCGAAGGGTGAGGGCAGTCGATGAACAAACATTTATTGTGTGTGACACAAGGGCTGGTCCTGGAGGTGCTGCACCTCAGGGGATGTGCCTCAAAGGGCTGCTCCTGTGCCTCAAGGGTTGCCTGTCATGGGGCTCCTGTGTTGCTTTGGCAGCCCAGAGCCACCACAGCATGCCCGGCCCGAGCTCTGCTGCCAGGCTGGGCTCTGCCCTGGTGGCTCTCACCTCCCTCCTGCTGCCCTCAGCTCCGGGACTGGGGCAGACACCCCTCGTGTTCAGCCAGAGTAGAGAAATACTTGCGGGGGGGGCTCTGTTTTGGGTAGGTAGTTACTTATTAGAGACATAAAGGGGTGGAGGACGCTGCCACCTGGAGTGCCGTCCCACGAGCAGACCTCTTTATCTACAGAGTTTTTCTAATCACAAATTTTTAGTGGTCTTGATGACCACTTCCACCACTAGACAAAAAAAAAAAAAAAAAAAAGCCTCGCCCAAGCACGTGGCCTGTTTGTGGCCGGCAAACACGTACCGCTGGGGATCGGGCACATCCACCCCGGCTCTGGCGTGGTGCCGGTGCAGCTGAAAATCAGCGGTGGCCCCAAAAATCAGCGGTGACCCCGGCCACGCGTTTGTGCTGTGGAAAGTTAGGGCCTGGTGAACGCTGTCACCTCCCAGCCGAGCCAGGACCAGACAATTGAGGTGCCTGGGAAGCAGGTTTGCACGGCGGGTGATAAGGGCGGCCGTGCCGCTGCCCCGGGGCTTGCTGCCTGCAGGATGCGAGATAAGATAAGAGAAAAATGCATCGAAAGCCGGGAGGGCTGCCTGAAACGCTGCGTGGGCTGGAAATGTGTCTGACTGGGAAATTTCCAGGCATGGCTGCTGTGCTTTGTAACGCGGGCTGCTGCGCTCCAAAGGGCACCGCTTGGTGTGAGCGTGGGCAGGACGGCGTGCCAGCGGTGCTGTTTGGAAAACATCTCTCCCCGTTTCCTCCGTCCCTCCCTGCGGGTTTCTGTCGCTTCGTACAACTTCTCGTTCGCTTTGCTGAGCTGCCCAGCTCCCGGCTGCCTGCACGCAGCTTCTGCAGGTTATCACCAGCGCCTGTAGTCCCTGAGGCTTCGCAGTAGCTGGGCACAGGTTTGTGCAGGCTCCTCTGGCTCCGCCGTGCTGCCAGGCACTTCGTAAAAATTCCCTATTTCTGCTCGATTCCTCCCTGCTCGTTCGCTGCAGTCTCAGTTCTGCCTCCTCCCACTCCTCCCTGCTTTCCTTAGCCCCTGGGGTCTGCCCTTTCACAAGCCTGTTCCACCACTCCCCGAGCTGCTGTTTCAGCCCTCGCAGCTGATTTGGAAAACTTTGTTGTCTGCCACCTCCGCGGGGAACTTTCCCACCTCTGGGGCACTTGCAGGGACACGAGCAGCCCACGCAGGCAACCGGCACCGTTCAGTCTCTGCTGGGACTGCAAACCTTGTGAATTTGGGTCCAGACACTTTAGGGCAGAAGCCAAAGGCTCAGCTCGGCAGCTGAAGTCACACAGCTACAGACAGAAGGACGGCCACGGAGGACAGAGGGAAAAGGCACGACGTGCGGTGCTGAATTTGGGGATTTTTGCCTGCCTGGAGCAAACGGAGCAGTAGGATCAGCGCTGCACCAGGGATTTGTGCCCTGCCCTGGCTCAGCCAAGCCACAGCACAGCCTGGCACAGTCATGGTGCCCTCGGCAGGACCAGGAGGATATTGCAGTCAGCACCCTCCTGCTCTCAGGAGATGAGAAATCCTCTCAGCACATCTAAGGATCTGCCACCACTGAGCTGCCACCATTCTCCTTCCAAAGGCATCCGTTTTGGTGTTGCTGCAGTGCCCACGGTGTTTGCAGCCACCCAGGTTTCTCATACGACCCCGGCACTGTCACTGAGCTCGCTGTAACTGCAGGCACCCCTGCTGCAATCTGTGGGCTCTTTCCTCCTTGACAGCAGGTTATAAATTTCCCAGGTAATGAAGATAGCCAAATGCTATCAATAAACTCCTAATCTGATAAAGAGACCTGAGATTCTTCACAGAAAGATCCTGAGGATGAACAGATACATCTCGACCTTTGATAAGAACTTGGAAGATGGCAAAACACATGGAGGGTTGGAAAGAGCATGCGCAGAGAAGAAAGGTGAATAGTTCAACCGAGAGGAAGACTTTTTACTTCATCATGAAGACCACCAGGAAGACCACCAGATGGTGCTGCGCATGTGCAAGTAGGGAGGAGTCAAGGGAGGAGTCATTGAGGCTGATGCTGCAACTTGAAATGAATATGTATGAATTTATGTATCTCCAAGAATATAAATTTGCAGTCAGGATGTGATGGGATTTGAAGCCAGATTTGGGCACCTGCCCTTGGTTTCCAGTGCTGAATAAAGCACCTTCATATAGTCACGTTGTGGTTATGTGTCTGCTACGCTAACGCTGTGACTGATGGCTGTCGGCAGGGCAGGACATTCACGGCCCAAACTGGGACGAGGTGAGCGCATCGAGCCCCGGCTTGACCCTGCTCCGGTCTTCCCAGTCCTCCCCTTTCCACGTTGCTCAGTGAGAAAGACGGAAAATGGCCACGAAGAAGCCCTGGGGGCTCTGCAAGGGACCGGACAAGCAACAGGAATCCTGAGCCAAATTTTGTGGTGCTCATCCTGGCTGAGGCAGCCTGCTCTTCCATGGGCCCCAGGAGCTATTTATTTATCCTCCTCTTCGGGGACACCTGGGTCACCAGGAGGAGGACCTGGCTCTGGTGGGGAGACGTGCACCAACCAAGGAGCTGCCGTTTCCCCTCCCAAGGGTGATGTGCTGCCCACAACTTGTCCACGCTGCTGTAGTCTTTTTCCCAAACCCCCGAGAGCTAATTGATCCACCCAGTTAGTTAATTGATTTATAGCTATTAGAGACTATAATTAACCGACCAGCTGTGCGTTATCTGCCCGGTGGGAGCAGCGCTGAGAGGCAGCCAGCTCTGACGGGCCACGAGCTGCCCCATCCCTGCTAGCAGCCCTGCTCGTTTGGCATCCCTGAAGGATTTTGCTCTGCTTCGGGCTTGGGGCTTTTCCATTTATCTCCTCCTTCCCTAACGTTTGGCTCAGCCGTCTCTCTCTGACTCTCCCTACTCCCCCGTATCTCCTCCTACAAGGTCACAAACTCGGATTTACGCTCGGAGTTCACATGGCTGGGCAGACCAGTTTGGACCAGCTCGTTATCAACGCGTTCCCAGCCCCCAGCCAGAGCCACGGCTACGGGCAGAGTGGAGACGAAGCAGATGGTCGTTAAGCATCGGGAAAGCCATGCGTCGGCCCGCGCCTGGCCCAGGTGCCTGCGCCTAGCACGGACACATCTGCCTGGTGCTAACAACCTCGGGGACGCCACTCCCGGTGGAAATGCAGCCGGAGGGGGCTGAGGAGAGGCTGTAGGCGCCCCGGCGGAGCTGCTTTGTGCCTGGTAAAACCTCGGATTGCTGCCTGGTGCTGCGTGGGGGGCTGGCCATGCTGTCAGCAGGCCCCAAAAGCAGTGGCGGTGCCGGGAGGTGAGCGGTCCCCCGGTGCCACGGCGTCCCCGAGCGGCTCTCGGTGAACCTCTCGCTGCTCCCGGTGTCCTCAGAGGTGGGTGCGATGGCCCAGAGCCTCCTCTCGCCCTTCCCTTTCGCCTCCTCGGGCTGCGCCGGAGCAGCCGTGCTGCTGGGGTTGCTCTGCTCCCCCCAAATCCCCCTGGCACAAGGCTGGGGGCATCCTGGGGACGGCGTGGCCCTGACCAAGCCAGCTGGAGGCAGGCGCTGGGGATGGGGAGGGGATCTCGTGGTGGCTCTGTGCCCTGCAGGACCCCCAGGAGGTGGGGACGGGGCAGGAACGGGGGCTGCAGCGGGGGCTGGCGTGGCGATTTGCAAGGTTTTGCACCAAACCTGTGCTGTGTTTGGTGAGGGAGAGGAGGGAAAGCAAGGAAATTGCCCGTCTCTGGCTATCAGAGGCCGGTTTGAGGACTGTTATGTGGGGGCTGTGCGGTCCTCAGGACATTTTGGGGGGGGCTCTGCTGGTCCTGCTGAGCACCCCCTGCTGCTGGCTGTTTGTTCGCACCAGCAGCCGAGGGAAGCGCTCCGCAAACAGCAGAAGCTCCTGCAGGGCATCAGGCTGGCGTGTGGCCCCTCCCAGGAAATAAATGGTCAGGAGGGGGCCAAAGGAGGCTTCCTGGGGGAAAATCAGCACCCAGCTGCTGCGTGCTCAGCAAGGGGAGCTGCGGAGATCCCCCAGGGGAGGGAAGGGGGAGCACAAGCAGGGGGTCCCCAGCCCCGCTGCCTCCGCTGCCCGCTGGCGCTGTGCTTCCAGGTGGTGAGCTCCCTTCTAGGGCCAGGTAAAACCTCAGTTTGGGGACAAAAGCAGTTATTTTCTTGATTTCACTCTCCCTCCTCTCCTCGCTTGCTCCCTGGGATTGAGGGATTGGGGTCTGTGACTTCCAGTGACTCCTGGCGTGAGGTTGCCTGCGTCCCCTGCGAGCCGGCTGCTTGGGGTCACGCCGGCTGCTGTAGGGTCAGAGCTGGCCCCTGCTCGCTCCGACAGCGTCCGGCATCTCATGGGATAAACACCAAGCAGCCGCTGCTGCCTGCTGGGGGGGCGGGAAGCCTCAAACGCTGTTCCCAGTCTGCAGAGTGCCCGGCTGCACCCGTGAGCCCAAAGGAACAATAGCGGGGTGGTGCCGCCGGGCGCCCTGACCCCTGCGCTTGGCACGGGGTGATGGAAACCTCGCCGTGAGCAGGCAGAGCCCAGGCAGGGCAGGGCAAGCAGGGAGCGGAGCTGTGTGGTGCCAGGGAGCACTGCTGGCATGGGGGGGACCCGCGTCCCCTCCCGGGACGAGGAGCAGCCTCGCCCCAGCAGGAAGCTGTCCCCAAGCCGATGGTGACGTCTGTCCTGTGGGATGCGTTCCCCCAAAAGCTCTCCCTCCGCAGCTGAGCGCCGCTGACCCTCCAGAGGGTCTTCTCCTTGCAGGGGCAGAGGCCAGGCCGACGTCCCAGCACGATGTTCTCCAACAGGTTCCACAGGAGGGGGTTCCAGGATGCTCCCTGGGAGGTAGGTGGTGGTGGTGGTGGTGGTGGTGGTGGTTGTGGTGGGAGTGGAGGGGCTCCGTGGGGCTCCTCTCTGGGGTGCTGAGGGTGGCTGCGTGCTGCTCCAGCCCTTGGGATGCTGAGGAGCTGAGGGAGCATCACCACAGCCTGTGGGGGGAACTGGGAAGACTGGGAATGGGCTGGGACCTTGGCTGGGTGGGCTCTGGGTTCAGCATCCCTCTGGTTTGGGGAGGGTCTCATCCTGCTCTCTGTGTCCTCTCTGCAGGAGGGGCCGTGGCAGCCCAGACCCTACGGTGCCGGCCCCCAGGACAACTGGTACAAGCCGTCCTGGGAGCACCAGCCCTGGAGAGGCAAGCACAACAGGCACCCGGTAAGGGGGTTTGTTGGGGTTTGTGGGGTGCTCTTGGGGTTTGTGGGGTGCGGCTCCCCCCGAGCAACCGCAGTGCAGCTTTCGTTAGGTCGTAACCATCTGCCCTGATAGGGGCACAGGGGAGGGAGAGGGCCTCGTGAAGGCAGTGCAGCGTCTCTCCCAGACCCCAACAACTACCCCTAGACTCATTTCTGGAGCATTTCCCAATATGACCCATTCCTGCCCAGGAAAGGGCTGCGCAGGACGCCTGAACCTGCCCAAAGAGGTGGGGACTGAGCTTTAAAAACCCTGACACGAAAGCGTCCGGGTGTGCGCCCACCACCTGAGAGCCTGAAGAGGCCAACTCGATACGGGATCCACAGCTGGTGGTGTCTCTCTCTACCCCTCAACCCCTATATTTATTTATTTTTCCTTTATTTGGAACGTTTGTGCTTTTGCCCAGCATCTAATATTTCCTCAGCAAATTATCAGGCAAAGTTTAACCCTGTTGAAACCCTGGAAGACTCGGAGCGTCTCGCCCTCCAACCCAGAGATTCAAACCAACCTATCTCTTCCCCGGCCAAGCAGGACGGGACAGGGTTCCCCTACAAATTGGGGGTGACCAAATTGGGGGAGCACGAGAAAGAAAGCTTGGGGCCACGGTGGGAAGGGGGAACCGGGGTAAAACCAAAACTCCTGCTGGAAAGCCCACGGCTACACAGATGCCCAAAGTGAGCTGCCCCTGGTCCTCACCAGCAGTGCTTTGCCTTGGCAGCCTGGTCCCTGGAAGCCCTGGCCTTTCCCCGGCCCCTCCGACTTCTATAGGATGGATGGGGACAGGAGATGGAAACCCCAGGACTGTCCCCGTCCGCCACCCCCCTGGGACTACAGAGAGGAGCACCAAAGACAGGAGGAAAACTTCACTGAGGACTCGTACCCGGTGAGGGGAGGCGGGCAGGGGAGGGTTGGTGGGGCCGTGGCTGTGCCAGGCGCAGTGCCCCGGGATCCGTGCCTAAATCTGCCTCTCCCCACAGGTGCAGCCGCTGTTTGCCCCGGATTCCTTCACCTGGTCGGAGTTCCCCGGCAACGAGCACCCCTCTGCCGACTTCTCGTGGTGGGTGCCCGCACCGAGGGCAGGGGCTGGAGAAGGGGACGGATCCCACAGCAGGCTGTGGGGCCGGGTGTGAGGTTGCACCAGAGATCCCTGCCAGCCTAAATTCCCCCCCCGGGGACTGTGTTGAATCCTGCAGGGAGCAAGGGGCCTTCCAGGAAAGCTGCCCGCCCTGGCGTCCTCGTGGCCCAAGCCACAGACGCTGCCGTTACATTCGCCATGTCCAGCAGGAGACGTTGGTGTACCACAGCCCGGCCCCTCCCCAGCTCCCCAAAGGTTCGTGCTGCCACCGTGGTGCCTGCCCGGGGATGCCCAGGACGCTGCCACGGTGTGTGCAGCCAGCAGCATCTCCATGGTAAGGGTGAGGATTTGGTGAATTCCACCCCTTTGTCCTTCTTGCTCCGCAGGGAAGCAGGCGTCCTCCAAATCCTCCCAGTCCTGCCCCCAGGAGAGCCAGCCAGGAGGCAAGGGAGATGCGCAGAGCCTTGCTGCTCCCCAGCCAGCTAGTGCCAGCAAGGACAGCGTGCAGAGCGGGGAGAAGGTGGCTGAGGTGGGTTTTTACCTCCAGCACACCCTTGTTTCATGGCCACGTAGCTCTCGTGGTGCTGCCGTGTCCCTGAGCAAGGTGATTTCCCCCAGGGCCTGCCGGCAGCCAGCGGAAAGGTGCCGGAGCCCTCCGGGCCAGCAGCCTCCCCGCAGAAGAGCCCAGCCGCTGATCCTCAGGCTGTGGAGCAGGAGCCAGCAGCTGGAGCAAGGCTGGTAGGAGTACGGGGCTGCTTGCACCCTCAGAGGATCCCTTCATCCCATGTAACACCTCGCTTCTCTCACCCAGCCCTTTCTGCCTCACTGGCTCTGACAGAACGTGGGATGTTTTCCTGGCTTCTCTGGGGCTGCAAAGCCCCTGCTTTCCTTGGGGTTTTAGCACCCTGCCTGTCCCCTTCCCCAGGAGGGATGAACGTCCCTGCCTTACGCCATTCCCTGCACCCAGGTTGAGCCAGAAGACAGGCAGAAAGCTGCAGGCAGCCAGAGCCCGGGCCCCTCTGCTTTGAAAACGGAGCCAGCCCTGCCAGAGAACACCTGTACCAGGACAGAGGAGGACTTAGGAGCAGGTACGAGCTGCTGCATCCATCTCCTCTTTCTGCCCTGCTGCAGTGCCGCGAAGGAGGTGGGATTTTTGCAGTCCTCTCCACAAACCTTTTCCCATTTTCCCCAGTACTGACAGCCCTCTGTGGACTCTGAAGCGCACCCGAAACGCTTTGTGCAGGTAGAGCCGTGCAGCCAAAGCATCCCCTGAGGCCGCAGCAGGGTGCTGGGTCCCCACCCCACAGCACCTCAGCCCCCCAGGAGCCTGTGGAAACGGCCGGTGCTGCAGCGAGCCTGGGTGTGGAGGTACGTGCAGGGCTCTGCCTGCTCTCCTGGGCACGGCAGCAGCCTCCCATGGTGGGATGGGTTTCAGGCCGTTGCTGCACAGCTCTGCAGCGTTTCCTCCTGCTGAGCTTTCCCTTCCTGAAGGCAGCAGCGTTTGCTTGGCTCCCTCTGCTCTCACACAGCTGCTGCCTCCCTCCCCTGGGTGCTTTCTCTCCCGAGGGCTTCTCGGTGGACTTCATCTCTCTGAAAACTCGCAGGTCTCACCAGGAGCTGCCGAGGAGCCCGATGCACAGCAAAGCCAAGCCAGCTCCAACGTCTGCAGCGAGCCAGCAGCATCACCCAGGACAGGACACCCTCCTGGGGATGGGACAGAGCTGGTACGTGCGCAGCCCTGCCTTCTGTGCAGGAACGGTGCCCTCGTGTCCCTGGGAACCACCCGCAGCTGAGGCTCAGGAGCACGGAGCTAACCCAGGAGCCCCAGGGGGAATTTTCTCGCTGGCCTTGCCAGCCCCAGGATTACGTGCTGGGGTTAAAGCGCCGCTTTGTCTGGGTGCAGCGCCCGTATCAGCCCCGCTGTCGGCCGTGCAGGAGACACCGATAAATCGGAGACGGTTTGGAGACGGGCCAAAAAAATAACTCGGGGATTGGGAGTGTGCTGGAGCGTGACCGACCCCAGGACTGGAGCTTTAACGAAGCAAATGAGTGTGGCAGAGTGGCTTAATTACTGCCTAATGGGGAAGAGAAATCAGCTGGAGGGGGCCCTTGGGTCTCAGAGGTGCTGGTGCCAGTGCTGTGCTGGGAGGGAAGGGGGTGACGAGGTGCCGGGGGTGCCCTCGTAGGGTGGCTGGTCCCCAGCAGCCCCAATTCGGTCCCAACCCCGCTCCTGTTCCTTTGCCCTCTCCTTTTCCCTTTCAAAGCATGCGACCTTCCCTCGTTTTTCCCCTGCCCAGGCTGCAGGCTGCCAGCCCTTGCTCTGCTCCATGCTCCCCGCACCCTCCCCAGCCAGCACAGACCTGCGCTCCGCCGCTGTCCTTGCCAGGAAAGAGGAGATCGAGCTGGTGAGTCCTGGCGGGTACATGTGGGATTTGGGGCTAGCCGAGGAGATGGGGACACCCCCGAGGTTCAAAATCCACGGGGAATAAGGTGACACCGGGTGCTGGGCAACCATGTGGGCAGCCCCGGCTGCTGTGGGAAGGGGCTGTCACCCCCGGGGGGGAAAAAGAAACTCCCCGAGAGGGCTTCGTGCAGCTTAGGGAGAGGTTTTGGGGTGCCCCCTGCTGCCCCTTTTGCCTCTCCCTGCAGTCGTACCAGCAGTTCAGCCTGACCATCGCCGTGGTGGCCACGATGCTGCTGGAGAAGGAGCCCTCCATGGAGGCGGCGCTGGGGCTGGCGCTGAGGGCCAACCTGCGCCAAGTGCGCACCCACCACCTCCAGGAGCTGGAGGATTTCATCAACAGCTACGACTCTGGCACCCCCAGCCCCTAAACGGGGGGGAGAATGTGTGGAGTCCCCCGTGTCGGGGTCGGTGAGGTCCCTCCGTCCCTCCTGGAGGTGGAAAGGGGGTGTGGAGGTCGGGGGCCAGCCAGAAATTGGGGTTTGCAGGCAGGGAACGGGGTCGTGGGCAGGTTGTCCCCACCCCGAGCTGAATTTTCAAGAAAAGAGGGTTTTACTGAAGGGTGGCGGGAGGGAGAGCAGCTGGGGCAGGGGGGACGGGAGGGCTCCCCCCTTCTCCCTTCTCAGAGCTCCTTGCTCTCTTCTTGTGTTTTTTTGCTGCTCCGTTAAACCCCGGGCTTTGGTCTTGTTTTTTTTTAAAAAATTAATAATAAAAAAAAAATGAGCTTTGATCCTCGCACCGCCGTTGTTCTGCTCCTGCTCTGCCGGGGTCAGTGTGCAGGGGTTTGTGGTGGCCCCCCCAGCCTGACCCCACCCTGGGGACCCTCTCCTGGGGTCCGTGGTTCTCCGGCAGCACGGCAAAACCTGGGCTGGGAAGGGAATCAGGCCAGGCACCGTCGGCTCTCCTGCGTTCAGGTCTCAGCTGAGCTTTATTGGAGCACCGTCCCCTCCCCGTGGTGGCAGCACCCTACGGGACAGCATCAGCACCCCTCCAAAGAGTCCCTGCAGGTGAGAGACCCCCACCCGGCATCTGGATCTGACCCCGGGGGCCAAATAAATCCCTCCTGTCCGAGTCAGGCAGAAGCCCCTGCCCTCGTCCTAAGCCCCCGGCTGCCCTCCCTGCTGCGTTGCTGCTCTCCGAGGCTGCCAGCTTGGCTGGGACGGGAGCTGGCGAGCGCGCCCCGGTGCGGGCTGCTGCCTCCCTGCTCCCTACTCGCTTTACCTGTTCCTAATTGCGGGAGAGGCCGGCAGGAAGGGCAGGCTGTGCTTCGCCTGCGGCTACCGGTGAAAGGATCCCGGCGGCTTCTCCCCACCGGCTTTGGGCTGTGTCCAAAATGCGCTTGGAATGCACGGAGACCACGGCAGGGGGATGAGGACCCCCCCTCCCCTTCCTCCAGCTGCTGTCCTCCTGCTTAAATACCGTGCAAAGTGCTTCCCCCGGCGAGGCGCGGGGGCCCTAGGACACGCTGCAGTGCTTGCTGCTGCCCCGCGGCTTCGCCGTCCTGCCCCCGGCCCTCTCTGGGGGTTCCCTGCCCAGGGAGCTCATCCCGGGCTTGGGAATGGGCTTCCCGAAGAAGAAGCCTTCCTCTTCCGAGTCCGAGTCCGAAGATGAGGAGCAGGTTGGGCACCAGGAGTCATCCTCTTCCGTGATGTCCTGCAGGTCGGTGTCCTCCGGCCGTGGGCTGTGTAGGGCAGGGGACAGCCCCACTGGGAGGGCTGGGTTTCCGTCACCTGCTGGTGTTCGGGCACGAGGATCCCCCAAAATTGGGGGGCTTGGGGCTCCGAGCCCCTTGGGCCCCTCTGTGCCGGGCTGGGGGCTGCCCCCTGACCCCTGCATCCCTGCGTGCGCTGCGTCCCGGCTCCTCTCTGTGGCTGCTTCGTGGTCCTGGAGGCTCCTGAAGGCAGGATGCAGGGAGGCCTGATCCGGAGACATCTCTGCAAGAAGGAAAAGCGAGGAAGGGTGAGGAAGGAGGGAGCCGAGCCCACCCTGGTTCTGCAGCGAGGGCTGCTCGGGGTGCAAGACAAGGCTGCTGCAACCCACCCGCAGCTCCCACTGCTGCTGCGGCCCCGATCGGTGCAGTGCTCACACCACGCGCCCCAAAAGCGCCCCAAAAGCACCCCAGGGCTCTGCAGCAGCCGAGCAGAGCCTGGCTTTGCTTCTACCTCCCTCCCACCTGCCCTGAAAACGCTGCGCTCGGATCCCTACCGCCGCCTTCCACCCGTTTCCACTCGCTTCCACTCGAGGCGCTCCCTGGCGCGGGCCTGGCTGCGTGGCCGGCTCGGGAGAGGGGCGTCGAGTCGGGGGACGGGGCCGAGACGAAGGCTGAAGTCGGAGGAGTCGGAGGCGCTGGAGGCTGCGTCCAGCCCCAGGCTGCAGCTCTCGGAGCAGAAGAGGCGCCCGTGGCGAGCGGTGAGGGGCTGCCCCCGCAGCGGTTTTCGGCACAGGCTGCAGCAGAAGCAGGGGGCTCGGGCGTGCCAGTGGAGCCCCTGGTGCAGTGGCCTCCTCGCTGTCGACACCTGAGGGGTGGCCGTGGGTGAGCGAGGGGCTCTCCCCGCCGCCACCTCCCCCTCCCCAAAAATCCATCAACCCCACCCTGCTCGTACCGATGGGGTCCCCGCAGGCCTGGCAGGGCTCGGCGAAGAGGCTGTCGAAGCAGCCGCGGCAGCAGGGCCGCCCGCTCCTCATCACGTAGCGCTGCCCGCACAGCGGCGCCTCGCACTCCAGGCAGCAGAAATGCTCCGGGTGCCAGCGCCGACCCTCCGCCTCGATGCACTCCTCCATGAAAATCAGCTGCAGGGGGACAAAAACCCGATCCTGTAGCAGCCGGACAGAAAACCCGCCACCCACTGCCTGCTTTTTGGGGGCCGAGGGACTTCGGGGCAGGCGTGGGGCTCCGTGCAGGGTTCGGGAAGGAATCCTTCCTCCTGCCCTGCAGCTCCTGGCCAAGCACGGAGCACTGGATGATGGCAAAAAAACAAAACAACTACAAAAAAATAAAATAAAAATAAAAATAAAAAAAATAAAAAAGAACTAAAAGCATCCTCCCCACCGGCACCCACCTGGTCGCAGGAGGCGCAGCGGGGTCGGAAGAGCTCGGCGTGGTGCCGGCCGCAGTAGAATCCTCCCGTCCTGCTGGAAGTAGATGAGATCCACCAGGGGCTGGCGGCAGAAGTGGCAGGAGAAGCAGGACGGGTGCCAGAAGTGGTCTCCCAGGCGGGACGCCGAAATCCCGGGGTCGCCTTTGTTCAGCCTCCGGCCGCACTGCAAGGTACGGAGAGGGGAAGAGGGGGGGGCTGGGGGTCAGGCGGGATTTTGGGGGGACTGGTTTGGTGGCGTGCGGCCCCCCGGGGGAGGACACCCTCACCTCCTTGCAGGGACAGCCGTGGCAGGGACCCTGGCACGGGACATTCCTGCCCCTGCCCCAGCGCCTCCCGTCTGCGGCGGGCGCTGAAGGCTCGGAGCTGCTTCCTCTCCTCCTCGGCGAGGCCGGGGCAGTACCGCTCCTGCACGGGGTAAAAGAGGTGAGGGACAGTGAGGAAATAAAACCCCGGGGAGGGCAGCAGCGAATAAATCCGTCTCTTACATCGCAGTCCTGAGGAGGCAGCTGCTGCAGGAGGGCTTTGACGCGGAGCCGGCTCCGGTCAGCGGGAGAGGCAGGATCCAGCGAGCGGCTCTCGAAGCACGCGGGGACCTGGGGACACAGCACGGGGACACAAACAGGGGGATGATCGGGGGCTTCGCTCAAGGTAAAGGCGCATCTGACCCCTTTGGGGCAGAGCGGGAGCAAAGGGAGCCCCGCGAGGGCCAGGCGCTGCCCACCTTGGGGGGCGCGGGGTCTGCAGGGGGCTCCAGGTACTCTTCCAGGGCACAGCCGGAGTCGCTGTCGGATGAGGCTGGGGGGAGGCCGGTGGCGGTGACGCAGGGGGGGGGCTCGTCCGGCTGGGGCCATGCGGGGCTCGGCAGGGACATGAGCTGCGGAGAGAGAGGAGAGGAGCTGGGGGAGACCCGCGGCACGGCGGGGAGAAGGGGGCTGGCTGGCCCCAGGAGGGGTCATCAAAGGGACCTCGAGACCCTTTGCTGAATGTCCACAGAGGTGCAAGGGCTTTGGGGGGGTCGTTCCCTTCTCGGCAAGGGTGAGAAACAAACCCACACCGAGGTGCTCACTGGTCTGGGGCTGTTGGTGTTGGGGTGAAGCTGCACAACGGGGAGACTCTGGGTGTTTGTGCTCAGCCTGGAAGAGGTTTCGGGAAGCCCCGCTGCCTGTTTGCTCACCCACAGCAGGAGATTTTCCCTGGCTGCCCCCAGCCCTATGCTGATCCCACGGCCGATCCCTGGTTTAGTGGCCTGTCCCCAAGCGAAGCAGTGGGAGGAGACCGAGGTCTAGCCCAATTCACTGGAAAATAATTTATTCCCCCTGGGCTGCTATTGTTCTGCCCCAAGCTGCTGTTCCTGCCCGGGCAGCCGGCTCGCCCAGCCGCCACCGCCTGCCTGGCTAATGGGTCCGGGGTGGAAACCCGGCCGTCCCCATCCGTCCCCTCCTCCCCACACGCCACTTGTCACCGCTCGCTTCCTTCCTGCCTCGGCTTTCCAAAACCAAGCGAGGCAGCGAGGCCGTGGCTCCCTGCGCGCTCTGCCAGGCGTCCTGCGAGGGGGGGAGTTGGGAGGGATGGGGCCACGCTGTGCCCCTCCGCACCCTGAGTCCCCAACCGTGCCATCGCCACCTCGCTCGGGCACCCAGCAGGAGCTGGGACCTGCCCTGGGACCTGCTTTCCATGAGCTGGAGCTGTAGTTTGGTGACCCTCAAGCCACGTGGCCACATGCTGGCAGGTGGCTCCGGGTCTCCTCGTGCCACAAAATCCAGCTCGTTCCTCCGCAGCGAGGTGGCACGTCCCTGCTGGGCGCTCCAGGACAGAAGCAGCGACCGCATCGCTGCTGCTCCCATAAAACAGCTTCAACACCCCCAGCTCAGCCCCAGCTCTCAGCACCTTCCTCCACGCAGCAGCTCAGGGCACCCAAAGGTGGCCGGCTCCGAGCTTCTGCTCCGGGCTCCAGCTGGGAGCTGGGGGGATCAACCCGGTTGCTCAGGTTGCCTTGGTGCACAGCTCAATGATTAACGCGGCATCGGCCGGCTGACGGCATGGAACAGACAGGCTGCACCGAGGGGGAAGACGGTGTCTGAGCCAATTCTGCGTATTTACAGCCCAAAGAGAGCCCTGCCTTGGTGAGGACCTCTCTACGAGGGCTGCTGGTGGTGGATCAGGGAACAACCTTGGCTCTAGAGCTGCGATGGGGACTGGCTCCTGTCACCAGGGTGCTGGCTAAGGACACCCGTGGGTCCAGCATCCTGGATCTGCTGCTGCTTGGTCCCCGTTGGTAACACAGCCCTGCTCTCCCCATGGGACGTGGATGGCCGTCTCAGGCTTTGCTTGGGTCATTAAGACTCCAAGCTGCCTTTGTCTCTAATCTCTTGGGGTTTTGTTGTCACTGGCCCCCTTTGATGCCCCGTGGAGGCAGCAGGGCGCACGGGGCTCCCCGTCCCGGGGCTGGCAGCTGGGGTAAGGCTGGGGAGAACGGAGCGGGCAGGGCCGTGAATCAATGGGGCCGTGCTGGGGGAGCCCAGCCCAGCCCGGTTTGATGTGATTACGCCGGCTGGCAGCCGTCTGGGCTGCGAACGAGTCCCTGTAATTAGCCCCAGACGGTGACAGCGCTGCGCGCCTCCCATGCTAAGGAGCCAGGCAGCCCCGACAGGTCCGGCTCCTCTGCTCTGCTCCCGTCCCCTCTTCCTTCCTCGCCGCCGGCGGGCAGTCCTGCTATCGCCCTGCCCTGCCAGCCCGTGGAGGGATGCGGGATGCTCCCGGCGGGGCCACCAGCCCTGGCGTCAGGGGAGGTGGCAGGAGGGCGCGTTGGGGACCTGCTCCTCCCCGCCGGCACGGCGCGTCCCCCCAGCAGGGCCACGCGAGGGACCAGTCGGACGGGCTGAGAGCCGCCCCGTGGAGCTTCCATGGGCTTCAAAAGCCTCTGGTCCTGCCCCAGGAGTTCCTCCAGCCTGCACCCGCTCTAAAGGATGGGCGCTGTCCTTGCCATGCTCCCCTGCCTGCTCGGTGCCTTTTGGTGCCGGCACCGCCTGGCTCGGTGGCCCCGCAGCGCTCCCCGTCCTGCTCCAAGTCCATTTCTGTGCTCTTTGGGAAGCGCTTGCAGCTCCCTGGCTAAAAGAGGCTGAAACCCATGGGAATTTTAATCCCCTTTGGGAGCAGCCTCAGTCCCCGGCTGGCCGTGGGAGCGCGTGTGGGCTGCCAGCCCTCTCCTGCCAAGGTCGCAGCGTTACCGTGCGGCGCAGCCACCCCGGCCCATTCGCATTCAGCGCAGCCTCCCGCTTCCCTGCCCGGCCAGGGGCTGCTCTGCATCCCTGCCACAGCCCTCGTTTTTTTCTGAAGCACTGCTCCCTTTTCCCCGACCCGCTTTCAGCCACCTCCGTCCTATTTTCCACCAAACACTCCCCGGCTCCCCAGCCCTGAGGAAAAGCATCTGCTGGCCATGGCCAAAAAAAAAAAAAAAATAAATAAAATATAAAGGCCGGATCCCCTTTCAAGCGCCCCAACGCCCTGGCACGGCTCGGTGCGCCTCACCCCCACCATAACCTGTTTGTGCTTCTGCTCCCGTCAACACAGCTGCAGCGGAGGTGCGTGGCGATGGAGCTGCAGAGATGCGCTCGGGCTGAGATAAGCTGAGCTCTGGCCAGGCGAGCTGGAGCAGCTCGTCCTGCAGAGCAACCAAAGCCAGCCTGCCCCAGCCTGGTCCCCAAATCCCTCAGGAGCAGGATCGGTGCCTGGGTGCCTGGCACAGCCGTCCCCGGGGTTGGCAGCGAGGAGGGACAGGGACAGCGCACAGCCCAGGTGCTGTGGCACAGCTCCCAGGGACCTCTCCTGCCCCGCCACGCGGCACGGTGCCATCCAAGTGACCGCAGGGGACCCCCGGTGTGTGGCTTGTTTGCTCGCAGGAGGAAGTGCTGCTGCTGCAGGGGGGGTTTTAGGGATTTTTTTTCCCCGTCCCAGCTCGGCAGGGAGCAGTGAGTAACCCATTAACCCGCTGCAATGCTCTCGCTCCTGTGTCCGCGGGGACGAACCGAGCCCGGCACCGCGCTCCCTGCCCCAGGTGGGTTTCATCCACCAGCAGAAAGCTCCACGGCCAGCCCCAAAAAACCCCGTTCCCTCCAAGCCAGAGCAGAGGACATCAAAACCCCCCCTGGGGACCCTCAACGGGTTTGGTGCCGGCAGACCCAGTGCCCCCCCAGCTCCTTGGGGCAAGCCCCCAGCCCCCTGCACCTGCGGGCTCCAGCCTGGGGACGACGGCGCCTTGGTGGCTCCATCGCCACCGTCCCCTGCTCTCGGGGGGCTCTGCAGGGCCGTTTTCCCCAAAGACAAAGACCTCAGGGGTGGAGAGAGCTCCCTGCTCCCCGCCGCCTGTTTTTCCTGGAGAGGAACCAGCCAAAAAACCCCCCTCCCTCTCCTCTCCCGGCTCTCCCACCTTGCCTTTCCCCGCGCAACAATTCCCGGATGGGGAAATCGTCCCATTTCCCCTCGGTGCCGAAGGTTTTCTCCTCCAGCCCCGGCTCCCTCAGCCCCCCTATGGGGAAGAACCACCCCGAGGGACCCCCTCGCCCACCCACCTGCCCCTTCCCCACCCCAGGGGACCCCTGCCCACCTACCTGCCCCTTCCCCACCGTGCTGGGCTCCGCCGTCCTGTCCAGCCCCAAGCACCCGAGCGGCTCCGATGCAGGCGAGGGAAGGGAGCCTGGGCTGGGCAAACTTCGCAAAGCGAAAGGAAAACATCCAAGCCGAGCGAGGGAAACTAATTTTTTTTTCTTTTTTTTTTTTCCTTTTTTTTTTTTTTTTTTTTTTTTAATCTGCCTGCCCAGGAAACTGGATCTGTGTCAGCTGGGGTCCTAATTACAGGCTTTTTAGCCTAAACCTACAGAGGCAGCCAATGGCAGGGAATCGGAGCAGCGGGCGGGGAGGGGAAGAGCAAAGGCTTGGAGAAAAGGGGGGAGGGAGGGAGGAGGTTTAACCCTACAGGGCAGCGAGCCGCGGATGACATCTGTTTTTCTCGCCACCTCTCATTTTCCGAGCGTCCGCGCCCTTCCCGCGGCTCGCTTCAGCCCGGGTTGCCGTCGGGGCGCCTTTCATGCGCGGTGATTTGGGTTTTCCTGCCTACATCAGAAAGAGCCGGAGCTTCATGAAAGAGGGCGAGCGGCGTGATGGCCCCAATTTGGGAGGCGTAACCCACACCTCCCAATTTTCTTCCCCCCTGACCCTCTCCAAAAGCCGCTCGCGTGGCTTCGGCTGCGCCCATGGCACCCGGGCAAAGAGCGGGGCGAATTTGTAAAATGATGGAAAAATTGATGGAAAATCCCCGGAGATGTGGCCAGGCTCCATGGTGGTGTCGGTGTGGGGTTTTGGCGCTGTCCCACAGCGTTTTGGGGTTTTTGGGGCTCTGTGAAGTCCCCCCAGGATGGGAAAGCAGCGGGGAAAAGGGGATGGGGTCAGAGGGGACGCGGGGAGGTCGATGTGCTGCTTGGGGCCACCTCGCTTGTGGCCTTATCGCACCCGTTGGTGGACTTTGCACACTGGGGGGGCCCCCGCGGCTGCCCCCGCCTGCGCCCTCCGCGCTAACGAGCAAAGTCCTCGTTAGCAGCGCAAGGGGGCCGCGACCTCGGCTCCGGCTCCAGCCAGGCCCCGGCCCCGGGAGCGCCACGAGGTGCCCCTGGGTTTGGGGTGTGCCGGGGGCTGTGGGGTCTGGTGGGGGAGTCACGGTGTGGGGCGCTGCCCGGTGCTCCCACTGACCCCCTCAAACCCTCTCCTGCCCTACTGTCCCCAGAAGCCCCTAATGACCCTTATAAGCCACTATTATGCCCCCCAAGTCCCTATTGCCCCCCATAAGCCCCTATTGCCCCCCATAAGCCTCCATATAAGCCCCTATTCTCCCCATAAGCCCCTATTGCACCCCTATTGCCCCTTATAAGCCTCCTTTATGTCCCCATCAGGCCCTATTGCCTCCTTACAACACCTATTACCCTCCTACAGGCCCTTTTGCCCCCTAACTCACTATTGCCCCCTATAAGCACCCATTGCCCCCCAACTCACTATTGCCCCCCTATTACCCTCTCCATAAGCCCCTATTAACCCCCATAAGCCCCCATTGCCCCCCTACAACCCTCCATAAACCCCTATTATGCCCCCAGAAGACCCTATTGCCCCCCATATAACCCCTATTGTCCCCTATAACTCCCTATTGCCCCATATAAGCCCGTTACCCCCATAGACCCCCATTACCCCCTCCATAAGCCCCTATTAAGCCCCTATTAACCCCCTATAAGCCCCTATTGCCCCCCTACTACCCCCTCCATAGGCCCCTATTAACCCCCATAAGTCCCTATTGCCCTCCTACAACCCTCCATAGGCCCCTTCTGCCCCCTATAGGCCCCTTTTGCCCCCCGATAAGCCCCCATCGCCCCCCTATTACCCCCACAAACCCCTATCACCCCCTCCATAGGCCCCTATTATGCCCCCATAAGCCCCTATTACCCCCTATAACTCCCTGTTGCCCCCTATAAGCCCACATAAACCCCCATTACCCCCTCCATAAGCCCCTATTAACCCCCCTATCGCCCCCATTGCCCCCCCAGGCCCCTCAATTCCTCCCCCCCTTTTAGCCCCGCCCCCTCCCCTTTAGCCCCGCCCCCTCCCGCAGCGCCGCGTCCCTCGCGCGCCCCCCAGCGGCCTCTCTCCCCCCCCCCCCTTGGTCCTCCCAGCGGGTGACGCTCTAGGCGGCGGCCGCTCAACTCGCTGCTCCCGGAGGACCCCGGCCCGGGCCTGGCGGTGGGGGGGGAGCGGAGGCGGTGGCGGGGCCCGGCCCGGTCCCGGTCCGCAGCCAAGGCCCGGGGGGGGGGCCGGGCAGGGGCCGGGCCGGGCCGGGGGGAAGGCGGCAGGAGGCAGCGGGGAGCGGCGCCGAGCTCCGGGCGCGGGCCTCGGCTCCCGGACGGCGGAACCGGGCAGCGCCTCAGGTAGAGAGCGGCTCCGTGAGGCGCTGGGGGAGGCCCCCAGGGGGGTCTTGGGCCTACCCCGGGGGTCCCGAGACTACTGTGGGGGGCCTGAATCCCCCCCCCCCGGGGGACCTGAGCCCATCCCGGGGGTCTTGAGCCCATCCCGGGGTCCTGAATCCTTCCCCCCGGGGGTCCTGAGACCACTCTGGGGGTCCTGAGCCCCCCCCGGGGGTCTTGGGCCCATCCCGGGGGTCCTGAGCCCCCCCACCCCGGGGTCCTAAGACCACCCTGGGGGTCCTGAGCCCCCTTCCCCCGGGGTCCTACGCCCATCCCGTGGGTCTTGAGCCCCCCCCCGAGGATCCTGAATCCCCCCCGGGGGTCCTGAGCCACCCCCAGAGTCTTGAGCCCATCCCTGGGGTCCTGAGCCCCCAGGGGTCCTGACACCACCCTGGGGGTCCTGAGCCCCCTCCCCCTGGGATCCTGTGCTCCCCCCCAGGGATCTTGGCCCCCAGCTAGGGTTCCTGAGCCCCCCCCCTTCCAGCCCTCACCCCCTCCCCTCCATGCTGCCCCTGCACTGCCCCTTGTCCCCTTCCCCAACTCCCCATTTTCCCCCTTGCCCCCCAGTTGTCCCCAGGCTGGGGTCTGCCCGAGGGCTGGGGAGGGTTTGGGTTTGGGGTCAGGCGGCTGGGACCTCCTTGGAGGTCTCACAATTAATTTTTGTTCATTATCAGGCCCCCAGCCAGGAGCCCCTGTAGGAGAGAGAGCCGGGTGTTGGGGGGAGTGGAGGGGAATGGAGAAGAAGGAGGCAAAAATAACTCGTTTTCTACAGGATTTTATTTTTTTACTGATGTTATGGGAGGAGGAGAGCAGAGGCTGTAGAGGACGAGGCCCCCGCTGACCAGGTTAGACGGAGCAGAGAGGAACCTGCTGCTAAATTATTGCTCAAACCCTGGGGCCAGTCCCCACTGGGTGCAGGGCTCGAGGTGCTGCTGCTCCTGGGGTGCCCGCAGGCAGCGAGGGGCAGGAGGCAGCCACTGGGTTGGTGCCCGAGCTCCTCCAGCACACCCAAAACGTGGCCCTGCTGCCCCTCCGGAGGGTTTTGCAGGGCCTGGGTGCAGCAGGGAGCTCCTGAGGTGTTGGGGCTGAGGCAAAGTGACCCGGAGCTGCCCGGGAAGATCGCCCAGGTTGTGTTTTGGTGTCAAAACACAACCTGGGTCCGTTCAAATTGCACCAAAATTCCCGTTTTTTTCCTCGCTGCTAGGCGTGCCATTCCTGCGTGCTTCACGCTTGCACTTACTGTTAGCAGGTAGCAGAGGTTTGGGGCATTTGTTGCTTTTTTTAGTCCAAAACAGACCCGCTGCTGTGTTTACTTGCTTTTAAGGCCACTTGTTCTCAGACCCTTGAGGGCTTTCCATCGGATGAAGACGCCTTCATGCTCCTAAGCAGCAGATGCGTACGATCCCTCGTGTCCTCACCTCTCCTGCTTAGGGTCCCAAAGCCAAGAAGGAAAACGTCTCATTTTTAGGTTTTCTAGCTGGTATTTCTTCAGAAGTTCTGCGTTGAAAGCACTCGCTGCTCTCTGCCCGTTGGGATGTCGTCGAGCCTAGTGTCTGTGCTGAGTTCTTGATAAGTTTGTTAGAAAATTGGCACAGCTAGCAGAGCAGGATGATGTACACTCACCGTGCAAAGTGTGTTTGAACATCTGATGCCTGCTCTAAGCCTGCTGTGCATTTTAGGAGCAGCGAGTGCTGAGTTATTCCCCGTATTCATTCAAGTGCAGGTAGCTATTAAAAAACCAACACGTGCCTTCCTTTCCTCGGGATATTCGAGGATAAATTCAGTGACACTTTCCTCCGTGCTTATTGTCCTCTGGTTTATTGATCTCTTTCACTTTAATTTCCTTTCCAGGGGGAAGATGGGGCAGTTTCCCTCGTGCTCTAGGTGACTGACACCTCCTTGCCATGAAGTCCCGAAGGAGATAGAGGGACAGTAGTGGGAATTTCTTCTCACCCTCCAAAAGCACCCAAACAGTTGCCTAATGGTAAGCAAGCTGTTATTATTATTAGGCTTTTATTAGGCTTGTGTTACGTGGTGTCTAGTAATCGAGGAACACAAAGCTCTCAAAGCACCAACGTTTGAGATCCAGACACACCGAGCTGTGTGAAGAGGGGGGGAGGAAGACACCGGCTGTGAATGCTGCTTGTTGGGAGGGGGGTGGGAGGAGTTGGCTTGGAAATGTGATTGTCTTCTGGTTTGTGGCCTTTCCCCAGGGATTACCTCTCCTGCTGACGTCATGGGGAGCTGCTGCAGTTGTCTGTGCAGAGACAGCATCCCAGACAACCACCCCAGCAAATTTAAGGTAGGTTTTGGACCCCAGCCCCATTGCAGAATCTGGCAGGGCTGGCTGCTAGCAAAGCCCAGCATGGGTCGGGCTCCAGGCATGAAAGTAACGAAAAACTCTGCTCCTGCAGATAAGTCTTTCAGCTGATAAGATTTGCAAACACGCTGCTGATTTATTTTATTATTATTAAGCATCCTCTGCTGCAAATCTCTTTGTGTTTGCAGCAGAAATTTCCCCTGCGCTGAGACTCAGCCTGAGCAAGGAAATGGAGAGCTGGAGAGAAACCTTTTATTGCTCAGGGCTGTGTTCCAGTGGCTTTGTTGAGGCACATCAGCTGAACTGCCAAGCGCACAGTCTCCAGGGCTGCCGCCTTGGCGCCTGGTGCCAGCGATGAATTCATGCTCTCGGCCGAGATAAAGTCATCTCGGGAGCTGGAGGGGAATCCATGGGAATCAGAGGATCTTTGTGGGTGGCCGTTTGCTTTTTAATGCTTGTCAACACCCTGAGCTTCCTGCTGAGCAGTGCCTGGCCTCCGCAGGTAACGAACGTGGACGATGAAGGCAACGAGCTGGGGTCTGGGATCATGGAGCTGACGCAGACGGAGCTCATCTTGCACACTCACAAGCGGGACGCGGTCCGGTGGCCCTACCTCTGCCTGCGCCGCTACGGCTACGACTCCAACCTCTTCTCCTTCGAGAGCGGCCGCCGCTGCCAGACGGGGCAGGGTGAGTGCTTGTTGGGGGAAGGAGCTCCAAGGTTTCTGCTCCCTGGCAGCCAGGCTGAGCCGATGCTCCCAAATTCCCCCACCTAACAAATCCACAGGTCCTTCTGCAGCCTCTGTTCCCCCAGATCACCACTGGGCATGCACATGCAGTCGATCCTCCCAATTAAAACACTTAATGAGAGCTCTGGACCCAGGTCATAAATCTCATGGTCTCATTTTGCTAAGTGTGCTTGCACTCGAGGTAATTAGTGAAACAGGACTGAGCTCAAGCTTCCCTCGGATGGAGCACATTTAATATCAAGGAGAGTATTAGTTACCCTGTCAGCTCCAAAGGATGCACAGCCGTGGTAGGAGGGGCTGCTGGACGTGTTTCAGCGCTGGGAAGTGCTTTCTGCAAGACTAAAGCTTTGCCAAGCATCTTTTAGCTCTGGGACATCAGCTGCACCTTTCTCCAGCCCCCTCTTAGTACCCTGATTATTTCACAGCGCTCTCAAGCGCCCCTCAGTAGCAGCAGTTGTTTAAACGCCGTTTGCTTTTCACCACAATCTCTCTGCTTTGGCGAGCGCTGTTCCTCCTGACTGCTTTGTATTTTGTGTCTGGCAGCGCTCCGTAATGTAGAGGGGAAGGGACTGGTGCGTTTTGCTGATTTTATGCACGGGGATGCTGTGCATAGAAGAGGGAAGTGAGTCACCCAGGACTGTGTGCCAAGTCATCAGCACCGGGCGCAGGCTCCAGTTTTACTCTGGTGCCTCCGAGTTCCCCCAGCAGTCTGTCTCTTGCTTTTAAAGAGCTGAGCGTTTTCCTGGCATATGCATCCCAGGAGAGGGGGGGAAAAAAAAGTTTGTTTCCTCATTCTATTAACGTGTTGGTAAACTCCTTATCCACAAGGACTCTGCACGACTGTTCGGTGTCTGTGGAGCACTGCACAAATCTGTAGTGCCGTATGCTCCTTCAGATTTATGGAAGTGGAGCTTTCCTCCCCTGGCATCACGTGCCAGCGATGGGAACTGCTTGTCTGTGGTCGTCTGTTTTGCCTTTTCCAGCATCAGGGATTAGAATTCTGCTGTCGGTGCTTTTGGGTTTTATTTAGACCCGGGGAGCGGTGATAAAGCTGTTTGCTCTTCGTATCCTAGGACGTTTTTAGCAGGCACACACTTACTCATCGGTCTGAATGCAGCCAGAAGTGAGAGGGATGGCACTGTGCTGTGATGAGTTCTCCCTTCCTTGTAGGATTTCTTCTGCTGCATTAATTTTATTTGGAGGATTGCTTCCTGTGCCGCTTCCCATCTTATATAAGGCAGAAATTGCTGGTTTTTTGTGTTTTTTTTTGTCGTTTTTTTTTTTGGCCAGAATGTTTTAAACATTATTCTTTGGAGTAGCAGCAGCTGTTGCCATGCCGTCCTCGTTGCTATGGCTTTTGTGCGTGCGTGTGCGTGCCAGCTTGGGATTGGCTTGCTCTGCACACACCAGCTCTGGTTTGGGCTGCTCGTTTGGGGAGACACTTCTCAATTTGATGCATTTCTGAAATGTGACGTGCTTGGCCTTCCCTCCTATACACACCCCACAGGGCCCAGCTCAGCCTCGACCAGTCGCTGGACAGACTTTCCCATGGCAGTGAGAATTGGCCAGGGTGCCAAGCGAGTTAAAATCGAAGATGAGAGCTGAAACAAGAGTGGTTAGCAGTCCCTTTTCACACCTCTGCTCATCTAGGGTTGGGTGCCATAAGATAATTGAAGCACTCGCTGTTTTTCTTGTAAGAATGCACCATTTGGTGCGATGATGCTTTAATCCACCGAGTTACCAGTAGGTCTCCCGTGAATGTGAGTTGCAGGGGTTGATTCTGTCAAACCCAGCAAAAGAACCCCAAATTTCCCCTTTGTTTAGAGCGCAGAATTATGTCTTCTCTGATTAAAGCAGGATTGCTTTCTTCCTTTTCTGACCCTCCTCCTCGCTACTCCGCAGGGATTTTTGCCTTCAAGTGTTCCAGAGCGGAGGAGATCTTTAACCTGCTCCAGGACCTGATGCAGTGTAACAGCATCAACGTCGTGGAGGAGCCGGTTGTCATCACCAGGAACACTCACCCCACCGAGCGGGAGCTCTCCCGGACCCCCCAGGCACCCAGCAGTAAGGCTCCTTCAGGCTGCGGGGAGAAGCGGGCGCAGAGACGCGGGTGATGCCTGAAATGGCTCATGCCAAAGGGCCCCTGGCAGGACACGGAGATCTCTCAAGCACTGACTTGACTCATTTTTTTTGTATCAAACTGATGCTCTATGTCTTTGTTCTTCCCCAGGTCTGGGTTACACCGTCCCAGGATTTCCCAATGGATTTCACAGCTTCTCTGGAGAACCCCTGTCCTACTCAGCAGCCCGCCACCCCTCCGTGAGCAGCCTGAGGCATTCCTCCGTGGGTGAAGACTCCACTCATGCCCTCATTGGGCCTGACGAGCAGGTAAACACGGATGCCCTAAATTCTGCTGTTTGCGAGCAATGAGCTCGATTTGCTTCTAGTCCTGTGCAATTCTTGGTTTCTCTTACTCCTGCTCAAGGTCCCTACTCAAGGGCCCTCAGGGGTCCTTGTCTCTTCGCCATCCTTTTTCTCTTTTGCTTCATTTTGGTCTCAGAGACTTCTGCTCTGATGCTTTACTAAAACAGGCACTCCACTGAGGTGGGCTGATGGGCTTCCTTGTTCCCCATCTGTTCACTACTTGACAATTATTTAACAGCAGCACTTAGCTTGTGAGTCTCGTATTTCCTTATCTGCCAGCTATCAGTGCAACCCCTAAACCAATCTGCAGATGTGTGCCCGAGTTCAGGTTTGTTTATTTTTTGACGCTCAGCTCTTTATTCTCAGCTTTAGAAATTAAGATTTTCCCTCCGTAACTCATCTTGTCTCAGCCACTCTCAGAGAAGCCTGTGTAGGGCTGAGTGCTGCCATATATCCCGTGTAAGGAGCTGAAGGAAACAATTTTCAGGTGGTTTTGCTTCTTGTTCTGTACCATGTACATCCAGTGTGAAATAGATGATGTGTATCTGCTGCAGTCGGACTCCTTTTTTTCCTCTCCCTCGGCGCACAAATCCAGAAATGACTTATGTTTTTCTTCCCCAAATCTTTCCAATATCTGATTTATTTTTTTTCATCTCCTTCATCATCACTTTTTCCCGTTGCTTTCTCAGCTCCTGGCAGCTGCTTCGCCCTCGCCTCTTCTCTTCTCCTTTCACTGTCCCTCTGCTTCTCTCCTTGCAGTCCCACACCTACGTGAACACGGCCAATGGTGATCAGGAGCCGAGGGGCCGACACTGTATGCACTCCTTGCCTGAAGCCCACCCTCCTTTCCCTCATAGGAACCGCAGCTGCTCCCTCGAAGACCGCAACCCCCAGGTCTTTCTGCAGCCGGGGGAGGTGAAATTCGTCTTGGGCCCCGCGCCCAACTACAGGCGCATCTCTCGGCACCCCCAGGAGTGCAGGACCCACTTCTGCGCCCCCAACAACAACAACAACGAGTGCGAGGGTGAGTGTCCCTCACCCCAGTGCGTCTACGAAAACGTCAACGGCTTGCTGCCCCCCGCCACCTCGTCCCTCTGCCGGGCCGGGCGCTTGAAAGTCCCCCGGGAGGACGCGGGCTCGGCCGGCTGCTCGCAGCGCAGAGCTGCCTTGCTGCACTACGAGAACTTGCCCTCGCTGCCTCCGGTGTGGGAGTGCCAGCCGCTCCGGCGGGGCGAGGAGGACGCCGGGGACGTGCTGACGCCTTCCCCTAACGGCTACCCCGAGGCTGGCGAGGAGGATCCCCTGCAGAACTACATGAACTCGGAGAGCGCCGCGCTGCACGGGGGTGGCAGCTTGCGGCGAGGCAGCTTCTTACCCAAACCCCGTCGGGGCTGCGTGCCCAACGTCTTCAGCTTCGATTTCCCCCGGCCCCGGCTGGAGCAGCCGCGGCAGCTCAACTACATCCAGGTGGAGCTGGAGGCTGAGCCTCGCAAAGGGCACGCGAAGCCCCCAGCCCCCTGTGCCGCGCCTCCCGCTGCCCACGAAGCCCGCCGGACGGACTCCTACGCCATCATTGACCTCAAAAAGACAGCAGCCATGTCCAATTTGCAAAGGGCCCTGCCGAGGGACGACGGGACTTCACGCAAAACCCGACATAACAGCACTGACCTGCCTCTGTGAGGGGGGCTGCCGAGCGCTGTGTTGTGGCTTTGGTCCCTGCCCTTCGGTGTGGCTTCCATTCGCCATCGCCCTCTGCTTCCCCGTTACCCCGTTTCCTGGTGTCATGGGATGGGTCCTACAGCTGATGTCAAGGCTAGTCTGTCCGTCCGTCTTCCCCTCCCCGTCTCTCCCGTGTAGTTTGTTTTCTAAAGCCTTACGGGATGTGGGAAGCTGCTGTTGGAGGTGAACGGAGGGGCAGGAGGTGGCAGCAGGAGGTGCTGTGCGGGCACCTCCTCGGGCAGGGCTAACTCTGACCTCCCGGCAGCTCCGTGGGCAGTGCAGGTGGTCCCAAAAACGAGGTGCTGGGGGAGCTCCACAGCAAATCAAGCTCATCTCCCGTGGATTTCACACCTTGCAGCTCCGGGGGCAGCAAGCTCTGCGGTCAGGCCACTCCAGAGTTGGTTCTTGCCTTGTGCTTTCCATGGTCCCCAACACCATGGGAGCTCATGCTGCAGTCTTTCCCCCCTCAGCTTGCTCCTTCCTCCCTCTGCACTGTTTCCTTGAAGCTCGCAGAAGCTTCTCATCCTTCTGGCCCTTTCCCAGATTCGATTTAAATTGGGCGACTCTAGAAATTAGTAGAGGAGGAGACACAGCCATGGACACAGACACTGTGATCGCACAAACCTCATTTCCTGAAGACACCCTGCTTAAAAAGAGGAGGGGAAGACTGCAAGGATGAGAGATTGCAGGTTTGCGATAGAAGCCTTCAACTGTACCGTACACTGTTTTGATTTTTAAGGGTTCTTTTTTGGTGGCTGTTCAGAAGTGCTGTTGACTTGCCGATTAATTTATTCGTTTATTTATTTATTTATTAAATGCTCTTTTGCCTTCCCAGTGGTAAATTGCCAAAAACCGGTGCCAATACAAACCGTACTTGCTCCACGCGCTGTGCCTGGGGTCTCTGATGAGAGCTGGTGGCTTTGCTGAGCTGTGGCCGGAGAAAAGAGCAGCCAGGAATCTTTTTTTTTATTTTATTTTTTAAATTTTATATTTTTTAACTGGGATTTGCTGCCGCAGGGTGGGTGGGTGGGAGGGAAGCGGTGGGGGAGACGTGGGAGCGCGAGCAGAGCTGCGAGGCAGCCGAGCTTGGAGTCGTATCAAAGACGTTTCCACCACCCACGTGCCTGGCTGGGCCCATGAGAAATATTTGATCTGCGTTTCCAGCGAGCGTGCCGCGCGTTTCCTCCAACTGCAGCCTTGGGAAGGGCTAAGTTTCAGCTCTCGGGTAAACTCGTGGCCTTTGATGTTGGGTTTTTCTGTTGACGCCGGGGCTGAGCTCGAGCTGAGCTGTCAGGACGCCCTTTGAGGTCCCGTGTAGGGTCTGTGCTCCTCTCTGGGTGGGGACGTGCCACCGCCCCTCTGCGTGGTGACCTGCTGCAGCTCAGTCCCTCCCCGGATCACTTTGTCATTGCGAGCTGCTTCTAAGCACTCGGGGTTGCTTTGCAGGCCCACGTTTCTGCTCTCCGCGTTCATCTTCCTCCTTGGGATGCGAGCTGAGGGGTGGAGCGCTCGTTTGCTGAGCCTCGCCGTGTCCTTGTTCCTAAAGCTTTCTGATTTGAAGTCAGAGAAAGGGGCCAGGACCTGGTCAGCCAGCCATAACCTGCAAGGTCCACGGGCTCAATTTCCATACTTCTGAAGCTCAGCTTGGTTTTTGTGCTGCGATGTCATGCCGAAACGGGACCCTTTTGGAATCAGAAAGGCATCAAATGCCGGGCGGTGCCGTGCCTGCGTCTGCACAGCACGGATTCCTCGACTTGTTCATTGCACTAGAAATTCAAAGTGCACCACATGCTTCAATTCAGTGATTTTTCCTTTTTTTTGGGAAGTTCTCATGCTTGTTGTATGCTCTTTTCTCCACCCCAACCCTTGAGTGATTTATAACCGAAAGGAAACCCAAGTCATATATTTTTATATGTATGCCAAGTGACTTTATGTGGAGGGAAAAGGACAAGTAATGTATTCCCCTAAACCTATCAAACTTCCATTTGAGGAAGTGAGAGAAGAAATTGTTTCACTCGATGTATTAAAGTTAACTGCATTAAGCCTTAACCAAACTACTTAAATAATTCTAATTATTTTTCTAATTTCTACATGAGAAGTGTCTAACCTGTCAGCGTCGCCCCCGGGACAGCTCCAGCGGCTCTGACCCCGCAGCGCGGTGCTCTGGGAGCCTCCACATGAACCTGCCTTCACAGCATCACTGCCCGGCTGGGAAATACAAAATACTCCCCGATTTCACCCAGAAAGGTTAAAAAGGATGAAATATTTCACATTTATGTGGAGCACGGTGGCAGGGCCAGGTCTTGCAGGCTGGGTGTGCGCTGTTGGGTGAGAGCTCGTGTGTGGCTCAGCCTTGGGGCACCTGCTGGGGGCACCTCCTGCTCCCTGTGGTGTCCCCTGACCTGGCTGCGTGTCCCCAAGGGCTGGGACGTTCCTGGAGGTGTCGGGACGAGCACGGCTGCGTTGCTGGGGGCTCCTCACCGCGGTCCCCGAAGGGCTGGGCTGCTGTTTATGTGGCTCGAATTCGCTTTGGATTGGGGAAAGCTGCCCTTGATGTTTGGGTTGCTGCCATTCACGTCCTCCTGATGAACTGTGCTGTCTGCCTTGGTCCTCCTGCCCTCCTCCAGCAATCCCCGAGCTCCCCTACCTCATGAGGACATCAGAAGCAGCGAGGAGAGCCTTGGGCAGCAGCTGAGTGCGTGCGCAGCACCCCCCTTACCGCCGGTCCCCGCCAGCATCCCGCACCCCCTTTACAGCTGCACCTATTTCGAGGAGGAAGGAAAAAAGAGATGCATTTTCTCATCGTTAAGGAAGACCTGATGCTGGCTGCTCTCAGAGAATCGTAACCCAGTGGGCACCTCGCTTCTCCATCCTCTGCTTCATGCTGCGCTATCGCCACCTCCCTGGAAAGCCTCGGGGATGAAAAGCCGCTCGCAGCCCGTTTGCAGGGGGGTTGTTTAATGTTTAAGCAACTCGGTAGGAAACTTCATGTGGGCAAGCAGGAAACCAGTCGTTTATGGCTTTCAGGGTGTGCATCAGGTCTGTGTGCAAGTCATTTTTCTCATTTTTCTTCGCTTTTGTGGAAAACTTCACCAGAGCAATATCTGCGTTAAGTGACCCGGACCCTTTCGTAACTTCTTAAACCTCAATTTTGCAGGTGGTGTGGAGGTGCAAGAACAGACCAGAGTTGTTTGAACACTGAGGCAGAAGTTCTAGGGGCAGCTGGGAGCAGAAATGTCACTAGTTTGGGTTTCTCCCTGGTATTTCCACCTGTGTGGAGCTCTCCAGTGTCGCAGCTTCCTCTAGTGGTCAGACCTGAAACGGTTGCAGAGTTAAAATTGGTACGAGGTTGGAAGGCCGGGGCGTTTGGTGGTTTTTTTTTCATTCCTTCAGTTTGATTTGAGCATTGGGCAGTAGGGATCCCTCCTGAGAGCCCTTTGGAGTCATTCCTCCTTATGGTTTTCTTTGGGTTGAAAATTCTGAAATGTGCCGTCTCTTTATTTTGCAAGGATGGATCTTGCAGGTCTTGCTTTGAGCCTTACGTGCGAGTTCGCTGCGCTTTCCCAAGGAGTGCACGGACACGTGCGTGCTCACCTGGATGGGAAACAAACCAGGGATTTCTGCCGACTCCTCCTGTCCCACCAGCCATGGTTCTCCCCCCGCAGGGAAGACTGTTCTCCGCGGAGCAGAACTCCTCACCCTTTGTGGTTGTGTCCCCAGGATCTGGATTTAAGACTGCATGATCCATTCTGCGCGCTGTGCCTCCAGCTGGTGCTGCCCAGCTTGTCTGAAAGGAAAGGAACCAGCAGGTGTACGGCTGAAGCCTTCTCCAGCACCAGGCCCTGAAGCTGAGCAAATCCCTGAGATTGTTTAATTCCCAGCTTGGTTCTGCAAAGATCCCTCGCCTGGTGCCCCTCGTGCCCGGCAGTTCCATCCGTGGATGGGAACCTGGAAAAGGGGCGGTGTGCAGGCAGCTCCTGGGTTTGCTGAGACTTTCTTTGGTTCCTCAGAGGAGGTTTAGGCAACCAAACGCAGCTGGTGTGGCTCCTGCTGGAGGCTGCGGTGCTGCTTCGCTGTCCTCTGCGTGTAGGATCGAGGTTCAGGGGACGGCTGTGGAAGCAGCTGTCTGCTGTGCAGCGATGATTTGACTGACTTAACCTTTATAAGTGATTCTTGTTTGAGCTCTGAGTTAATCAACCAGAGTTTCTCCCCTGATATTTCTTCCCCGGTGACTGCATAAAGAGCTCTTCTACCCTTCCCTTTCCCAGGAACCTGCTGGGAGGTGTGTAGCTTCCCATGGCTCCCAGTCGTTGTTTGTTGTGGGAGGGTTTTTCGTTTTCTTTTCTAATTTTAACCCGTTTTAATGTGCCTGCTTTCCCCTTGAGAAAAGGTGGCCTGATTATTTGTGAGCTGGATCTGCCTTACAGGGAGGGGGGTGGCGAAGGAGAGGCTGGCTTGTGAGGGTTAAGGGATCAATATTTCTGCAGATTTTGATTGTCTCAGTACTAAGTGTCACTTTTCTTACCTAAGCCATGCTGTCCTCCGGGACAAAACCCAAACCCAGCTTCAGCTCCTGCTGTCCTTCTTTCCAGCGAGCGATTACCGACCAAATACCTCCGATCCCCAGGACCCTGTCTCGCACCAGCAGGGCTCCCACCTCGGGTTCTGCCCCGCGTCTCCTTTCCCCGTGCCTCAGTTTCACCGGGGCAAAACGGGGAAGGCGGCGGCGACCTCCTTGGTGTGCTGATGCCTGTGAGATCCGAGGGAGAGCGTTGCGGCAGGGCTTGGTACTCCGGCTGTATGTTCTCTTAGCCATTTTCTCCCCAAATCCTTCCCCTCTCCCTCCACGTTACGCTGCTCAGCCCTCGTGGGTCGTTATTTTGACTGTGAAATAACATTAACGAGCGATTGTTAATGAACGTTGTTGCCTCATCGTGGTCCAAATTCAGCTTCCAGGGGGCTGCAGCCAGTCTTACTGGGAAGTTTCTCTTTCCCCCAAACGTGGCTCCTGGTGAAATGCTGCGCGCAGGTAGCAGAACAGGTTCAGATTCCTGTTACCAAACAGGACCAAAGGTTGAATACATTAGGGGAAATCCCGAGAGCTTTGAAGTTGCCAATTACGAGCCGGGGTGTAGAAAAAAGTTAATTCTTCAGAAGGGGCCTGATTTGTTTTCTCTTCCCTAAGTGAATGTGATTTTTTCAAGTTGAAAGACCCAGATGCATCCGTGTTATCTCGAGCTCTTCTCCCACGTGGTTCTCCGTGTTGTTCCTTGTTACTGCTGTCTCTGATACCGAACATTTTCGATGCGGCAGAAAAACGAAGGTGCTCCGGGGCTCCGGCCACCGGGGCCTGGGTGGATCTTAGCGGAGGGGTTGATCCCGCTGTGTAATTGCTTCTTCGGGTTATTCCTCTGGGCATCCATTCGGTCCCTCTTTATATCTCATCCGGGTGTAACCGTAAAGGCGAAGAACAGTAGCAGTGCTGTGTGACCCGAGGAGTGCTCATGTCTTACCTTAACGTGCACTACGAATGTATACAGAATAAACAGAATATGACGATTAGCCGCTGGTCGTGTCCTTTTTATTTAACACTGACTGCTTGGAGGGGGGACGGGATGGATGAAGTCAACCTTCTCCTGCCCGTGGCCTCTCCAAGCCCACCTCGTGTCCTGCAATTCGCCCTTTTCACCCTTTTTGGGCCCGCAGCATGGCTGTGGCATGCCCGATGTCTTCAGGACCAGTTGTCCTGGTGCAGCTCAATCCAGGCTTCTGGCAGCGTTTGCTTTCCAGGTCTCCTTCCCGTGATGGAATTACCTCAGCGCTGCTTTTACCTTAAGCATCTCTTCTGCTGTCTCCCGAATTTTTTGGCTTTGAACACCTCACCAGCTGCGGAGCAGAGCAGGAGCAGGCTGAAACTCTGCATGACCCGTGTGTAACCTGGGACGTGCCACCAGGATCGCACAAAAAGGCAATCCCCCCACCCCCCAACACAATTTTATGAACTCCAATTTTAAAAGGCTGGGAGTTTTCCATCCAAATTCTGCTTTTTGAGCCTTCAGGGCGCTCGCTTTTGAGTTTTGCAGATAGACGTAGGTGTTCGACCTGTTTTTTGGTTTTTTTTTGGGAGCTTGATCTTTGAGAAGAAAGGAACAAAGCAGCTATTTCGACCTAACAAGTGGCTATATTGAACTCAGGTCACGGTTCTAAGAGGGAAATTACCCACCTCTGAGCGATTCCTGTCGGCGGTAACCCACCCCCAGCCGACCTCTTTACTAAAACCACATTTTTTAAAGGTGACAGTAAATGATGCATCTCCCATCGTGACCAGGCACAGCCGGGTGCCTTGTCCCTGCTCTTGTGGACTCCAAAGGTGAGACGCAGGTTAAATAAAAGAGCAATTAGCTCCCCGTGGAAGGTTTGGTCACCTCACGTCGCCGGTCAGTCGTGTCCTTTTTGTCCCCCTGTTGTTTTGGCCAGGGGGAGAACAGTTGCTGCTGTTTGTGCCAATCCTCGGTGATAAGATAATGTTTGAGTTAAAAGATATTTTGTCCTTCTGATAATAAGCCAGGACACGAAATATTTGACACATGATGTGTTCCTAAACTGAACTGCTGAGGGGGAGAGGGCTGATGCTGCAGACAGCTCCCCACGACCCTATTCTTTCTCCTTTTGCCCCAGGGAGGGGTAAATGTGTGTCCCAGGGTGGAGCAGCTCCTGCTTACTGCTGCTGGTGGTCAAAAACATCCTCTTGGGCAGCTTGAAGAAACTAGAAAGGAAATAATTCAACGTGGCCTTTAGGAACAGAAAAAAAAAAATAGGGCAAAATGCAATAAATTTGGGAAATAAAATTAGAAACTTGTGCGCAGGCAGATGCCTTTATCCTAACCTCTGCTGGCTGGTGGCCAGGGGTTCCCTCTGTGGGATAACTCCGTAGCTTCACGTTTGTTTGAGCAGGGGACTGAGCTCGGTGCAGAAATGTTTGGCTGAGGCTCTGAAACCACCGAGTCTTCTGCAGGATCTTTTTTTTTTAGGGCACAGCCATCGCTGGCGGGTCCTCGTGGACCAGGCTTCCATCGAGCCAAGCGTCAGGAGGAAAGCACGAAGGTGCCTTGGGTTCTGCCACCGCTTGGTGCAGGGCGGGTTTGTCCAAATTATAGCAAAGAAGAGAGAGTTGTGGGGTAACGTGCACAGCTTAACCCCTCGGTGCATGGAAATCCCTCCTGAAAGCTCATCCCCAGCAGGAGCCCAGTTAAAAACCACTAACAGGGCCCTCTGTGTCGTCCTAAGAGCGCAATCCTTCGTGCATGGAGTCTCCTCTGCAAGCTCCGTGGGTTTCTCTCATCCAGGGTCATTTTGGGACTTTCTAACGTGCTAGAGGTAAGAGCGGGAATGGAAACAGGAGATAACACAACTGCTGATAACCCATGTTAATCTTTCCAGCCTCTTCCTGGAAACCCTTTTTCATTTCTCTTTCAAGGAAGTCTTTGATAGCCCTATCGAATCCAAAAGGAGTTGAGTAGCCGCGAACTCGACTCTTGCAGGTTTGGATTATTCCCAAGAAGTTGTTCTTATCGGCTTTTTTTTCTTTTTTTTCACCGTTGTTTTTCAAAAAATAGCTTGTAGGTACAATGGCAGTAGCCACTGGTGTTTGACTTCAGAGTTTTCAAAATATTCCTTAGCGCTGTGGGAAAGTCTCGTGCAAATATTTTGGGTGCGCTGATAAACCTCAGGCATGCGTGGGACCCTGATGCAGGGAGATAGCGAGCGTTTGGGGATATATAAGGGTGTGCTGTGGGGCTTCAAAGGTCTCCTCGGAAGCTGCCAGCAAAGGGAAGATCACCATGAAGTGGCTGCTCCTTGCCCTGGTGTGCCTGCACCTCTCCGAGGGGCTGCTGAGGTGAGCGCGGAGGAACCTCGGTCGTGGTTCAGGATCAGGGTCGTAATAGGATGGGGGCAAAGTCAGGAAGGGCGGCGGTGGGAAATCTGTTGGGGGTCTTAGGTTTTATGTGGGGCCAGTGCTTAGTATTGTGGAGAATTCCTTAGACCATGGTCATATTGGGTTGGCTTTCACATTAAAAAATAATAAATTGTATTTCACAGTGCAGCTCGCTGTATCCCAAGAAGTCATGGCCAAGGCAGGCCTGATGTCAAATTCATTTTTCATTAGTTGAAGGGATCGGGATCCAAAGCCCAGGATTCTTCCCGTGGCCAGGACTGGGTCACCTCCCTCCAGGGATGTGCTGATCAGAGCAAATCTGCCCGCGGGAGATGGGGCAGGCAGGGGACGGAGGCAGAAAAGATGGATAGAGGAATAAAATCGAAGGAGCTGGAGAGATGGAGGCTTGCTTCGCACCACACTGACCTGACGATTTTGCTCCTTGCGTGCAGGATTCCTCTGAAGAAAGGCAAGTCCATACGGGAAGCCATGAAGGAGAAGGGGGTGCTCCACGAGTACCTGCAGCAGCACCGCTACCACGACCCAGCCTACAAGTTCTTCAGCAGCTTCTCCAGCATCTACGAGCCCCTGTCCAACAGCATGGAGGTGAGCATCCACTCATTGCTTAAATTAAGGGAGAGGAGAGACGGGAGGACCGAAATGAAAAAAGAGAGAGACATTTGGGAAGTTCCTCGTAGGACCTTGAAGCTCAGTGTTTATTTCAGCAGCTGCTCTTGTGGCTGTGTAGGGAAAGAGGAAACATTGCTGTTAGTGAGCATGGAGCTGCTCAGCTGTGTGCTGATTTCTGTTTTGGAAACACACCCAAAGCAGCTCGTGGGGCACTGAGGGAAGGCTCCGTGCGCCCTGAGCAGCTCCCAAACACAGCTGCTGCCGCCTCTGTGCCACCGGGAGCTGTGCTTGGGGGGAGAGCCCGAGCAAAGAGCGATGCTGTGCTCCAGGCTTAATGTGTGCGGCTGTTTTAACCCCCCCTTGCTGGGAGCGAGGCGGTGTCAATGGTGAAGGGAGCAGAGCACTGACCCTGGTGGACCCTCCAGCCCCATGGAGCGGTGCTGGAAACCCCCGTCCCGAAATGCCAGTGGGGCTGAGTTTTGTCAAGCGCACCTCGTGGTGCTGTTCGTTGGCTGAGGATGGCATGCAAGGAGTGTCCCCTGTCCTCCAGATGTCCTACTACGGGGAGATCAGCATCGGGACCCCTCCCCAGAACTTCCTGGTGCTCTTCGACACCGGCTCCTCCAACCTCTGGGTGCCCTCCACCCTGTGCCAGAGCCAGGCCTGCAGTGAGTAGCTCCTGGGTGGTAAAAAAAAAAAGGCTGAGGGTGGGCGATCCCTTTGGATCCTAGACTTCAGAGGTCCTCGTCAAGTCGGGGGATGCTTCTTTTGGCCACTGTTGTATTTAGGGCTTGCCTTACTGCTTGTTTTATCAAAAGCATCCCCTGGCTGGAGCCGTCACCCTTCTGCTTTGCTCTCCCAATCCAGCCAACCACAACCTGTTCAACCCCAACGAGTCCTCCACGTTTTCAACCCAGGACGAGTACTTCTCCCTGCAGTACGGGACGGGCAGCCTCACCGGCATCTTCGGCTACGACACGGTCACAGTGAGTGACACCGTGGCGGGGGGGGGGAGCGAGGGGCGCCCCGGTTCCCCGTGCGCCCTTGGGATGAGAGTGCGGACCCGGAAAAAAAGCAGGTTGATTGCTTCTGGGGTTTTCCCTCGGGAGCAAAAAGGGGAAAATTTATGGCTTGGCTCTAACAGCCTCTTATTGTGCGTAACACATGGTATTTGTACTGCTTTTGGCTCGCCGCCCCGCTGCGTAGCCCAGTGTCCCGCTGCCTCCTGGGGTCCCGCTGCCCTGGGCTGTGCTCTCAGGTGAGCTCTGCCCCTTTTCTCTCCCCCCCTAGATCCAAGGCCTCTCCATCACCAACCAGGAGTTCGGCCTGAGTGAGACCGAGCCTGGCACCAACTTTGTGTACGCCCCGTTCGATGGCATCCTGGGGCTGGCCTTCCCTTCCCTTTCTGCCGGCGGTGCCACCACGGTGATGCAGGGCATGCTGCAGCAAAGCCTGCTGGATTCCCCCGTCTTCAGCTTCTACCTGAGTGGGTAAGGATGCACCCCTTCCCCTTTTTTCCTTCCACTTTGTGCAGCCTTCGTGCTCTCCCTTTATTTTTGTCGTTGCAAATCTTGTGAAACCTTCATTGGGGGCTGGAAATTCACGCTTTGTTCCTGCTCTCCTCCCTGTTCAACCTTTTCCCCTCCCTGTTCCACTCGCTGGCATGCACCAGGCTAGCACAAGGTGGCCACCGATGGCTGCAAACACCCGAGTGTGTCCCTGTGCCTTCTTCCCGCAGGCAGGAGGGCAGCCAAGGCGGAGAGCTCGTCTTCGGAGGCGTCGACCCCAACCTGTACACGGGGCAGATCACCTGGACCCCCGTCACCCAGGCTGGCTACTGGCAGATCGGGATCGAAGAGTAAGATGCTGCTTTCTCTAGCTTCCTCTTGCTTCTCTTAGATCTGCAGCCACCAGGGGAACCTTTCTGCCATCTCTGGTGGCTTCGAAGATTTCAGCTTTTAGCCTTTTTGGGGCTCTGGGGTCTCATCTTCACTCTGCTTATGTGCAACCAGAGAAAACCAGCCTTTAATGGTGCAGGTTGTGGGGGCAGAATTCAATCATTTCTCGTGCTCCTGTCCCGTGTTCATCCTGCAGTAGGTCAGGGCGCATTTTACGAGCGCTTTGCCTTCTCCTTCTGCAGCTTCTCCATCGGTGGGCAGAGCAGCGGGTGGTGTAGCCAGGGCTGCCAGGGAATTGTCGACACGGGAACCTCGCTCCTCACCGTCCCCACTCAGGTCTTCACCCAGCTGATGCAGTACATCGGGGCTCAGGCTGACAGCGACGGCCAGGTGAGAGCAGGCTGGGCAACAGGAGGGCTGGATAAGTTGGGTGCATCTGGCACAAGCAGGCAGTTGGGTTGGAGGCGCATTGGAAATCCCGTTTTACCTCTAATTTCGGCGGAGGAAATGACGGATCTGATAAAATCTGCCTTCCTGGGTTCGGGGGTGGCAGCTCGTGCTGGGAGCCTGTCACCTGTGTCCCAGCAGATGCACGGAGCCCCCCGGCTACAAACCAGCCGTGGTTTTCTCTCTCCCTAGTACGTGGCGAGCTGCAGCAACATCGGGAGCATGCCCACCCTCACCTTTGTCATCAGCGGCACCAGCTTCCCCCTGCCTCCCTCCGCCTACATGCTCCAGGTACGGCGTCTCGCCCCCCATCCTAAACCCCAGTGCTGCTCCCGGTGGGCTCTGAGACCCAAGGGATGAGGCAGAGCCGGTGGCTGGAGGGGGGCACGGTGGTCACAGCCTTGCTGAGAGACCCCCGTGGGAGGGGAGAGCTCGGAGCTGGCGTTTTCCAGCACGGATCTTTCCTCCCACCAGAGCAACAGCGGCTACTGCACCGTCGGGATCGAGTCCACCTACCTGCCCTCCCAGAACGGGCAGCCGCTGTGGATCCTCGGCGACGTCTTCCTGAGGTCCTACTACTCCATCTACGACATGGGCAACAACCAAGTGGGCTTCGCCACCGCTGTGTGAGCAGCCCCGGGGCCCCCGCTGACCCCGTCGCTGCTCGCCCTCACCCCACGTCCCAGCTCCTCGCGCCTCCACGTGCTGGAGCATCTCCTTCCCTGCAAAACCCCCTTTACTTAGACGGCTCTGTTGGAAATTGCTTTCTTTCCAAAGGGCACTACAAAGAAATAAAAGTCCGTAAAAGTAAGATAAAGCACGTGTGCTTTTTTTTTTTTTTTTTTTTCATAATGTGTATTTTCCTGTTCTTGGTACAAACGAGCCTGAGAATATTCTCATATTCATATGAGAATATGAATATGAATTCTCATATTCAATGAGAGCAGATGAAAACAGCCAACTGCTGCAGGCAGACTCCACGTTAAACCAAGCACAAGGGCACAAGGGCCCTTGTTATTTAGCTAAAAGAATCTTAGAAAGCGGCCAGGCGTTAGGCAAACGAACATCTCAGGCTTGAAATGCTTGGGGTGGCCAGGACACCTGCTGATGGCTCCTCTCTTGCTGTTCTTGCACTGTCAGGGCTGTGGATTTCTGCTGTCTGCTCTGCAAGGAGCTGGCAGGGCTCGTGGCTGAGCTGGGATGTTACACCAACGCTTTTGGAAAGGAAACCAGAAGTGAGAAGAGGGACACGGTCAGATCCCGCTGAGAGGAGATGCCCCGTGCCCAGCAGTGCAGGTGAGAGCTGCCCCGTGCAAGGACGCACGGCCACCGATGTCAGAAGCTGCAACCCCCTGGTTTGCCTAAATCCCTCAGCAAACAAACCCCATCTAACACTTTTGGGGTCAAAAAGTGCCAAAAGCAGAATGTTTGTGTGTGCTGTAGAGGGCACCTTATTCCTTTGTCTGGTGGCAAGCCCGAGTCCCCGTGGGGACCTGCAGATAACACTCGGTATATTGACGTTTTGATAACCGATCTTTGCTTTCAGCCAGAATTTGCCTTTTATCCAATCTTAATAAGTTGATCTTTCTATCAATCCTGCTGGCAAACAAGATAATTGCTTTACTACAGTCTCAATATCCAGCAAAGGACACGCGCTTCCCTGTGCTCCCGGGAGAGTGAAATATGTGCACAGCGCCGACACGGGATGAGCGCCGCGGCATGATAACGGAGGGCAGCGAGGAGCCGGGCTGCTCGGCGCAGGGTCCTGGGGGGGCACGGGGTGCTGAGCTGTGGGGTCATCCCCTCCAGGCTGGGTTTGTCTTGGCCAGGCCCTGCTGCGGCTCCTGGAGGTGTCCTGGTGCCGCGGGCGAGTCTGCAGGATGGCACAGGGGCAGGGCGAGGATGTGAGTTGTTTTCAGCTCAACACAAATTGTTTTTTAGCAGGGGGGGATGCTGGATGTCACGGAGAGTGGTTATGTAGCTGCGGGATTCCCCATCTGGTTATCCCCCAGGATGCTTTAATGGGGTAAAGCATCGTGCTCAGCAGCTGCCTTGCATGCATCTGGGCAGAGTCACAAAAAGACGCAGGGTTCAGCTGCCCCCATGGGGACCGACTGCCCTGGGGTGACATCCCGGTGTCACCCGGTCACGTACCGCCACCCGTGCTCCTGTAGGAAGTTCCATAGGTGTGGCTTTATCCAAAACTTCTCAGTTTTCCCGCTGCTAGAAAATATTTAGGTGATAACCCCAAACGCTTTGGTCCATTTGCTCTGGTTGTTGGCCGTTTGGGAGATCCGTGTTTGCGGGTCTCTTTTTTCACAGGGAAAAAAAATAACAATTAAAAAAAAAAAAAAGCAAATCAGCAATTTCCTGACCTTCAGTGCTGGGGTGAGGACCCCACATGTGAAGCTGCATCTTCATGCCCCGGAGCTCTCCCTCCGCAGGGCGTTAGCTGTCCCCGAGGCAGGTAGCAAGCACTGCAGCTTCTTTTCAACCCAGGATGAAGCCCATCCATTGTTCCTCATATATATATATATTTATTTTTTTTAAGTGATTTTTGTCCTAACCAGTGTGAAAGCAGATGGAAACCAGCTGGACTTGGGCAGCGAAGGACTCTGAAGCTGCTGAAGGAGCAGAGGAGGACGGAGCAGGAGGCAGAAGGGCGCTGAGGCCACCTAGGAGGGGGCAGGAGAAGGAACCTGGTGGGCTCACCGAGCCCCTGGGTGGGCAGCAGAGCAGCACAGGTCTGCAACCAGCTCTGGAAAAGCCTCGGCTCCAGCACCCGCTGCTCCTCCACGCCAGAAGCTCCTCGTGGCAGAGCTGGGTCTGCCGGGGTGGCTGAAAGGGAGGCAAAAGAGCCCCGAGGTTCCTCCCCGCGCTGCGAGCTGTGAGCGCCTTTGTTTTGGGCAAGGTGGAACAGGTTTGAGAGAAAACGGCTCCAGCGTGCTGACTTTTTGATAACTCCTCTCCCCGCTGCGATAAGAAGTGGCCCCTTAACCGCTGGCGATGCTTTGATGTGGCCACTGAAGGCGCGAGTCGCTCTGTTCTCATCTGGGCGCCTCGCTAAGGACACAAAATTCCCCAGCTCCTCGTGGCCCCAAATACAAAGAAACCCTTCAAGCCGGGGTTACGGGTTCTGCTAATGGAAAACAGAGGTCAGCAGATAAGGGGGGGGGTCACTGCTGGCTGTTATAAAGCCGGGGAGCCTGGGTGGCTCACCCAGCTGCTGCAGCCTGCGGAGGGGATGCGCGGAGCCGGGGGTGCCCGCACCATGAAGTGGCTCGTCCTGGCCGTGCTGTGCCTCCAGCTCTCGGAGGGGGTGGTGAGGTGGGTCTGGGGGAGCGGGGAGAGCTCAGCAAGCAGAGCCCGGCTGAGTTTGTAGCCCCCGTGTGCTGTGCTACCCGAGGATAAGGTGTTTTCGTGCGCATCTGGCCTCGTGCCTCGCCGTAAGCCATCGTCCTGCACCAGCACCAGCCCAGGATGCGCCCCTGGCTAGGAGGGGACCCTGGAGAAGCACCCAGCAGCCGAGCAGAGGGCTCACGGCTCCTGGAGGAGGCATCATTTGAAAATGCCCAGCCTCCTGATGTCCTGCTTTTTAATTTATTTTTTAATTTCTCCCTCTGTGCAGGATCCAGCTGAGGAAATACAAGTCCGCACGGGAGTTGATGAGGGAGGCGGGCGTGCTGAAGGACTACCTGAAGAAAATGAAGCATGACCCAGCCAGGAGATACCACTTCGGTCGGAGCTACCTCGTGCACGAGCCCATGGCCAGCCATCTGGATGTGAGTACAGGTTCCCCCTTCGCTTCCAGCTGCCGGAGCAAGCTGTGTGCCCGTGGGCCTCCAGGGCCGTGAGATTTCTTCGTCTCGCTCCTTTTTAAGCTTCTGTGTGAGATTTTAGACAAGTTTTCTCCCAGCCGAGTCAGCAGCCCGAAAATCTCCGCTTTTCTCTCTGCACCAAATGAAATATTTCACGTCACTTTATCTGGGAGCAAAAGCAGGGTGGGCGTTCAGTCCCTCCCTCCTACCGTGCTGCTGTAAGGCTGAGCCTGGGTTTTCCAGCATCCCTGACAAGTGTTGGGTCCCAACACGGGGCTGGGAGGTGAAAACCTTTCCCGGGGCCGTGGGGACATCGTGCTTCTCATCCGCAGTCTTCCTTCTTCGGGGAGATCAGCCTCGGGACCCCCCCGCAGAGCTTCCTGGTGCTCTTCGACACCGGCTCCTCCAACCTCTGGGTGCCCTCCACCCTGTGCCAGACGGCGGCTTGCAGTGAGTACCAGCAGGGGCGATGCTTGCCTTGCACAAAGCCCCCCCCCGGAGCACAGCATAGTCCCGGCACACGGGAAAAATCACGGCTGCCCCAAAAGCATCCCCGGTGCCTTTCTGGGTCTTTCTGAGGACACGGAGCCTGTTCCTTTATGTGGCTGGCTAATGACGGTGTCCAAATCTCTGCGGGTGTCCTCAGGGTGCTGAAATCACAGCGCTGGTGCTTGGCTCTCCGTGGATGAGCTCACACTGGGAACCTGATGGGGTTATGGTCATTCCCTCGAGGGGATGCAGACAAAGCAGTGATGCAAAACCTTAGAAACAGCCGCAGGGCAGATCCCCAGCCCACCCTGCTCCCTCCCTGGGCATCATCCTGTGCCCCCCCGGTGTGATATCGGGCGGTGGCATCCCCAGGAGCTCCCTCACCTCCTCTCTCACGCAGAAAATCATGCCACGTTTGACCCCAGAGCCTCCTCCACCTTCGTCAACAACGGCCGGACCTACACCCTGAGCTACGGCAGCGGCTCGCTGACGGTGCAGCTGGGCTACGACACGCTGAAGGTGGGCACAGCCCTGCTCCGGCGGAGTTCCCCGATGGAAAGAGCCTGGGGGGTGGCTTTCGGGCAGGTCTCGTGTCTCTTGTAGACAAGATTTGCACAAACCAGGTCCTGAGATGGGTAGGAGCAGCCTAAAGGGGTTATTGAGCCCTTTAGTTACCCAGCTGGGGTTCTATCTTTTTTTTTTAGCATGGTTCCTAGTGGTTTTTCCAGGTGCCCGGTGCTATTTCCACCAGCTGTGAGCTTGCCGTGTGCTCCCCGGGCTTGCACTCTTTGGCTTTGCACCACCACGGCTGACGTGGCACCCCATTCCCCTCCAGATCCAGAACATCAAGGTCAAACACCAGGAGTTCGGGCTGAGCAAGAACGAGCCCTCCGAGCCCTTTTACTATGCCCAGTTCGACGGGATCATGGGCATGGCTTACCCCTCGCTGGCCGTGGGAGGGACGCCCACCGTGCTGCAGGGCATGCTGCAGCAGAACCAGCTCACCCAGCCCATCTTCAGCTTCTACTTCTCCCGGTAAAACCCTCCTGCAGGTCCCACGTGCGTTTGTGTGTCCCTCCGACTGTCCCCACGCTGCTCCCTCGGGAATTTATCCCTCTGACCCGTGCGCATCGCGGCTTTCTGGATCGCTTTGTGCCGCCCTAACCCCGCTGTTTTTGCAGCCACCCCACCTACAACTACGGGGGGGAGCTCATCCTCGGAGGAGTGGACAAGAGGCTGTACACCGGGGAGATCGTGTGGGCGCCGGTGACCCAGGAGCTGTACTGGCAGGTGGCGATTAACGAGTGAGTTGCGTTCGTCCCTGCCGGGCATCACCCACTCGGGAAACCCAGCCTTGAGTTTTGCATCTCGGAGGCTCCCAGGCTTTCGGACCCAGCCAAGATGGGCTGTGCTGCCCGTGGGTGCTTAAAGCGACTTCTTTCTTCCTTTTCTCCCCCCAGGTTTGCCATCGGAGGGTCGCCCACGGGCTGGTGCAGCCGGGGCTGCCAGGCCATCGTGGACACGGGGACGTTCCTGCTCACGGTGCCCCAGCAGTACCTCAACAGATTCCTGCAGGCCGTGGGCGCCCAGGAGACCAGCTACGGGGTAAGTGCAGGGCTGGCTTCGGAGGTGGGCACGGAGCAGGGGAGGGTTGTGAGAAAGCCAGAAACTCTGGGTTTGAACAGATATTGCAAAAAAAAAAAACACGGTGTCTGCAGAGCACGGTGCTGGAGGCAGCCTGGTGCACGGCCAGGGCTCTGCGCACCTCTTGTGGTCGGTGCTGCTCCAGCCCTAAGCTCTCCATCACCCTAAGCAAGCTCCCCATCACCGTGAGCTCCCCATCACCCCAAGCTCCCCGTCACCCTGAGCTCCCCATCACCCTAAGCTCCCCGTCACCCTGAGCTCCCTGCCACCTCTCTCCCCAGTACGCCGTTGAATGCAGCCAGATCCACAGCTTGCCCACCATCACCTTCGTCATCAACGGCACGGCGCTCCCGCTGCGCCCCTCTGCCTACGTCCTCAACGTATGTATCAGCCAGCAGCCTCACCCTGCTGGGTCCCGAAGGGAAAGGACCTGGTGTTTTTTTTTTGGGGGGGGGATGGCGATGCTCTCCCTCCCTGTACGAGCAGATCCCACCCCGCTGCAGGGTGCTGGAGCTTTCCTAGGCCCTGACTCCCCGTTATTCCCCCTTTGCAGAGCAATGGTTACTGCACCCTTGGCATCGAGGCCACCTACCTGGGCTCCCAGTACGGGCAGCCGCTCTGGATTTTGGGTGACGTCTTCCTCAAGGAGTATTACACCGTCTTCGACATGGCGAAAAACCGCGTCGGCTTCGCCCCATCGGCGGAGAGGAGGAGGCAGTGAAATCCAGCGAGCCTTGCTGGAGTGCTGTGGGGTCCCTATGGGGCTTTTCGACCCCTTTCGTGCCCTCTGCCTCTCCAAGGTTTCTGTGTGAGGTTGTTCTCTGTCTCCCGTTGCCAATAAACCACAGCACCTGCAAGTGCCTCTGCGCTGCGTTTGCTGGGCGCCAGCCGAGGGCTCGTGTGTCTCCGACAGCAAGCAAAGCGCCGTGCCACGCTGCTGGGCAGCTTTCTGCAAAGTCAGCACGGGGAAAGCAGCAGGAGAGCTGTCCCTGTTCAAACCCAGCGCTTCCAGCGTGCTGCCTGCACCCAGCAGCTGCTGGGACAGTCTCAGCCTTTATCCGTAGGGAATTCCTGAGCTCCTGCTTGGAGGCCGTGCTGCTGAGCGCCTGGGTGCAAGGGTGCCCAGCCCCTCCGTGAGGTTTTGCAGCTCAGCTGGGGGGTCTCAAACACAGCTGGTGCTGGTGTCAAACAGCAAACACAGCCCCAGGGAGAGGGGTTCCCCGAGGGGTTCCCCAAAACCAGACCTGCTCCGTACTGGTGCAGCCGTGCGTGCATGTGAGCAACTGGGGACCAAAGAGCCGAGCCCCAGCAGCAGGGCCAGGCGCTCCCCACCTCCGTGCCTCTTGCTCTGGGCATCGAAAACCTCCCCAGGGACTTGTGCGGGGAGTGAGCAACCTCCTGTGCCTCTGGATATGGCTTAGAAAACACCCGTGGTGAGGTCAGAGTGGGATACGAGCCCAGCTGAGGTTAGCCGTGCTGTCCAAATGACCCTAAATCCTGTTTGATCAGGTAAGGCAACAGCCAGAGCACTGGGAGGCGTGGGCTGGGGCAAGAAGGAGCCGGTCCTGGCACCTGGGAGCCGGCAGCGTCTTCTGCAGCAAGAGGAGAGCAGCCGGAGGCTCGGGTAACACCGCTTTCCTGGGATCCAGACTTGTTTCTTAGAAGCTCTTTATCACCGGGGCTCGTTATCAGATATATTAATAGCTCTGTCATCTCAGCAGAGAAAGGACACAAACTCCTCCGTGCTTTGTGTCAAAATATTGACACAGGCTGAGCGCAGCGATATGGAGATGAGGCAGGAGCAGATCGCAGGGAAGGGCATTTCTGCGCCGCGCAACAAAGCGTGGAGGGCTCGGGGAGCCGCAGCTGCTCCGGCAGCACAGCCCCGTGTGCTGGCCCTAAAAGGCTTAGGGCTTGTCCCAAAAAAGAAGGATAAAAAATCTGCACCACTGCCCGTGCAGATGAGGCTGCTGGGGATATGGGGACGGTCATTGTGGGGACCCATCGTCCCTAACGCACCTGAGCATCCTTGGGGTAACGGCTAACGAGCTGCCGGGGATAATCTTTGGTCTTTTGGGGCTGGTTGAGTGGTTGGAGCTGGGTGAGTAAAATGCCTTCCAGGGCTGCTCTGCTGAGCGATTTCTAGCTCCACTCTTGCTTTCCTCGGGGGGCATTGGCAGGGCTATAGGGCACCGAGGGGCAGAAGGGGCAGAAAGGACAAATGCCAGGGAAGGGAGATGTTTTAGGGGCCACGCGCTGCTGCCCAGGAGGCTCAGAATGGTGCCGAAATGAATGGCCCCTACTGCTTGGTGCCAGCTGTAGGATGTAAAACGTGCCGGGGGCTCGCACAGGAGAAATATTGCAGGCTGTGGCACCACTTCACTAAATTTTGGCTGCGTGGAGAGGTTGAAGGAAGGTCGGCAGTGTCGGGAATTTCCATGTGATACGAAGGCACACATCGCCTTTGTTTCCTGGAAAGACTGAGCTAGTGGAAAGAGAAAATACCTTAGCCTCTGGAAAACAACAGAATCGTGCTTCTTATCGGCTGTCCCGTATTTGATTTCCGTACCAAACTGGCCGGCCTGGTAGCACCCAGGCGCCCGAGTAAGGTGGCAAACCGCGGCGAGAAGTGCGTGGGAAGCGCCGGCACCGGCTGGGCGCATTGGGGACGTGGTGGAGGCTGCTGCTGGCCCTGCTCTGCCTGCAGCCCGGGGAAGGGAAGGTGAGGCGAGCCTACAGGGATGGGGACGGCCATCCCCGTGCCCTGCAGCACCCTACCGAGGAAGGGTGGATCTGTATGGGAGCGAGCGCGGTGCCGGAGGGGGGCCCGGAGCACCTCCAAGCGGAGCTGGGCAGGAAATACCAGCTCCAACGTGCCGAGGCTGATGAACTACCTGGATGTAAGTGTGAAAGTTTCCTTTCTTTTTTTTTTTTTTTTTTTTTTTTTTTTTTTTTTTTCCTTCTTTCCTTCCTTTCTAGCTTCCTTCCCCCAGCTCTGGTGTTTTGGGACCGCTGCCTGCTCCGTGCTCTGGCAGCCTGGTGGCTCTGCTCCCATCCATGCCGTGCGGGCTTGTTGCTGGGTGATGCTGGAAAATGAGGGCAGGAAGCAAGCCTGTCCCTACCCCGATCTGCTTTCCCTTGGACAAAGCTGAGTTTGATGGTTACTGGGGCAGATCTGAGTGCCACGGACTCAAGGTACGGCTCCTGGCCTCGCCGATGATTTTTGATGAGCTGTCACCAAGGCCTTGCTGTGCTGTAGCTGCCCTGGGTGCCCTCTGAGGCTGTGAGCCCATCCTACAACCCCATAACTGTGTTCTCAGCGACAATCAGGATTAATTTGGGCTGTGCCAGGCGCTCAGCCACGTCTCGGGGACCCCGAGGTCACCAGAGCTGTCGGGAACCTGCGAGGAGCAGGATGAGCAGAGGTGGGGAGCTGCAGGACCCTGGTGCCAGGAGCTGCACAACCCAGTGCAAGGTGCTGCACGAATCCCAGTGCGAGGAGCTGTAGGACCCTGGCACGAGGAACTGCACGACCCCTGAGCAAGGTGCTGCACGAATCCTAGTGCGAGGAGCTGTGTGATTCAGTGCAAGGAGTTGCATCAGCCTGGTGCAGGGGGTTGCACAACCCCGGTGTGAGGAGCTGCACAGTCCTCGTGCAAGGAAATTCACGACCCTGGTGCAGGGAGCTGCACGACCCCTGTGCAAGGAGCTGCATGACCCTGGTACAAGGAAATGCACAACCCTGGTGCAAGGAGCTGCATAATACCTGTGCGAGGAGCTACACGATCCTGGTGCAGGGATTTGCATGACCTTAGTGCAAGGAGCTGCACGACATTGGTGCAAGGGGCTCCATGATTCAGTGCAAGGAGTTGAACGACCCTGGCACAGGGAGCTGCAGAGCCCTGGTGCAAGAAAACACACAACCCTAGTGCAAGGAGCTGCACGACCCTAGTGCAAGGAAATGCACAACCCTGGTGCAAGGAGCTGCATAATCCCTGTGCAAGGAGCTGCACAACCCTGGTGCAAGGGGCTACATGATTCAGTGCAAGGAGTTGCACAATCCTGGTGCAGGGAGTTGCACGACCTCAGTGCAAAGAGCTGCACGACCCTGGTGCAAGGAGTTGCATGACCCTGGTGCGAGGAAATGCACGACCCTGGTGCAAGGGGCTACATGATTCAGTGCAAGGAGTTGCATGACCCTGGTGCAAGGAGCTGCGTAATCCCTGTGCAAGGAGCTGCATGACCCTCGTGCAGGGAGTTGCATGACCCCTAGTGCAAGAAAACACACAACCCTAGTGCAAGGAGCTGCACACCCCTAGTGCAAGGAGCCGCAGAGCCCCAACCCAATCCTCACCCTGAGCCCAGCCGGGCCCGGCCCTGCCTCCCCCCTTTCATCTCCCCCCCGGGTATAAAACCACCCGGAGCCGGAGGAAGGAGGGGGCCGGGACTACAACTCCCGGCAGGCGCGGGCAGCCCTGCCCCGGGCGGCCTCCAGCTCCCGGCGTGCCGAGCCCGAGCCGAGCCGGGCAGTGCCGGGCGGTGCTGCCCTCCCTCGGTGCAGCACCAGCGGGACCGAGCCGAGCCGGGCCGGGCCGGGCCGAGCCGGGTGAGTGCCTCTAAGGGTTGGGGGGTGTTTTTTTTTGGGGGGGGCTCCTTCCTCGCCCCGAGCTCGCGGCCGCTTTTTTTTTTGCTCGTTTTTCCCCCCTTTTAATTTTTTTCCCTCTTCTTTGCGCTGTTTTCCTGCTGTGTTTTTTTAGCTTCTTTTCCTCCCCCCCCCCTCCCGTTTTTTTTTTTTTTTTCCTCCTTTCTCTTACCCGAGAATCCCCCCCCCCCCCTCCGCCCCTAAGCCGAAAAGTGGGGGTGGTGCGCACCCCCCCACCACCCCGTCTCCATTAAGTTCGCTATTTTTTTGGGTTTAAGGGGTGCCCCCCCCCGTGCACACACACAGGGAAACTGAGGCACGGATGCTCAGCCCCCGGTGCCCCCCCCCCAAGCTGCACCCCCAAGTTAGGGAGCGACCCCCCCCCGGCTTTGGGGAGGCGCAAAGGAGACCCCCAAAATCCCCCCCCAGGGGTCTCAACGAGGCTGTTTTGGGCTTTGCAAGAGGCCTCCCCCCCTCCAAAATAACTTTTTTTGGGATCCCCGAGCGCAGGGAGGGGGGGCACAGAGGGGGTTGGGGGGGGGGGTTTGCTGTTAAACCTCTTGGTGCCCCTTAATTATTCCAGCGAATTTAATTGCGAAGAAGCCGGAGCGATTACGCCAGCCCCCGCGCCCCGTGTCCTCTAAAAGCCTGGGTGAGTCAGACGATGGGGAAATTTCCTTTAAAAAAAAATAAAAAATAAAAATAAAAAAAAAAAGAGAGAGAGAGGGAGAGAGAGAGAGAGGAAAAAAAAAACTAAATATGGAGGTTATTGTTGGGCGCTCCCCGGATAAATAAATAAGCCCGCGGGCGCGCAGGGCCTGCTTCCAGCAATCCCAGCCCTTCTGCCGCCTCCCCTGCCCTTGAGGCACCGGGGGGGGCTTGCAGGGGGGTTATTTTATCCCCATGTATCAGCTTTGGGTGGATGTTGTGGGGTTTGGGGGGTTTTCCCCCTCCCCACCACTCGCTCCCCTTTTGCTTTTCGCCGCCGCCGTTGCGCACGGCTGCGGCGTCCCCGCTTCCCCCTGGGTGCTGGGGGGGGGCTGAGCCCACCCTGACCCCCCCCTCCACCCACACACACACCCCTCCAGAGGGGGGTCTTGGGGGTGAGACCCTGCTGGGGGGGGTCAGCACTGGGGGGCTCGGTTATCTCCAGCTGTGGTTGTGCCACCGGGAAGCGGCACGTGGTGAGCCCATGGCACAGGGGGGGCGGCGTGTTTTGGGGAGGATGCCAGCTGCGCCCCCCCCCCCTCCATCACCACCACCCTTATCAGTAGGAAACCGCTCGGGGTGGGGCTGGGTGCAGCGGGGCGACTCCAGCATCCGGGCGTTTTGGGACGCGGCCGCCCTTTCCAGCTCGTTCTTTTTATTTTTATTTATTTTTTTATTTTTTTTTTCCCCCGTGCGGGCCGGCACCACGTGTGTGCACAGCCCCACGGCTCAGCCGCTGCTTCTGCCATGCTCCCGGGGGTGGGGAGGGCACCCCAGGCCCGCGAGCTGCTGAACTAGAAGGGGTTTGGGGTTTTTTGGGGGTGTTTCCCGCTGGGGAAATGGGGAAAATGGTTGGGGAAGAGGAGGTGGGGTTGGTAAAGGCACGGCGAGGAGGGTGCCGGGAAAGCGGGGGCACCGAGGGCAGAAATGTGCCCCCCCCGGCTCCCTGCAGCCCTCCTGGTGTTTTGGGGGGTGCTGGGGGCCTGGTGTGGTGAGGGCATGGACCAAAGCCCTGCGTATGTGTTTCTCTATCCTTTTTTTTGGGGGGGACAGTAGATGGGATGGAAGATTTCCTGGTGCTGAGCACGGCACAGCCGCCTTCTCCATCCCCTCTGCAGCCGGTTCCCACCAGGCCCCATCCCCGAATTTCCCCAATTAATCATTTTTTCATAATCACTTGGAGTTGGTGCTTTGGTGTTTGTTTTTTTTGGGGGGGACACCTCGAGCCGTGCCACCCTGTCACCACTGCCTGGATCTGGTGCACGTTGATCCGAGATGAAAGGGACCGGGGCCGGCCACTTGCTGGGGTCAGCTCAGCACATCCACGTCCCCAAATCATCCCCTGGGGAGTCCCGGTGGCCACGGGCCCCGATGCTGCCCGTGGTGGCCGAGTCCCCGTTTGCTTTGGGGATTCGGAGGCTGAAGCGTGACCAAGACGGTGGCGCTGCGATGCGCAGGGGTGAAGTGTCAGGAAATATTTGCACGGCTTCTCCTTGCCCCGGTGCTGCAGGAGGAGCCCGGTGGGTGCCGGTGACTCGTTGTGGTTGGGTTTTGGCACAGTTTCGGGGGGGGTTTGCGCCCTCGCCAGCCGGGGCTGCAGCCTGGAGCTGCCCGGCCGTGGGATGCAGGAGGCTGAGCCCCGGGCTCCAGAAGCTGTCGGGGATCCGGAGCAAACTCCGGTTCTGCTCCTTCCCCTCCGGTGAGACCCGAGGGAGGTGGAGGCGATGAGAAATTGGGAAGGAAAACTCAGAGGATGGGCACGGGGCTGCCCCCGGTGCCCGCACCGCCGTTTCTGCCAACCCCTTCCACCCCCCTTGATGCTGGGCGGGCAGCGGAGCAAAGCTGTAAATATGAAATGGCAAAAAGGCGAGAAAGAAAGGGGGGAAAAAGCAAAAAAAAAAATATCAAAACAACACAACCAAGCCACACGGTTTCCCCAGGGGTGGAAGAAGAGATCCCGAGAGAGGCCTTGCTCCTGGAGAGAGGCGGCGATGGTCCCGGGGGGCCGGGTCCTGGGGCCCCCACTTGGTGCCGGAGGATGGTGGGACCTGGGCAGGGCGCTCCGGAGGCGTTTTGGGCAGGTCGGCGTTACAGTGTGGGGGCTGAGCTCGTCCCGCCTGCCCCCAGGCTCTGCCCCGATGCGTGCTTTGGGTCTGGGATGGAGGAGCCCGGGGGCTGCTCGTGAGGCCGGAGGCTCCCCACGGAGCTTAAATAATGCTCTGCTTTACTTAAACCCATGCAACTTTCTCACCGGATAAACCTGAAACGCCCAAACAACATCTTTCCCTGCCGGCTAACTCGCTCTTGTTTTTTTTTTTTTCCCTTTCCTCGCCGTACGTGCATGCAATTAATGGAAGTGATTTAATTCTCGTCTAAACAGCTGGGAAGCTGAAGGCGGTGCCGTCGGTGAAGAGCCGTTTGCCATCCCGTGCCTGCTTTCCCACCGCTCCGTCCTGCCCGGCCCCGGCTCGGTTGTAAATTCTCCTTTCAGCGCGGGGCCGAACCTCGAGCGCAGTTTGTGCAGCTGCTGCCCCGGCGCCCAGGTGCCAAAATTCGCAGGGGTGTGAGGGCACCCGGCCTGGGTCCCTTGGCTGCCCGGTGGGGCGAGCCCACCTGTAGCAGTGGGAGCCCACACGGGGCTTGGGGGGGGGGTCCCTGGTGCGGGATTTGTGCTGTCCCTGATGTGCCCCCACCCCTGGTGGCAGCGTGTGCTCGGGGACAGGCGTGTCCCCAAGCAGCTCTGGCTGCCCCCAGGCTGATTTGGAGGAATCGCACGGGGCCGGGAGGTTTTAGGAGGAAAGGATGGGGGCGAGGAAGGTGCTGGGGAGGTTTTTCAGCCGGGGGGGGTCCGGCCGGGCTGGTTGGGCAGAGCGGGGACCGCGTTTCCTTGGCTCGTGGGCAGAGGGTCGGGTGCCAGCGGGCTCGTCGCTGACAGCAGCTCCTGCCTTATCTGCAGCAGGGTGGGTGCCTATCGCAGCCCCAGCGCCGCGCCAGCTCCTCTGGGGCCAAATCTTCTCCCATGCCCCGGGGCGGGGGGCTTGGTGCCCTTCGCGCCCCTCTCCAGGCGAAGCCCTCGCCCGGATCAATCCCAACCCGCTCGGGCAAAACCTCTCGGCTCCGGCGTGCTCAAACCAGCGCAACGCGTGGCACGGGACCCGAGCAAGCAGGGCGAACACCCCCGGCCTCGTGCACCCTCCTCGCTGCGGGGCAGGGGCTGGCTTTGCACCGGGGGGCTCCCGGCGTCCGCCCTTGACCTTGGCGAGCGGCGCGGAGAGGAGAAAGGTCCCTGCCACCGGTAAGGTGCCGCCACCGGCCGCTCACCGGGGCTGGTGGCAGGGAGAGGACATGGCACCGGCTGTCCCCAAGTTGTTTATGAGCATGGGGGGGGGCCTGGGGAACAGCTGCAGCTCCTGGGGCCGGGGCGGGCGCGGGGCCGGGGCGAGCGGCCGCGGTACGGTTACATGAAATCCACCTTGCGAGCGGGCGGGCGGCGGCGTATTTATAAATATTACCTCCCCGCAGCAGCACGGCACGGGGGGGAGGACGGCCGGGGGCGGCGCTGGCAGCACCCCCAGCTCGGGTCGCAGGTGGCTGCTGGCACCCAGCGCCGGCTGCAGCGCCTGGAGAGGGGCTGGGGGCTTGGTTATGCTGGGTGTCCCCCCCTAGGGACCCCTCTGGCAGGGTTTTGGGGAGCACCGTGGTGCGCTGCGCCCCAAGCTGGGGGAATGCGGAGAGAGGCGCGCTTCCAATTTCCCTTATTTATGCATTTTAAAGGAAAAATACCATCAAACCCAGCACCCGAGTGGTGCGGGGTGACCTCAGGGTGGGGTTTTGCCCTCTTGCTCCTGTTTTTATCCTTTCTCTGAGGGGGGACACGGTGAGGCCGTGCGTCCTTCCCCGCCGGCACGGCTGGGGCCTCCCCAAGGTCACTGCGCTCTCCTGCTCCTCGCTGCACGGCCGCCACGGTCCGGGCACGATTAATCACAGCCTGGGGTGGTGCTGGGCCTCCACGGCCCTTCCCGGCCCCTGTGCGGCCGTTGGCTCGTCCTGGCCCCAGGAACGTCCTTCTGCCTGTTAACACTTTTATTTTTAATTGCCTGCCTCTCCGGGAGGGGAGGGCGGCAACTTGTCGGCTCTGGCTGTTTGTGCTCGCGGCGGTCGGTCCGACAGTGATGTTTCAATCGGGGGCCCCCGCGCAGCCCCGGCGGCTTTCCTGCTGCAGGAAGGGATTTGGCTCCATTTCGGGGCCCTCTGTA